CCTCACCAAAACGCGACGCACGACGTCGAACAAGGCCGAAGAAGCTGTCTCCACCGGAACCACCGGCGAGCGCCTCGACGCCTCCACACTCTTGAGCACGGTCTTAACTTTTCCCTCTCGAACCCATAGCCCACACGCCATCCCTAGCCCGACCTCGCCGCTGTCACCAGAGTACATCGGCCTTGTCTCGTATCTCCATCCTAGATCGTTGTCCGAACCTCGACCTGTTCAACACACCTTGCCCATCTAGGTCGATCTACGTGCACACCGATCCGTGTCCATTGTGCCAAGTGCTGAGCTAGTTGACGGCGCTGCCTTTGTCCAAGAGCGTACTCTGGACGTGCAAAGCCAAGAGGGTGAGTTTGGCAAAACCTTTTAGCGTTCGGATGCTTCTCGTCTTTGTCTTCTTGCTGTGTCCTCTTCTCTGTCCATGATGTCCACTGCATCTCCATCTGCCCCCTCTCGCTGCTCCATTCCTCGATCTTCGACCTAAGCACGTTGAGCACCGTGCTTCTAAGGGCATAAAACCGGTTGGAAGCCACACCCTCTTAACTCTGGAACAGCCTGCCTGATCGGTGCCCGGGTCTTGATCGCATCGCATCTCATTCTTTCATCTTGTTCGCTGCCTTGCTCGTCACACGCACTCGGCATTCGCATAACGCACCGTATACACGACGCTACCCATCCACCCTTGTCTCGCTGCTTCCTCCCCGATCAAAGACATTGCGCCGCCAGTACGCAAAAGTCTGAAATCACGCGCTTCACTTTTATCTCCCTGCTCCCACCTTTCCACCCCCATTTGCACACATACACACGCACACACACATTTCCCCGCTTGCAGGACGCAAAGGACAGGCTTCAGGCGACTGGAACGTGGCCGACGACATCCAAACACACGCTACCGCATCGTATCGTTTGCACATGCTGACGCTTGCCCTTGATCCATCTCGGCCCACCAACCCATTTGCTTGTTTCTGGTGTCCGTGCGCTTGACCCCGCTGCGGCGCCCTATTCAACCATTATTCTCTCCTTACTGCACCCTTCCTCCCATCCTACCCCGCCCGTCTCCGTCCACCCCGACGCACTCCGTCGACATTCTCGTCAACACACTCCTTCTGCCCAAACTTTCAGTGCGATATCGGCTTGTTTACACCTCTGGTGGATCCTCGATTCGTAAGCACCACCGACCCATCTTGCACCGTGCCCTCAGCTGACCTTGGTCCCTACCCTTTGCCACCGCCGCACGAACCACCGCTACCCCCTATTTCTGACTTCGCGTGTTCGCCTGCCTTGCATCCTTGCATCCGTATCCTGGAACCCGCGACGAACGGACCACCTCTCGATCTTGCAATCCATCGCTGAACCTGCGCACTCTTGACTCACCGACACCCGCATTCCCACCTCTCAACCTTACTCTCTAATCATACTCACACAACCGCACACACATACACACACACACACACACACACCGAACGACCCTTATCGACGACACACTTTCGGCTCACCATCGCGATCTCGCAACCCTCGTTTTCACGTGTCGCTCTCCATTGTTCTCTTGGGTCATCATCCAGCAGCTTAATTCACGTCTCTCGGTATTCTGTTGGTGTTATCAACTCTCGCAGCCCACACCAGCTTTTATCGCGAACGACGCTAGTGACCGGTCAAACGCGTTGACCAGTTCCCCCTCCCCCACATCGTCTAACGATGTCCATCTCACGCAAGCGCGTGGGCTCGGTCAGTCAAAGAAACGACTCTCCACTGCCGCCGCTTGACATCCAGTCCATCCAAATGCCTTGTAACCCGTAGGTGTCACCGGGATGTCGCCACCACTGACCTGTCTCAGGCAAAACGCACTCGCGCTCAAGACGGCGGCTTTGTCGTCGACAAAGTCGCTGTTCCAGATGGCGTCCAGCCTGCGAAAGCGGCTGCGAAATGTCGAGGACTTTGCGCCGTTCCTTGGTGAGCTCCTTGCAGCCGCGATAGCGACTGTGAAATGTTGTCAACGAAACTGACCATGGCACAGACCAGCCACCATCTGCGCCCCAGCTCGACGTCGTGTCCCACATGTGCCATGTCTTCCGACTGGGATCGTCCCTTTGCCACCTTTACAACAAGCTCATCCCCACCTTTACGAACGAGCACTCTGGACTCTTCGCCGACCTGCCGGCACCTCCGGATATTCCGTATGACATGCCGAATTTCATGGAGGCGCCCGAAGGAGTGCGCAACTGGGCCAAGCGTCCGGCGAACGTCAAGGCGTGCAAGCGTTACATTGCGACGTTCATCATGGCGATGACTCAGCGTAAAGAGGAGGGGCGGTGGCACGGCGAGCTCTGGTCGCTCACGGAACTGTTCGGCAACACGGCAGGAGACGATGATGCGGCTTTCGAGTCTTACGACTCTGCCTCCCTGATGAAGGTCTTCCTCACCGTCGAGGGCATTCTGGACAACCTCCCGGAGAGCTCCATCACCCCCACGACTCCTACAACACCATTTGGTCTGGGCGGTGGAAGCCTCGCGGGCGGCATTGCCCCCATGACTAGCGTGCACTCTAGCACGCGGCAGTCCTTGGATGGTGCCGGCACCGGGAACACCACGCCTCTGCTTGGCAACATGACCCCCAACGGTGTTGTGAACCTTGATGACGTGCCTGGTTCTGCCTCGGTCGTCACGTCCGAGGCTTCCGCGGTGTCCAACAATGCTTACAAGTCTGTCGAAGAGCTTGTTCTTTCGGAGCGTTCGTACGTCCAGGAACTTGAGATTCTGGAACGTTGCTCGGATGAGATCCGCAAGGCTGAGCTTATTTCTGCCGACACTGTGTACTCTATGTTCTCCAACCTTCGCCAGATTCTCGACTTCCAGCGCAAGTTCCTGATCAAGCTCGAGACCGAGTGGGAGTCGATCGAGGAGGGCGGGCCCGGTGCTTGGATGGACGGTCGATGGGGACGACCATTCGTCGATATGGAGAAGGAGTTCAAGTGTTACGGCCCTTACTGCGCTGGCTTCATGGACGCCACCAAGGTCGTGAACGACTACATGATCAATCTCATGGCGGGCCAGCAGCTTCCCGAGGGACAGCGACCTTGTCTGCACCCCGAGCGTGAGCTGCAGGCTTTCATGATCAAGCCTGTCCAGCGTGTGCTCAAGTACCGACTGCTTCTTGAGGCCATTCTGCACGCGACCGCCAAGCACGACTACCCGCACCGTGCCGAGCTCGAAGCCGGCCACGCCGCTGCTCTCCGCATTGCTAATGACATCAACGAGACGACCGACCTCAAGGAACGTCAGGCGACTGTCCGCGAGCTCGTCGAGCGTGTCGATGACTGGAAGGGACACGACTATGAGCGCTTCGGCGACCTTCACCTCGACGCTCAGTTCACTGTCTCCAAGGCTGATTCGCCGCGAGAGTACCACGTCTTCCTCTTTGCCAAGATGATGCTTTGCTGCAAGGAGGTCCAGGTCGACAAGAAGTCGAAGGGTGGCAAGAACGGCAACATGCTCCGCAAGGACAAGACGAACAGCAAGCCCGTCAACGTCAAGCCGCGGCTGGCGCTTAAGGGTCGCATTTTCGTCTCGAATGTCACCGCCGCCCACCTCCTTCCCCCGACCGAGCCGTTTGGCATCTCCCGCGTTCAGATTGTCTGGACCGTTCCCTCTAAGACTGGTGAAGGTCCCGAGGACATCGAGGACTCTTTCATCATGTCTGGAAAGTCCGAGGAGCAGATGAAGAAGTGGGCCGAAAAGGTCATGGAGCTCGCCAACGCCGCTCGCAGGGAGAAGAGCGCCCGCGAGCACGCTCGCACGGGCTCGCACTCGCAGCGAACATCAGGCCCTTACTGGGCTCAGTCCTCCTTTGCGCCACCGACCCCTGCCGCGGAGCACTCGTCGTTCCCTCACGGATCGGCGCTCAGCCCTACATACGGCCCTGGCGAGCTTCCCGACGAGGAGGACCGTGGCCTGCCGCCATCGTCCAACCTCAGCGGTCTCGGCATGTACAACGTGCCCGGCGTTGGCCCCCAGGTCCCGACCAACAGGAGGGTCCAGAGCCAGCAGTCTCTGCCTTCGGTCGCCCAGGCCGATGTCCGACAGAACCGCGCCATGACTGAGGACCAGAGCGGACCGAACATGGTCATGTGGAAGAACATGCATACCGCGCCCCCTCTTCCTGCTCTGCCTCACATTGGTTCTGCGCCGTCATCTGCGGTGGGATCCGAAGCCTCTTGGGGTCACGGTCCTCGACGACAAATGACGGGCACCGAGGACATGCACATGCCCCCGGCCGCCTATCAGCAGTATAACCAGGGTCCTCGTGGCCCAGGGTCGCGGCAAATGTCGCAGTCTGGTGGCCAGCCACCGCGAAATCGGTCGGTGTCGTCCCCTAACGTGCATCAGCAGGCACAGCTGCCTCCAATGTCCGCTTCAGGGAGCAGCAGCAGCGGCTGGGGCGCGGCATCCAACGGCAACGCGCCCTATCCTTCTGGTTCCAATTCGTCGTCCTCGACCGGATTGGGATCTACGCCCGGTGGAACGGCGTACTTTACGCGACGTGAGAGCAACGGCGAGCGCACGAGCCAGGAGTCGGAGACGACTGAGACTTCTGACTCTTCGAGCCAGAGCCCGCGAACGCCGTATACGAACGCTACGCCCGGCGACCTCCGCGGCGCTACCCCTGTCTCTCGACAGAACAGCCAGGAGACCGGCGCGACCCCTTCCACTGTATTGGTTAAAGTACGATCTGGAGAGTCGAACTTTGTTATCGGCATTGCTTCAGACGTTCAGTATCGCACGCTGTACGAAAAGGTCGTCAAGAAGTTGCGACTGTGCAGCGCCCGGCACGCCAACGCCGATCTCGACCTTGTGGTCAAGATCAAGTGGCTCGACTCTGATGGCGACGAAGTCGTCATCAAGACCGACATGGATGTTCAGACCATGCTTGCAGAGGCTGGTACTGAGCAGATCCAGCTGATTGCGACGTGAGGGGCGCCAAGGCCACTGTCACACCGTTCAACGCACGTTGTCATGTCTTAACGAATTTCTTCTTCTCTTTCTTTTCTTTCGGCTCTCTCAAGGCCTCTCGGCAGTATCCAATCACCCCCAATCACATCACCAGCAACATTGGCCCTTTACGCGCACCAGCATCCCAACAACATAGAGTCACTCTTTCTTCGTTTTCCTCTCTCGTCTCACGTTTTTGTTCTTTGTCCTCTCGAACGGTTGATAAGATGGGTAGTTATAACGTTACACGTAGTATAGAGGAGCGTGCGCGCCAGTAGAGGCCGCCTCCATTTCCCTTAGTAAAACGAAAAAGAGGGACTTTGGCCCTTGTATGTACACTATTGCCTAAAGCGAGCGTCGAGCAAGTGCAAGGAGGTGACTGACGTGCACGCGCGCAGGCGGCGACGTGCAAGACAGCGACTGTCGTCATTGAGCGGGTGTTGCCAGGTGAGTCAACTCGCGTCAGACCGCGTGAAACCACAACATTAGCTCCCGCGTGTTGACGGCCGTTTGCCACTCGCGCGTCATTTTCGCAATTTCCCAAATCGGCCAAGTCCAGTGGGTCTCATCTCGAACATTACACCGTCTCCCAGCCGTGTTCCCACCATCGACCAACGGCCCATCGAGCATCAACAACGCACACCACAGTGAAGGATGATGCTCCGACGCGCCTTCTCATCGTACTCGACAGCGCGAGCTGTCGCCGCCGCGCCGCGCGCCACTACGACAGCTACAGCTACGGCTGCGAAGCCCGTCGCTCGCGCAACCCCTGCTCGGACAACAGCGACAAAGACAGCTGCAGCGCGGACCGCGACGCCGACAGCAGTCAAGGCGACAACAACGCGGGCGAAGCCGCGACTGCTGCAGGAGGACGCCGACTTCCCGATGCCGCAGGATGTGGAGATTGCGAAGCCGCCCGGACTCGTGGGCGATGCGGCGCCGCGGGATGCGGCCGCGTCGGAGCCCTACTCCTCTGTGGCCGAGGAGGTGCCGACGAGCAGTTTCGCAGCGTACGTCAACTACGACTCGGGTTCGTCGTCACTCGCCCCCCTCGCCGAGGATGTGGACTGGACAACGAGCTACCGCGGTCTCTCGACCCGGCCCTTCACCCCCGAAGCGGCTGCCGCCCTCCTCCGTCCGCTCTCGAGCGAGGACGTCGAGATCAAACCTGACGGACTCCTCTACCTCCCCGAAATCAAGTACAGGCGGACGCTGAACATGGCCTTTGGCCCGGGAGGGTGGGGCATGGTGCCCCGGTCCGAGGTGGAGGTCGGGCCGCGCATCGTCTCGCGCGAGTGGGCCCTGGTGTGTCTGGGCCGGCTCGTCGCCGTCGCGCGCGGCGAGCAGGAATACTTTGACCCCTCTGGCGTGCCGACAGCGATTGAGGCGAGCAAGTCGAACGCCCTGATGCGCTGCTGCAAGGACCTCGGAGTCGCTAGCGAACTCTGGGACCCACGGTTTATCCGCAAGTTCAAGGCGGAGCACTGCGTTGAGGCCATGGTGGAGCATCAGAGGGATAAGAAGAAGAGAAAGCTGTGGAGGAGGAAGGACGCAAAGTTTGAGTACCCATACAAGGAGGTTGGAAAGCTCTAGATGGACTAAAAAGGAGGAAGAGAAGGATCTGTACGATTAGACGACAATGTACCGCTTGCACCACTGTGGACTGACCGCTCTCCTGGAGCATCGCTCACGACAGACTCTGACTTAGCCTGTACACCGTCCGCAAGATCACAAGCCGCGCGGAGAGCTGGAAGTCTGACCCTTCATCTGCCACTCTGCGCGGATTGCACGGTCCTCGGGCATCCCTTGCGCAGGCACCACGCTAGTAAAGACTTATATGAGCAGCTGACCACCTGCTCGTGGGTCTCCACACGATCCACGGATCTGAAGCTCTGAACTCGGCGTTCTACCTCGGTCCCCGGGCGAAGGTTCATCAAGCAACGTGCGGGACTCGATATGAGCAGAAGACCCGACGAGATACGCTTAGCGTGGTTTGTCGTCCTCCAGTCTTCCCTTTCGTTTACGAACTGCCCACGCAGAGTCCGAGTAGTGAACCTGGTTCCGGATCGACCACTGAATGACGGCATTGTTCGCTGTACTCTGGCTCGAACTTCCGGCTCGAGCAATTCTGACATTGCAACCAAAACGGGCTCAGTGTACGTCTATCTCAAGTGTGGACGCTGCGTGTGACCTTCCACTGATGCCTTGCAACCTGCAAGCTAGTGCATTAACATCGTCGCCATTGTCCTAATGTTCTATTGTCCTTTGCTCATCGACGTCTTCTTGCAGTGTCATTCAACTGGTGTCTTCTCCCCCTCCATCACGCCCTTGCCCTTCGCTTGCCGGGACGGCCGCACTGCCGGGCCTGAAGGTTGCGAACTGCCTGCTCGTTTATGGTCCTCGGAAGAACCCGGGCTGCTTGACTCCGTGAAGCTGGTGCGGGTCGAGAGCCTCATATCCTCGAGTGCCACAATATGTGAGCTGCGCGATGTCTCATCCCGGACGGTCACCTGAGATCCGGCAAGACGTTTGCGCTCCTCCGGCGTCAGGCACTGATGTCTCAGGCCGAGCCCGCCCGGGAGGTTGGACGTGACTGGGGCACCTAGAAACTTGATCTCCTCGTTGGTGATCGGGGTCTGATCTGTCCTGTTGGAAGCTCCTACCCTTCTCGGCCCGCGGGGTCGCCTCCCCTTTGTCGGCCTAACGACCGCTTCGCCACTGGGTCTGCTCCCTTCGCCAGTCCGGGTGTTCACTGCGGTGTTCCACTCTTCTCGATACAGTGGCGGCAGCACATCGAACTCGAGAGAGACCTCATCATCCCCGGGGAGCGCCCCTGCGTCCTCCTCACGGCGTACAAGGCGACGCGGGGAGGCGTCCCGGGGCTGCTTGCTGGTGTCGGACTCCTCCCTAAGAAGAGAGGCGTCGCTCGCAGGTCCGAGCGGAGCCACGTAGGGAGTGGCCTTGGTGTCGTCCTGAATGTCGTCCAAGTCGCCGTATGGATTGCGCCTTCGTCGCCTCCACAGACAGGCAGCGAGGGTCATAAGGAGGGCAACGCCGAGGGTCACACCGACAACTGTGCCTGCGATGACACCCGGGCCCATACCGTGCGAACGAGACCGTGCATCTGCTAAACCAGCTGAGCCTTCTGCGGACGCTTGGGTGGCGTTGGTCTGCCTGCTTGGATCGGGGACGCTGGACATCAGCAACAGTCGAGACGATATGGCTGAGCGACTGACCTTTGCCACAGCAGGATCTTCGTGAAATCGCACGAGCTTGGCGTTTGAGCAGCGCCATTTGCACCAGCGGCTCCGGAGTCCGCTCCATCCACTATGGCGAACTTGTAACGAATCCTGGGGTCCAACTGCTGGTTGAGAAGGTGGACGTCGTTGATCACCCGTGGCAGCTCCGAGTCGGCTTCGCCGGTGCCTCCTGGCCAATTGGACCGTGGAGCACCAACGGCGTCACCCGAGGAGGACATCTTCAACGAGTACGGATTCCCCGTGAACACGTACGTGTAGTTGACATCGTAGGGGGTCATTCCGCGAAGGATGAACGGCGGGTCAAACACAAAGCGGCACTCTCCACCTTGCCCTTGTGTCATGTACCTGGGCCCCAAGACAGAGACAAAGGTCACATTGGGAGGCAGATCTACCAGTCGTCCAGATGAGCTGCTCATGGCAGCTGGGGCTGTGTTTCCGGACAGAGCCTCCCTCGAAGCGTCCAGCGCTCCAGATAGCCAGGTATCATTTCTTGGGGAAATCGGCAGGGATGGAGATATCGCGGTTGCGTTGGCCGAGATTTCGGTCATGTCCAGTTTGTGGTCACTGAGCGTCAGGCTAGGTCCGCAGGCAGTGTTCTCACTCATCGATTGGTAGCATGTAAGTGCATGTGATGTTGTTAACCGCCCATCGTTGCTGGAGCTCGAACTCGATGTCGACTCGATACTGCGTGGTCTGGTTCTCCTTCCCAGCTGCGAAGGACATCTCCTGGTTGTACCCGTATCGTCGTACCTGGGTATCGGCTGGCGTGTTGTTGCGACCTCCTGTCAAGCAAGACACCTTGGGGGATCCAGGACCGCTCTCGAGGGGAGTCATAAACACCTCCATTCCTGTGCCGTTGAAAGTGTAGCTGACCTTCGCAGGGCTGCTGCCGGCGAGATAGAGCGAGTCGTTCAGATGGGGCACATTCCTCAGGTCGAACTCGAGCGCCCAGGATGACGGGTCCTGGCGATTGGGGTTGGCGGGGCGAGAAACATATCTGCTGTAGAGCGGCGAGAACCGCAGTCCGGGGTTGATTGGGTATATTGTGCGATTGAATTCGATGAACACAGCGGCCCCGCCATGGCTTGCGAACAGGCATACCAATAGCAACACGGCCGCCATCGTGATTTGTGTGATGTAGTGATGAAGATGGCTACAGTCTGCATTCTGCTGAGGATGCATCACGCTTGCTGCCTTCTTACTATCTCTTGCACCGTGCTAGACTCTGTTTCCCAGGCCGGATCACCACTGGATGTATCTGCGACCTCGGCAGTCGAATGACGCTCATTGCAGCATAGCGTTGCGCACTCACCTGCCCACAAGATTCCAGTGCGATTCGATCACGAACGTAATGCCTCATGAGGCACGGGCAGTCAGAATCGCATACCGACGAAGCCTGCTGTTAAAGTTCATTGGCACAACGCAATAGCTCGGGAACGGGTACATATTGGTGCGCGAACAACGAACAGGCTACCCGTCAGCGAGAGCTTGTGCGTAAAGGTGTCGAGAGAATACAGCAATGTAGTCGATAACGTGTTCTCGGCCCGGTCCGGCAACGCGCGCAAGGTACCGCTTGCCGCCGTCCTTGCGCATTTGCTGTTATACATACGTAGCCTGACAGCGTTAAGATGCATTGAATGCGTTCAAAGCGAATGAATGTCTTAGTTGGGTCTCTTGGGTTCGCTTCTCACCGTACCTGACGTCGTCGCCATCATATCTGACACTGGCAGAGGCCCCGACCTGGAGCCGCTCCTGGTGATCAGACGCGACAAACTGTAGTGCCCTATCTTTCGTGCAACATTATATCTTCATATTGACTTTTCGTGGGAGCTGTGTGACGGGATCAAGAGAGTTGACCGAGGTAGTCTATCGGTCCACCTCCGATATCGACTGCCGAAAACACTGCATGCTGGCTGTACGCACTCCTGCTCACTAACATGCTTGATCTCCCAGGGAATGGCGAACGGTCTGGTCCCGTGGTACACAGTCGGAGGGCTTGAATGTGACCCGGCATCGCCCATCTCCTGCAGACCTCCATGCTGCCGCGGGCGTTGCGGAATCCTCTCCGCAACGCGCGGACCGCTGCCGCGGACTCAGACGTCGGAGCTCATTGGCTTCCAATGCTGCCTTCACGTAACGTGGGCATGCTGCCGCAAGCGGTCCGACACAAGGTGTCGCTGTATGTAGTGGCGATATCGCTGTTGACGTCACCTGTACTGAACGCCCGCCCTACTCGCACGTCCGAAAATAAGCGGGATTGCTGTGCGCACCGTACATGAGACAAGCGAAGAGAGCCGATGCAACATCATAGCGCATGCTACGAGATTTGTTGCGAAACGTCTACACTCCTTAGCGGCCGCACGGACTGACGAACCTTTCTCCGTCTCCGCCGACCTCAGTGCTGGATCCGATCGAGCAACCGCAAGCTGACCATCGTCGCTTACTTTCAGAATTCATTCACTTTGGGCGGTGGCTTGCTGGACACCAAGAAGCCTGGGTACTTCCTCGATCAGTTGATGGTGCTGTGGAGTCGGCGTTTGGGCACCTTCAAGCACTTTGATCTTCTTCGGCGTCATTCCTGATGTCTCGTCCTTTGCCCCGCGATGCCGGAGGTGACTGGCATCCCCAAGAACTTGATCTCTTCGGCGGTGATGGGAGAGAAGGCAGGGCTGTGAGACACGCTTCCCTCCCCAGATCCACCGGGCCGTCTCCGTTTCATGTCATCACTTGCCGATGCGCCTATCTCTCCGCCCGCAACTCCGGCTGCGCCCGTCCCAGCCACTCTGCCATCTGACCCAATTCTCCACTCCTCTCTGTACAGCGGCGGCAAAGCCTCATCCTCTGCAGGCTCATTGTGGTCCCCGGGTAGCGCACCAGCGTCTTCCTCCCGCCGCACCCCTCGAAGCGGTATGGCGACCCCTGGTTGATCGAGATCTTCAGGGAGAATACCGAGCAGAGGGCCATCGTCAGATGGCCCTGGGGGTGCGGCGTACGATGTGTCGTTATCCTCTTCCTCAATGACGAACAGGTCGCCACGTCTCCCTCGCCGACGCCGCCTCAAGAAGTAATCTGCGAGGACCCCGAGGACGACTCCGCCCAGAACAGCACCGATGACCGTGCCCACAATTGCGCCTAAGCTCATGGCTTTGAGGCCAGAGCTGCCTTCTGTCCCCACTGTCGTGGTAGGTTCAGCTCCGGCTGAGGCGACTGGACTGGAACTTGTACTTGCGGATGACGTCTCGTTCTTTTGTTTGCTCGGATCCGGGATGCTGCACGGTCAGTGGTACGGGAGTGGCAATGGACTTGGGTGGCTAATGACCGACCTTTGCCACACTTGGATTTTCGTTATGTCGCATATGCTTGGCACACTCGAGTTGCGATTGCGATTTGGGTAGCCCATCGGGTCGATGACTCCGTCACCAGACGATCCATTCAGGATCGCGAACTTGTAGCGAACGTTCGGGTCGAGCTGCTGATTGAGGAGGTGCACGTCCGGGATCACGTCAGGCAGCTCGTCTGATTCACTTGGCCGATAAGGGGTGGAATAGTTGACAGCACGATCGGGGTAGGATTGGTTCACCAATGTTGGGTTGCCCGTTATGGCGTACGAGTAGTAGAGCTCGTAACGGCTCATGCCGTGGATGATGAAGGGCGGATCGAAGACGAATCGACACTCCCCGCCGTATCCAGGTGTCAAGTACCGGGGACCCAAGACGGAGATGAAAGCGACGTTCGGAGGAAGATCCACGAGCTTCGCCGTAGTGCTGTCGAGATAGTAGGGAGCTGTTGGTCCCAAAACAGCTTCCCTCGAGACAACCAGCGCGCTCGACAGCCATGTGTCGTTCTTCTCGGTCACAGGCAAAGGAGGGGAGATCACAGTCCCATTCGCCAAGATCTCGGTCATGTTGAGGGTGTGGTTGCTGGCATGAGCTTGTATCATCTCGGACTTCTCCTCACTCTTTGAGAGGGATGCTGTAGAGGTTCGTAATGTTGTTGATCCTCCAGCGCTGCGGAGCATCAAACTCGACCGTCACGCGATACTGGCTGAAGGCGTTCTCGTTCCCCGCTTCGGCGGATACAGCGGCGTTCCCATGGTCTGTCACATGAACCTCGGCGGGCAGGCTGTCGCCACCACTCCACACGCCCCCTCCAGTCAGGCAGGAGACTTGAGGGAGTGCCGGACCAGCCCTAACGAGTCCCGTCATGAACATGTTCATGCCTGTGCCATTGACGACATAGGTCACACCACCGGTCTGGCTGGGCATCACCCAGGAATCATTGTTCAGAGGGGCATCTCGCAGGTCGAACTCGAGCGCCCAGTTGGAGGGGTCCTGGGGGCTAAGACTGTCTGCGCTAGAGACATAGGAGGCGTACTTTGACGAAAAGCTCAGGCCGGGGTTGATGGGGAAGATGGTGCGATTGAAGATGAAGTCCAGGGCTGTGACGGTGTATGCGATGAGAAGCGCTGATACCCACAATGCAACCGGAACGCCGACCATGGTGAGTGTTGTGAGGGAGAGATCTGCACCACGGCAGCCCTCCACGGATCTTTTCACTGCAAACGCGACCCTTTCTTATCCGCACAGAAGGATCAGGGGATGCTTATGTGCGTTGGCGTTCCAACCGCCCCTCACACTATGAACCTATGGGTGATTGCAGCGCAAGGATTCGAGTTCACCCTCAGCGTGAAACGCTTGCGGATTGAGGCGCATGACTGTGTGTCGTCTGTCGTCGGATACCACACCCGCAACTCGGCGCAGGCAACTTTCGGCTTGCCGAACAGCACGATCATCGATGACCGGGCCGTGCACCGCTGTGTGCCATACACCCATGTACCTAAGTTCATGTTTCGCCCTGCTCAGAAGCGTGCTTAAGCGACGTACAGGGATTTGACCCAATGCGACTGGTGTCTCTTCGACGAGCGTGATGTCTGTGCAAATTGTAGGAAATTACGCGAAATTCGTATACAGGAAGGGAATTCTTCAGTATTGATCTCACTGCACGGCTCCTTCACAGGCTTTGTGCCCCTGTCGACCGCCTCATGAATCAAGAGCAGACCAGGGGCCGCCTCTCGAGGAGCGCCAGGTGCAGGAGGTTGAAGGGTCTTGAAGTGGGAATAGCAGCAAGTTCAGGGAGAAGGGGCCCGAGAACTCTCCGTGCTGGCTCAAGCACACTCCGCCAACCATGCGGGTTTCGGCGCTGTGTCAGACGATAGGGCTTCATGTCTGTCCCTCGGAAGTGATATCGCCATACGACTGACTGTGTAACATTGCGTGCATGGTTCATTTATACTGATAAGGGTCTTCGCGTGTCCATGCGAAAGTCGTGCGGTTTTGGTGGTCCGAGCTAAGTCGTCTCCTCTGCGGTGAATGCATGGACCCCCTTAGAGCCAGAACTCGGACCTGCCCCAGAGCCGCCCGGGCGGCCCCTGTACTCAATCTCCTCTGGGTACACGGCCACCAGCCTGATTCCACTCTTCTCGACACAACGGGGGAAGGACAACCTCACCTGCTTCCTCGTCAGGCAATGTGCCAGGGTCCTCATCGTGGTGTGCCGCACGTTGCCGCTGCCCTGCCGAAGAGGGCGATGTCTTGCGATTGACTGCGAGCCCGGTGCTGCGGGATGAAGCAGCTGGAATGTACGGCGAGACAGGGGTGAAGTCCGGAATGTCGCTGTCCAGGTCATCGGGGGCATTCTCGACGCGCCGGCGACGGATGGCCCACACCGCTAGGCCAACGAGAAGAAGGACGCCGAGCAAAGCCCCAACCACTATGCCCGCAATGGCACCACCTGATAGGCCCTTGCCTTCAATCCCGGCTCCGTCGGCGACGCCGTCCGAAACCGATGTCGACGGTGCCGGTACTGCGCTGGTCGAGGAAGGGGCCGTAGCCTTCCGCTTCGCGGGGTCGGGCACACTGAACAGCCAATGAGCGCTAACACCGGGATCACTACTCACGTCTGCCATACTTGCAGTTTGCTGAATTCGCAGGGATTGGCGGACACCCGCACCTCTGGCACGACACCTGGCGGCGAGACAACATAGAGACCGCGAGCATCCACTGGCCACCTTGGGCCGGAGACGATGGCAAGCTTGTACTGAACGGTCGGGTCGAGCTGCTGGTCGAGCAGAGTCACGTTCTCAATGTCGGACACGTATACGCCCGGGGCCAGGCCGCGGTGGAGCTGCGGCTGCGCGCCATCGTGCTCTCGTCTCGTCCCGTTCTGCCAGTAGATGGGGATGTCGCTCGGGTTGCCGGTGTCGACGTGGGTGTAGTTGTCCTGGCTCGGTCCGTGCAGGCCCCATCCCGCCAGAAGGGGCGGGTCGAACACGAAGCGGCACTCGGAGCCGTCGCCTGGTGGGAAAGAGCGCTCGCCGATGATGGATAGGAAGGAGATGTTCGCGGGTAGCTCGATGATCTTGCCGGTCGAGTTGTTGAGCTCCACCAGGCCGCTCGCCGACCCGCCGCCGGCCGTTAGACCAGCCGACAGCCATGTAGCGTTGTCCCTTGTCACCGACATGAAGGGACTGACTTCGGAAGCGTTCGCCAAGATCTCGGTCATGTTCAGCAAGTGATCACTGTATTTACATCAGCCCACTTATGGGACCACCACACCTCCCTCGTCGCTCTACCTCATGGTACCGCATTACTCACTCTCGTACCGGAAGATCATACAGGAAGGTAAGTTTCTCGACTCTCGTCCTCACCGCGGTCGGGAAAATCACAGTGCCGACCCACTGGTTGTGCGCGAGCTTTGTCGGGTCACTCCTCGCAGTCCACGTCGCATCCGCTGGCGAGTACGTCACGTCAACAGCGGCCGTCTCAACAGGCGTCCATGGAGTCTTCAGCTCAACCCGCAGTGGTCCTGGCTCGGGGTCCATGTACTCAACGTCGGCAGAGACGAGGAGCTCGATGCCGGTCCCGTTGAACTGAAACTGAAGCTGCGAGGACACATTCCCAGCCGAGGGGAGGAAATCGATCTTCCAGTCGGATACCTGGGGATCGGGACGGTTTGCGACCCACTGTGCTTGCGACCTGTTGAAGTGAAAGCCGGGATAGAGTCCGTACACAGAGCGGTTGAAGTTTGACAGGGAGGGGGGGTCCTCAACCCGCCCCAGCGTTCCCGGCCGCGCAAGCTCGAACTCCATTCCCATCAGGCTGCTGTTTGTTAGAGGATGTTTGGACGACAAAGTCGCGAAACTGCACGGGCTTTTACCAGCAACGAACCTTGGGTAAGATGATGATCTCAGAGGGCCCCCTGCGGGGACTATGAAGGATCAGTAAGGGTGAAGGCGATCCGTGCTTGAGAGGACGTGGTGTCAGCAGGTTCTCTTGCTGGTCACCCTTATGCCACTCTGGCGTCGTTCTTAGTCCTGAGTTTGTGTATTGACGCAGGTATTCAGAGCCATTGGACTCCGAGACGGACACGAAGCTCTACTTCCCTGTCGTGGGCTTCGAGACCCCATGCCTGCAATGCTCGCCCTCGTTTGTCATGGCTAGAACAAAGTATTGCAGGGTGATGCTCGGGGAAACGAAGGCGGCGGATGCTGTGGATCAGCTGAGCATCGAGGAGGGAAGGTTCGTATAGAGCCCCGTCACTTGCTCAGCGCTGTGTAATGACTCGAATAATCAATCCTCCCAGAAGAACGGAAGTGAAAGCACCGGAGAGAGAGTGGTGGCGGTCGCGAACTTGGACGATGGGTCATCGGCCAGTCAGCGCATCATACCGAGGTGCTTGAAGAAGCTAGCGACAAAGCGGGGCACGCGATTATCATGTCTGGGTGGTTTCAGTGACGTGGCCGCCTTGTCAGCTCAGGAGTGCGCGACATTCCCCGCCCATGCGTAGGGGATAAGGTTCAACGGAAGCACATGTGCTCTCTGGCGCGCTCTAGGACAGATCGGCCAGGCACCGAGTCGACTTACCAAGGATCAGTAGCTGATCATGAGCATTGGAGGTCATCGTCGACACAGATCAGAAGAAGCCATTGAGGGGAGGAAGGTGACAGACCAGTAGATGACTGACGTATACCTGGCGTTAGTGGATAGAGGCCTGCAATGAACATGGAGCTGCAAGTGAGCGGTCTTCGGGTCTGAGACAAGTGCGTTGGTGACCATTCAAAAAAGGGTAAAGGTCAGAAAGGAAAGAGAAGAAGGAAGACGGTACTTGGCGTGACTGATGGCCTGGTGAATTGTGAACAGGGCCACAGCGGAGGATGCGGAGGAGTTACGGTGGAACAGTGAAGCCCATGCTGCGCCCCGCCCCGCAACCATGGTCGCCGCTCGGAATCACAGTCAGTCAGCTCTCAAAGCGCAGTGACGAGAGACCAGTCGGACTCTTGGACTGCGATCTCGACCTCGGACCTCCTTTTGCGTTGCTGCGCCGGAATGCGCGGTGTCCGCCTTCATCAGGTCGAACATGTGTCGAGTTTCAACGCAGATCTGCACAGTGGACCGATCTGGCCGCTGGTGTATACCATGGTATACCCTGCACGCCCTGCCAAAGTCGCCATACGGAGTGACTGCAACTCATCAAGGCGTCGGTATGTGGTGATCGACTCCATTGAGGACTGATCATGTTCGACGCAAGAGAAGGGAGAATTGATGGATGGTTGTGACGGAGGTCTGCAGAGGGTTAACACGCTTGGTGGAGGTCGGGCGGAGGGTGGAGGGAGCTGATGCTGACCTGAAGTGTCCATCTGCAGGGTCAGAGATCCAGGCCAGGCTGTGCGGCTGTGACTCTGCGCAGGCTGGCTCATCTCGGAGGTCACTCGCATGCCTCCCCCCTTTCCAAAGATCACCATCCACCCTTCCATCCCTCCGCATCCATCGCCATTCCCACCAACTAAGGTCTCGCCCGCTGCCTTTGGCCCGACCAACACTCTCTATCGCGCAACCATCCGTCGAGCACTGTTGGGTGGTGGTCGTCACTCGCCCCGCATTTCCCTTGGCTGTTCGTTCAGGCTCTGGGTTCGAGCCCCACAAGGACACCCACACGTGGCGGTCATAAACGCCCCCGTCTAGTGTTCCCTCCGCCCTCGGTTCCTCGGTCCTACTGGCTCTCTCCCCCCTCTCCCCTCTGGCTCTGGCCCTTGGCCCTGCCCCTTCCCAGAGATCCCACACGTCTCCATCATCCCAACCTCACCCTCACTACCTCCGTCACTACCAGGTCGCACACACCCCTCTCATCGTCGCGAGCGCGCGTCACAACCTTTTTCGCACTCTCAACCACACCACCATCAAGGTGCATGCCTTTCCCTTAGGCATCACCTTCAACGAGGCCCCGCGCCCACCTTTGTTTCCCCCCACGCCTCTCTTGTTCAAAACAAGGGGGCGTCCCAAAAGTCAACCACCCCCCAGACTAGACCAGTCGACTTTCGGTCACTTGGCTGTGTCTGTCACCACGCGCCCCGTTCGGTCTACCAGTCCACCGGGCACCCTTTCTCGCGCCTCGCTCCCGGCCACTCCCCTCTTTCACTGTCTCTACTCTTGGCCGCCTGGTCGGTAGGAGATGTCTCGCCCCTCGTCGCTGCATCCTCGCGACACTGACGACGACTTCTCCCTACCACTCTTCCAGTCTCACCCGCCCCCGACTCTCGCCTATCACCCCCCGGCTCCACCCTCCCAACCGCCCCTGTCTCCCCATCTCCCTCCTCCATCGACACAACACTCACACCACCACGGCCACCATCAACGACAGCAGCAGCATCGCGCGCATCGTGCCTCCCTCTCGGTTCAGACTCAGAATCCGCAGACGCCCGGCGGTTACTCGCCTTCGTCATACGCCGGCAACGGCCAGGCCAACAACCGCCAGACGATGCACTTCCCCGCATCGTTTGCAAGCCCTTACGAAGACATGCCTCAACAACACCACCACGGATCGAGCGCACTTGGCAACCTGGCGCGCTCCGCGAGCCTAGGTACTGGACGAAGGAAGGACCCGTTCAAGTACGCTGCCGACGACGTGGAGAGTGGTATGGCCGGCGACACCTGGGGCTCAGGCGCTGGGTACGGACAAGGCGACAGTAACCTCGCACCGACCTATCGCGATACCGACGTCGTCATGTCCCCTGGACGCCCAGGTTACACCGGCCCATCGTCCAACATGCCGCCTCCGCCGGTACCGATGTCCCAGGCGCGTGTGAACGTATCGAGCCCTTCGAAGCCTGCACCGAGTCATTCGCAATCTCAGACGTCCGCGCCCAGCAACCCTTACGTTCCTCGCGAAAGCGATGCCTGGCAGTCTTACCGCCGGAACTCGCACCATTCGAGCAGTGATGGATTATCGCTCTCGACTTCCCCCATGCCGAATTCACCGGCGACCGCCTCCGCTCAGCAACCGCCGCAGTCGGGAGGTGGTCCATACGATCCTTCACCATCTGCTTCCGATCACGCCTTCCTCACTCCCCACGGCTCCCACAAGCCTTTGCCTCCAGGATCACCACGCCAAGGGAACGCCCAATCTTCGTCTTCCCCAAGCCACGGATACAGGTCCAGTTCAGCCCATCGCTCAAGCTTCGCCGCGAGCCAACCCGTAACCCCCAGCGATAGGTACCACCCCACGTTCGCAGCCTACGGATCGTCATCCCGCCCTCCGTCATCTTCTAAGCAAGGATTCCGGACGGTGCGCAACGCCGACGACCTCAAGCCCAAGGTGTCCGCTCATCCCCAAGGCCGTCGCGCAGACCCCAACGTGCCGGGAGCTTATCTCAGTGTAAGTGCTAGGGGAAGGACGTCATGGCGATGCTAACCGAACAGCCTCTGAAGTGCCTTACGTCCCAACTTCCTCAAACGTACACGCTGTGCAACCCTTCGTTCCGGTACGAGACGACGGACAACCCTCGCCGCGTTCTCACGAAACCGAGCAAGCCCGTCTACAATGACGGCGCCGACAACGAGGACTGGGACTACATTCTCTACGTGAATGACGTCCTCGGAGGTGACCACGGCGGCGACCGGTACCTCATCCTCGATGTGCTCGGTCAGGGTACATTTGGACAGGTGGTCAAGTGCCAGAACATGCGTACGCATGACATCTGCGCCGTCAAGGTCGTCAAGAACAAGCCGGCGTATCTGAACCAGAGCAAAATGGAGGTCGCAATTCTGCAGCTGCTGAACCGCGACCACGATCCGCGTGACGAGCACCACATTCTGCGCCTTCAGGACTCATTCACGCACAAGAACCATCTGTGTCTTGTCTTCGAGTGCCTCTCGTCCAACCTGTACGAGCTCATCAAGCAGAACCAATTCAAGGGTCTGAGTCTCCAACTCGTCCGCGTCTTCACCCAGCAGCTCCTGGACTGTCTTGCGGTGCTGAAAGACGCACGCTTGATCCACTGCGATCTGAAACCAGAGAACATTCTGCTGAAATCGCTACAGTCGCCCTCGATTAAGGTCATTGACTTCGGTTCCGCCTGTCACGAGCTCCAGACCGTGTACACGTACATCCAGTCGCGGTTCTACCGTTCGCCGGAGGTCTTGCTTGGTCTGCCGTACTCGACCTCCATCGACATGTGGTCGCTGGGCTGCATCGTTGTTGAGCTCTTCTTAGGTCTCCCGATCTTCCCCGGCACGAGCGAATACAATCAGGTTTCGCGCATCGTCGACATGATGGGGTGAGTTTTGTACGTCTTACCCCTAACTAACTCTCAGATTGCCGCCGCAGCACCTTCTCGAGGTCGGCAAGCAGACCAACGAGTTCTTCAACTGTGTTGGCGTCGACGCCCACGGACACAAGCAGTACAAGCTGAAGCCGATGGACCAGTACGCCAGCGAACACCGCACGAAGGAACAGCCGAGCAAGCAGTACTTCAAGCAAACGAAGTTGCCGGACATCATCAACGAGTACCCACTGCCGAAGAAGAACACGAAGCAGGCGGATATCGACCGCGAGATGCAGCAGCGAAAGGCGTTCATCAACTTTGTCGAGGGCCTTCTGAACCTGGACCCGATCAAGCGATGGTCTCCGCAGCAGGCTGCCAAGCACCCGTTCATCACGGGCGAGAAGTACACGGGGCCTTTCGAGCCCCCACTTGCCCCGTCAAAGCGCCGAACAAACACGACAGCCAGCACGACCCCGACGGCGTCGTCCTCATCCGGAACTGGAACGCAAAGCGGTTCGTCCGCGACGACTCCGTCGAAGCAAAAGTACGGCGGTCTCGTGCAGAGCCCGACGTCTGGACGAGGACAGCGTGTCTATTCGGATGCCGCCGCGTACAACCACCAGCTCGCGCAGCATCAGTACCAGACTGCGCAGGCTGCTGCTGCGCAAAACGCTGTCCGCCCCGGTCCGTTCTCCCCCGGCTACGAGCCGCAGTCGTCGTATAACAAGCCACGCGTCTCGAGCCACCAGTTACCGATTCCGTCGTCGTGGCAGCAGCCCCCACAGCAGCAACAACAGCTGCCGCCACCTGCGCACCAGCAGCCCCTCGCGCCGCCGCAACAGGCGGGACACTACCGCCTGCCCAGTGGGCAAGTGCCGTCGTCTTCGCACGGCCACGGCTCAATGCGACAGAATGTCCCTGTCATCAATGCACCGACAAACCCGCCACCGAACTCGTACTACCCGGCGTCGCGCAACAGGGCGAACACGATCAATCAGATGGACACGATCCCGCCTGCGCTCGCGCGACTGACCAACCTTGGCGCACCGGATCCGTCGGGCAACCGCACATCGCTCACTCCGGTGCTGCACCGCGAGGACATGGTCGAGGCATGGGAGCGGCGCCAACAAGGTGGCCACAAGCCGTCGTCGCTGCACAACGCGCACTACGCGCAGCTTGAATACCTGCAGGAGCAGGCCGAACTCGTCAACATGGGCCAGTCCTACGTCATGCCGGGGCAGTATGGGCACCAGGCGCAACCGCACCACGGGCACCACCGCGGCAGCCAATCCTTCAGCGGTGTGCAGGGGTACCAGATGCCGATTGTCGACTACCGCCGCAACGAGTACGAGCCGTCGTCTAAGAACCGCAACTACCTGCCGGCGTACCCTCCCCCGGTCGCGACGCACGAGATCGACCCCGGCATGATCATGCCGCCGTACAACTCGCCGGGCGGCTACCAGGCCTACTCGCCCGGACACGGAGCTAGGGCCTCCTTCTCTGGTCCGTACCGCCCACCCGCAGGACACGCGCAGGGGTACCAGCAACCCCAGCAGCCCGTAACTCCGACGAGGTCGCAGCGATACCCCGCCCAGGGGTATCAGTGAGTGGCGCGGTAGCGAGCGAAGCGAGCGTAGGATCAAGTCGAGCGTTCCTTCCAGAATTTCTATTTCACGAGCAGTCGACGGATTTGAGTAAAAGTAGCAAGCAGAGGTAGTAATAGAATTACCACATCACTCTCATCACCCTCCCCCTCCCCCTCCCCCTCCCATACATCCCGCCCACATCACGTTAGTAGTTTCCAAAACACGCGCCGCTTACACGCGCACCGCCCTCCCTCTCCATGATACTCGCTGAGCGAGCCCCCCTCCCAAGTCCGTATTACCGCCACCAATCTTTTCACGCTTCACGTTTCAGTAGATCCAAGACCCGAAGAGAGTTAGTGCAAGGAGGCAAGGAAGGCAAGGAAGGCCAACGGAGGAGAAATGATATGTACGCATTTATTGCATTTTGCTGCCTATTTTGTGTCTTGTTGGTCTGTGTTCGTTGGGGGGCTCTATGATACCGGCCAGCGGTTGTGCTTGGGAGTGTTGGGCGGGGGTGTGGGGGTGTCTGGGGTGGTGTATGTCGGAGTCGGAGTGGGAGTGGGTGTGGGGTGTGGTGGTGATAGGAATATATGCTATGCCAATGTGTTTCTTATGCTAGTGTCCGTTGTCGCTAGTCGTGTGGGCGTGCAGCCCGTGGATCCCGGGTTCGGGGCGAGTCATGACTATCGGCGTGTCTGGCGTGTCTCGGCATGAGGGGCTATCGCTTCCTCAGCGCCTCACTGCTTCTAGCAGCATTATGCCTGAGGACGTTGGCATGCAGACTGCCACTCTTCGTCCTCTGCCTCGTCCCCGCCAACCCAGTCTCCCTCGAGGTTCCATTCGGCTGGATGGCGCCCAGCGGCGCGCGCGCAGGCGGCAGCGGGAGCTCGGCCGCAATCTGCTCATTCCGGTCCACGAGCGCGAGCATGCTCGCCGTCTCGGCCTGCTTCTTCAAGAACGGGGAGGGCGCATCGGGGTCCGCCGCGTCCCACCGCGCAGGCGTCTGGTCCGGCCGCCACGTGAAGGGCGTCTTGGCCGGCGTGGACAGCTTCTCGGAACTACCGCTGCGGCGCGTCATGAGGCTCGCGAGGCGCTCTGAGCGCTCGACACTTGTGCCGAAGCGGCCGGCGTCGCTGCGCTCGTTACGCTCCGCCCGCTCCACTCGCGCCTCGAGGAGACGCTCGGCGCTGTTCTTGCGCTCGACGTTGCGCTCGACCGCAGCACGCTGGAACTCGGCGCGCAAGTCGCCCCGTAATTCGGTGCGCGTGGGGAGGAAACTGCCCCGCTGCGCGTCGCCGCCGAGCGAACTTTGGCGGCGGCGGAAGCGCGAGGCCGGGGTCGGTAATTGTCCCGGAGCGGGGGAGGCGAACGACGCCGTGCGCATCGAGACGTCGCCTTGCTCGAACACGCGCTCGAGCTCGCCCGGCGACCCGATGCTCGTGCGTCCCGCTACGTGCCGGTTCGGGCTCGCTTGCGGCTTCTTCGGCGTCGCCATGCCTGCCGTGCCGGGTACGGGGGGCGCTTCGAGCTTCGAGCTCGCCGAGGAGAGGTTCGTCATGCTCTTCGAGACGTTCTTCCGGCCCAGCGCGCCCGCCGACCGCTGGTTGCGCAAAGGCAGCGGCGAGGTGCACGGGAGCGGGATCTTGGACGGCGTGTCCTCGTACTGGTACCGTCTCCTGGGCGGCGGGTCGCGCTCGGCCCCCGCGTCCTCGTCCACACTGTCGAGCGATCCGACGGAGCCCTCACGGTCTCTACCCGAGTCGCCCGTTCCGGCAGACCCGGCTGATCGGGAGAGCGCAGCGAGGCGAGCGATCTCGGCGTCCTTCGCCTCCTTCTCGAGACGGAGCGCCTCCCACTGTTCCCGGAGCGAGGCGTTTGCGAGCGCCATTAACTTGTGGTTCTCGCGCAGAATGTCCTCGCGCTCCGTCAGCGCCGCCTCGCGCGCGAGCATGTCCGCTTCCCGCTCGGTCAGGGCCGCCTCGCGCTCGGCGAGGGCACGCTCCCTTCGCTCCAGAGCGGCGTTACGCTCTGCCAGCCGCGTCTCGTACGCGATGAACTCCTCCTTGCGCTGCGAGAGGATCGACGCCTGGTTCTGCACTTGGAACAGCTTGCGGTGCAGCTTCATCTCGTCCATCTCGAGCAGGTCCTTGGTGCTCGGGCGCCGGACGGGGTTCAGGCTCAGCATCGCGCGGATCACGCTCTTCAGCGTCGGGCTAATGTGGCCCGGAAGAGGCGGGAGTCGGCCACTCTTCACCATGCTGATGAGCTCCTCTTGCGTCGTTGCGGTCGAGAAGGGAGAGGTCAGCGCGCACATCTCGAACACGAGACAGCCCAGAGACCACATGTCGCTCTTCGTGTCGTAGCGGTTCTCGGCCAGGATTTCCGGCGGCATGTACAGCGGCGTGCCGACGTAAGTTGACGTGAACGCGCATCCGCCCATGTCCTTTGAGAGACCAAAGTCACCCAGCTTTACGATGTCGCCGGACAGGAAGACGTTCTCGGGCTTCAGGTCGCGGTGAAGTACCTGCGTTCGCTCAGACGAGCTTCTAACTCGCCCAGCTGCTCGCTGTTCCGGCCAGTGGCAGTGGTGCAGCGCAAGGGTGATCTGCAGGAAGATGTTCCAGATCTTGTCCTCGTGAATCGGTGTATTCGTCCGCTGCGCTTTTCGGATCAGGCTGCCGAGGTCTCCAGACGTGCAGTACTGAGGTCAGCTTGACTACGGCATTCAACAGCCTGGATAACTCACCTCCATCACGATGTAAATGCGCTCGTTCTTAGGGTCCTTGATCTTCTGGATCAGCTGCACAATGTTTCGGTGCTTCAATGATTCGAGAATCGCACTGCCATCAGCCTCGCCCACCCCTCTCCACATACACTTCAGCTAACACCTGTTTCCGGTCTCGCTCCGTCATCTTCGCATAGTCGAGCTGCTTCAGGGCAAATTCCTGTGTATCAGCTTCCTCGTCGGCGCGAACCAGCTCACCTTGCCGTCCTCTATCCGCTGGATCTTGGAAATGACGCCAAAAGACCCCTTGCCAATGTTCGAGACGAGGCGGTACTTGTCCATTTCGCTGGCATCGGCGTAACCAGACGCCGAGGAGAAGGCGCTCGCCGTCCGCCGACCGGTGCTGGACATGGCGATGTGGGGTAAAAAGGAGGAGAGGAAGGGAGGAGTGAAAGGGAGAAGGCTGTGTTTGGCGGGTTGGGGTTGTCGCGACTAAGGTTGCGCGACGTCAGGTGGAGTGGAGTATGGAGTATGTATGCAGCGGCCAGTCTGCAGTGGGTGCCGGGTGTGTATCAGGATGCAATATGTGGGCGCGGCGGGAATGTTTGGATGGTTTGGCTTTGCGTTTAGCCACGACGGACACGGTCAAACGGAGGTCTGAGAGTGCGGGCCGGAAGCTGAAGCTGAGGGTGAGGTCCGAAACAAACAAAGGCTGACCGGGCAGTCTGTTGTTGCTGGGTTGTCGCGGGGTGTCGGTCGGTCGTCGATGATGATGGTCGGAGTAGTCGATGCAGAGCAATCAGACAAGCATGACTGGGGAGAAGGATGTGGAAATGAGATGGAAGGGGTAAAAGTAATGTATGTTTTGTGTTGTGCACGTTGGGCGAGGGGAGGATGGTGGGAACGCACACTAAGAGAGGTTGTTGATGGACATTGGTTCCTGAATGTGCAGCGGTCAACACGACGTCGACCCCCCCTCGGCTCCCTCACCGCTCACCGTGTCGTAACCACGCCCACTGCGGGACCTGCACACTGCGCGACCGTATCAAAAAAATCATACGCGTCCTTGCACACCCTGCGTGCACCTCATGCCACGTCATTGTTTCCAGAACATTACGACCCAACCCTAATCTTACATTACTAAATGGGCCTATGCGTGCCTGTCCTCCCAGGCTAATCCCTGCCCTAATCCCTTGGCCGCGTCGCAAGTCTTCAGTTCGATCTCAGGGTCTCACCACTTCAAGTGACCTCAGCGTCAACAATTTTGAATACCATTCACCAACTTCTCGCCTTCTCCAACAACACCACCAACAAAAGCCATGTCTGATACCGACTCGGCCAGCAACAGCCGTGCGTCGTCCCCGGCAAACGGCGCAGACGAGCCCAAGAAGACCTTCGCCGACCTTGGCGTCAGCAAGGAGCTCTGCGAGTCCTGCGAGTCGCTCGGCTTCAAGCACCCGACGGACATTCAGGTCGCCGCCATCCCTCCTGCGCTCACCGGCCGCGACATCATCGGTATCGCCCAGACGGGTAGTGGTAAGACGGCTGCGTTCTCGCTTCCTATCCTGCAGACGCTATGGGAGAACCCCCAGCCGTTCTACTCGCTCATCCTCGCTCCGACTCGGTAAGCTTGGCGGTGTGTATCACGGAGCTGACATCAGTGAACTGGCGGACCAGATCGCGAAGCAAGTGCAGGCTCTTGGAGCGCCGATCGGCGTCAGGACGGCCGTTATCGTCGGTGGCATGGACATGATGTCGCAGTCCATTGCCCTTAGCAAGCGCCCGCACATCATTGTTGCTACTCCGGGTCGTCTCATGGACCACCTCGAGAACACCAAGGGCTTCTCCCTCAAGGCGCTCAAGTACCTCGTGCTCGACGAGGCTGACCGTCTTCTCGACCTCGATTTCGGTCCCATCATTGACAAGCTTCTCAAGGTTATCCCGAAGGAGCGCAACACCTTCCTCTTCTCCGCGACCCTGTCCACCAAGGTCGAGAAGCTCAAGCGCGCGAGTTTGAACAAGCCGATCCAGGTCAAGGTCGACTCCAAGTATGTCGAGCTACGCTTGAGGTGATTGTAAGCTGACACACAGGTACTCGACTGTCTCGACTCTGATGCAGTACTACGTCTTCTTCCCCGAGGTGCAGAAGGACGCATACCTCTTCTACCTCGTGAACGAGCTGAGTTCAAGCTCGATGATCATCTTCACGTCGACCGTCGACCGCGCTCAGCGCCTTAGCATTATGCTGAACCGTCTTGGCTACCCCGCCATTCCGCTTCACGGACAGATGAGCCAGTCTGCTCGTCTCGGAAGTCTGAACAAGTTCAAGAGCGGAGGACGCAAGATTTTGGTTGCGACTGATGTTGCGTCGCGTGGTCTCGACATTCCTTCCGTCGACCTCGTCATTGTGAGTACAGCTAGAGCTCTGCTAAGATCATAGCTGACGAGAGAACTTTGACATTCCCTCCAACTCGAAGGACTACGTGCACCGTGTCGGTCGTACTGCGCGTGCTGGACGATCCGGAAAGTCGATCACGCTTGTGACGCAGTACGACGTTGTCATGCTGAAGGGTATCGAGGCGGCGATCGGACGCCAGCTCCCCGCGTTCGACTGCGACAAGGAGGCCGTTGCGATCCTGTCTGACCGCGTGAACGAGGCGGCGCGCGCTGCCAGGATAGAGATGCGCGAGACGGGCACGGGCGGGGCTGGCGGCAAGCGCGGGCGCGACAAGGGCAGGAGAGGAAAGGACGACGACCGGGACCGCGACGACGACGTTGTGCAGGGCGGCATGCCGAAGAAGAAGTTCAAGAAGAGGAAGTAGAGGTACTCGCATCGCATTGGAAGATTCGGGCATCAGGCAATTGGGCCTTAATTCATAGACATCTCTGTACCAGTAATGCATCACTTTCTGTAGACGACGTTGCCCGCCCGTGAACGAATAAATGTACCGGGTTTCGCGAGCGAGCCGCTCTGAAACCTGAAGCTTAAATTGCCGCGACTCAGGGCAGCGCGCGCTATCAGTAACCTGGCTCACCTGCTATCCCGCATCACACACGTCGCCGTCACTCGCTCGATCTGACCATCCTTCCTCCATCGCCAGAACTGCTCTTCCCTTTCGTCAAGCAGCCGCCGCCATGGCAGCTAACCCGTCGCATCTGCTAATCTCCCGCAATCCCCGCTCCCCCGCTCATCCCCAGTTAGCCTCAACGCTGACCACCTCGCCGTACCTCTTCCCTTTCCCAACGGACGACTCGACCCTTCCCCATGTGTCCGGCGGCGAGCGAAATGCCCCGCGGCACACCCGTTCGCAGTCGACCCCCGCGTTCGATCTTGATCTTGAGGATGACACGGAGCCACTCGAGATCCACCCAACGTTTCGCAGGGACGCTGAGTTCCCCGGCCGCGTTCTCGTGATCGTCGGCGGGTACGAGTTCTGGTGTCATAAGGAGGTTCTCTGGTTTGCAAGCCCGTTTTTCAACGCTCTTCTCAAGGGACCGTGAGTTGCTATCTTTAGCCTCTTGCCGTGTGTGCGTGTGTGGTGTGCTGAACGACCAGGTGGACGGAAACGGGTGGCAAAGGACACCAAGCACACGGGCACGGGCGCAGCGATTCCCACCATTCACATCGCTCCCACCACTCCCACACCCGCTCACACTCCCACTCGCTCATTCCCAGCAGCTCGTCACATGTGCCGAGCTCAACACCACCGGATCCCGAGCCGGCTGCTGAGCAGGACCACGATGTCGCCGCCCCGGACACGGATACGCTTTCTCTTCCCGGGAAGGACGACGAGCAGAAGGGCAGCGTCTACCTCGACGCGCAAGACGGACCGAGCGTGGCCGAGATCCTGGCCGAGCTGCGCAACCTACCCGAGCCACCAACAGCCAGCGAGGGCGGCGCCAGCGCTGCGAACCGGCTAAGCATGTTCGGGGCGAACCCAGCGCCGCCGCACCCTGCGACACAACAGCCTTTTCAGTTGCCCGAAGCAGATGAGAGGAAGAAGGCCGCCTCGCCGTTGTCGTCGCTCTCGTCTAGTGGCGTGCTCAAGCCGAAACCGAAGCGCGCAAGCACGCAGAGCGGTTCGATCAGCACTCCGGTGCGGCCGTGTAGTGCACCGGCTGGGGAGCGGCATCGGGATGCGGACTGCGTCGTCGAATTGAAGGAGGAGTCGCCCGAGGCGTTTCAGGTGCGTTTCGTCACAGTTTTGGAGCGTGCGTGGAACAAACTGACCCGCAGGACTTCTTGTACTGGGCCTACCCGCATCTGGACTGCAAGGCAACATGGACGAATGTCGAGGGGGTGAGCTATCCTTCGCGACGTGAAGCTGACCACCAGCTCCTGGCACTATCGCTAAAACTGATTGTGCCGAGCTTGACCAAGCTGTGCGAGCAGTTTCTCATGACACACGCCTCTGGACGGCCCGTCATGGCCATAGCGCTCGCCGAGCAGCATGGCAATGCAGAGCTGTATAGGGAGGCGAGCCGGTTCCTCCTCGACCAGCCGACGTGGGACCCGGAGGAGTTCGAGAGCCTCAGCGAGACGACGCAGTTGAAGCTGAGCAAGCGGTGTGTCTCTAGCTGCCTCTTGGCCTTTCTTATAGCTGACCGCAGACGGACGTGGTTCCTGGAACGTCTGCTGAAACTCGGCACGATCGACGTGAAGAAGGAGTACACCTGCGTGAGCTTCCTGGGCCAGCATTTTCTAGCTGACAAACAGAGGCCGGATTGCCCCGATCCGAGCAAGTGCCAAATGCAGCTCGACGAGAAGTGGAGACAAGCATACTTGGCGGTGTCGCGGTATGGTCCGCCGCAGGCGAGCGTCGCCTTCCGCTGTCTACGACAGCTGGAGACCTTTCCCACCAACCCCAGCCTGGTCATGCCGCACCCGCTGTGTCAGACGAGTGCGAAGAGCTGGGTCAGCACGCGTGAGTACTCGTGACGACCGCTGGAGCTAGTGGAGATAGCAGCTGGGAAGACACAGCTATGCTTACGGGATAGAGCTGACAGCAGTCTTCGACCGCATGTTCCAGCCCAAGGTAGCGTTCGGGCTCGTCACGCCGGGCACTGAGAAGGTGAGCTGTTGGTTGCGCTTTTCAGCTGACGACAGTACTGGCTTCACATCACTCTCAACTAACATCACCGTAAGCTGTGCCACTCACAGTGTTCAGCTGACAAACTCTGATTCCGACTCGGAAAGTTGGACGGGCTGCGATCGAGCGAGCCTTAGACTATGACAACGACGCTTCTGTACTGTATATCTCCATGCATCCTGTACTCTACTCTACTTCCACCATTACTCTATCTCTACTGCCTGACGACAAAGGCATCCGTGCTCCCCCGCTTGAGCGCGAGCATGCTCGCCTCCCTCATCCTCTCAAGATAGCGCTCAAGCGAGCCCGCCGCGACAAATTCATCATACACCCGCCAGTCCTCAGCCGCAACGAGCGAGGCCATCTCAAGCGCATCCTGGAGGAAACGCGGCGTGCGGTCAGAGTACTGCACGAGCATCTGGTGCAGCCTGAGGACGAGGTAGGGGATGAAGATCTGGCGGATGCGCGCGAGCTCCTTCCGTCGCTGGGAGGCGTAGAGCGAGCGGTCGCGAGAGGGGAATTGGAGCCAGGAGCTCGTGAGGAGCGCCCGGGTCTGGGCCGCGACGTCGTCAATAAGGGCCTGAATGTTAGCTGACAACCATCTACGCCGCAGCTGTGCCGTTACCCTTGCACTGCAGGGGGAGGCGGATTCTTACACTCACATTAAGCTTCTTGGCCCAGTTATGCTGCTCAACCCGGCCGGCCGTCTCCTTCGGCGCGCGGCCCGCGACCTCGTCCACGGCGTCGTGCGCGCTGAAGAGCTGGAACAGCTGGACATAGTCGTGGTGTTCGTCCGACTGCGTCTCGTCGTCGGCGCGCACCGCCTCAAGCTGGCTGGGGAGGGAGCGGAGCAGGGCGTGGGCGGCATTCGCCTGCCCCAGCGCGAGGAAGTAGCGCATAACGTCGTTGGAGCGGACGAGGGCCTCGGGCAGCGTCTCGAGGACCATGGTGAGCCACTCGATGGCGCGGATGAGGTGCACGTCCCGCTCGGAGAGCGACGAGAGCCAGTTGATCTCTGGCTCTCCTGGGACAAGTGCGGGGATGGACGAGAACGCCTCGTCGAGAATCATGCGCACTGTCTCCTTGGCAATCACGGCCGTGTCGAGGTGATGCGCCTGCGCGCGCAGGAGCGCCTGCTTCTTCTGCTCGAAGGGCGCGTCGGGATCCATCGCGCGCAGGAATCGCGCGTAGCTCTGCTCTCCGTTGCCCTCGCGCAGGCAGGCTGCGTACGCCGCCACGAGCGCGTCGTTGCCCCCACGCTCCAGGATGTGCAGGTAGGCTTTGATGATGTCGTTAGCCGCGTCCTCGGGCACGTCCTGCCCGAGAGAGCGTAGGACTAGCACGAGGTGCGTGAAGAAGCGCACGAGGGGACCGATCAGGTCGGGCGCCACGCTGTCTGCCAGTGTTGGGAGGCGGTCCGCGAACGTGTTCAGCAGCACGGGTGCGCGGCCCAGGATCACCATCTTCTGCGCGACGTAATAGGGGTTCTGCGACGCTGCGGCGACGGAGCCGCTCTGCACCGACGCAAGAGAGGCGAATACCTCCTCCAGCCCTCCGCGGCCGACATCTGTCGCACCCTCGTCGTCGTTGCCGATCAGGGCGTCCTCTTGCTCCCAGAATCCGCCGAGAGAGTGCCACTTCCGGTCGATCCGCGCCTCAAGTCGGTACTGGATGTGCGCCCAGAGGTAGTCCTCCCACGACTCGCACGCTGGCAGAAGCGTCGGCAGATCCGCAATCAGCGCAGCGTACAGTGCTCGCTCGGCCTGCGAGAGCGTGTGCTGCTTGTCAGTTTGGAACACACGTAGTCAAACTCACGTTCTTCGCGATTGCTCGACAGCTCTTCTTCCATAACGCCCGTGACCGGTTGCCGGTCAGTGCCGTCGCCTCAGGGCTCTCCTTCGCTGCTTGTCAGTTACCTTGCAGACATTCCAACTCACTGAGACCGCCCATGTTCCACCTTCGTCCGCCCATGAGCGACGCCGCGCGCCACGGCTCACCGCCCTCGTCACACACTGTCACTGCCTGGTCGAGCTCGCCGTGTCGGACCAGATCCCAGAGCGTCTCGAGTAGCGGGGTCTGATACGTCTCGTCCTCGCCCGCGAGCGCCTGGCCGTGCGGGTCGCGCAGCGTGAAGTCGGGGTCGAGGCTCGGCGTGTCCTTTCCGTCCAGCCGCGCCTTCTTAACCTTCCTCAGCGTCGAGGGGAGGTATCCGTGTCGCGCCTCAATTGGCGGCGGGGACGAAAACAAAGGTCGGCTCTGCAGGTGGTCCAGCAGCGTCGCCCAGAGCGACAGCTCAGAGTCCTCGTTCACGATCGTCTGCGCCGCCGCTTCCGGTGGTGTGTACGGGTTCTGCGCGATCTGCTCCTCGGATGACGGCGGGACGAACTCCGGGTCCGCACGGTGCAACCGGTTTCTTTTCGTCAGCTTGATCTACCCAGAATCATAGCATACTCACTCGTACACCGCTCGAATCAGCGCCCATGTTCGGTGCTCCAGCATGAGCGATTCGAACACCTCCGGAGGCATCTCTCCGCTGTCCCGCTGAGCGCGCAGCCTGCTGTTAGCTCCAATATTCATCATCTAGCACTTACGTCTCCTCCAGACTGCCCATGAGAGCCGAAATCATGCCGCTCTCCTCATCCAGGACAACGTCGTAGCGAATCGGCGAGTCGAGCTGAGCGGATGACGGACCAGCCTCGGCGTACTTCGAGTGGTAGTTGGCCAGCACCTTGGCGAAGGTCGCATCCGGCGACGCGCTCTGCGTCACCATAGTTCCGGACATGTTGGGCTGTGTCGTCGTGCCCGATAAGGTGCCGGAGCGCAATGACAGAGTCGAATCCGATTGTTTCCAGAGGTCATCAGGTGCCTCTGTTGTGGGATACAAACCTCGATGATGCACTGTGATACCCAACAGCGAATGACGTGTGCCTCGGCAGGGTGCACGCGATAAGCTCGTGGTGATGCCTCCGTTGATTGCGTCAGCTGGTCACGTGTTTCTGCTCATGTGCAGCCCCACGGTCACCCCGCAGACGTCGCGATGAACGTCAGGTTCAGGTTGGTGGACAACTCCGGCAATCACTCCGTCATCTACTAGTCCGCGGCAGGCCAGGCGCATCACGCACCTTCACTCTTACGATCACTCTTCATCGTAAACTCCTCATCACAACGCCCTTGTTCTCTCGACATCGTCACTGACCTCAACGCGCCCATTATCGACGTCGACGCTGATCGCTCTCTCCACTTAGATAAACAAGATTTTCCATTTCTGCGGCTTATTCACGCCTCCCCTTACTGCCATATCACATACACCTGACCGACGAGACGTTCCGCCGGCTTCGCCACCATCTCCTCCCTCTCCACTTTGGGCCTCTCTACCCCTCTTGCCGCACAACAAAGCGGCTCGCCCATCGTGCAGAGCTTAGCCACCCCTTCCCCAACCGCCTCGCCGCCGCCGCCGACTAGTAAACGACCTCGGAAACCGGACAATACCCCGCCACCCATTGCTAAGCGCACCAAGTTGAGCCCCGTCCAGCGTGCCACGCCCCCGCTAGAAGAGACCCGCTCCACCATGTCGTCCGACGGCGAAGATGACTTTTTCTACGACGACGTCGACGAGTTCGACGAGGACGACTATGTTGATACCAGTGAGTGACATGTGCTCACTACACCCGTACACCTAGGTGCTTACTCATCCAGACATGGACTCGGAGACGGAGCCGGATGACTTCGATGTCATGAGCCCCACTGTTGAAGGTGAGTTATATTGTCCCTGTTCTAGCTAACCAATGCAGAGGCTCCGGCTAAGAAGCCGTACGATGTCGACTACAAGGTGCACTCCCCGCAGGAGATCAAGGACATGCAGAAGAAGGAGATCAAGAAGGTGCAAGACCTGCTCGAGGTCCCCGTAAGTGGCAGTGATCCTGCTGTTGCTGACGTCAGGCGTCTTCCGCCGCCATTCTACTCCGCTACTACTCTTGGAACGCGGAGAAGCTTCAGGAGGAGTTTTGGACCGACCCCGCCAAGTCAATGGAGGCTGCGGGACTGCCGCCCCCGGGATCACCGAGCACGTCCACTCTTGGGCTTCCTCCGGCTTCGGCTCCGTTGCAGAGCCGAAACCCTTTCCGCCGCCAGCTGACTGGTGACGAGGAACCTTTTGACTGCCCGATCTGTTGCTGCGACTACCCGCCGGAGGAGTTCGATTCTGCGACGTTCGCGTTAAGCTGCGGGCACCGCTTCTGCAAGATGTGCTGGAAGGAGTACATCACAGGCAAGGTCAAGGGCGAGGGAGAGAGCGCCTCCATTCAGTGCATGGAGAACGGCTGCAACCGGGTAGTCCGCGAGGAGGTGGTTGACGCAATCGTCGACCCAGCCGTATCCGCCAGGTAGGTCTACCCGTGAATATGACTCTGACACGTAGATACCACGAGCTTCTCAATGCTGCCTTTGTTGCCGACTCCCCGAACCTCAGATGGTGTCCTCACCCGGGATGCGAGTACGCGGTCGAGTGCAACCAGGCGCCGCCCCGCATGCTCGACCGGCTCGTTCCGACTATCGAGTGCAAGTGCGGCCATCCCATGTGCTTCGGATGCGGGTATGCCGACGACCACCGCCCTGTGCTGTGCCGCATCGTGAAGAAGTGGGAGAAGAAGTGCGCGGACGACTCGGAGACTGCCAACTGGCTCAATGCGCATACCAAGGAGTGCGTCAAGTGCCAGTCCACCATCGAGAAGAACGGTGGATGCAAGTGAGTCCTCGAGACAATGTGATGAACTGACAACAGCCACATGACGTGCAAGAAGTGCAAGTACGAGTTCTGTTGGGTGTGCATGGGTGCCTGGAGCGAGCATGGCAATAGCTGGTACCAGTGCAACCGCTACGACGAGAAGTCTGGTGTGGACGCTCGTGACCAGCAGGCCAAGTCCCGTGCCAGCTTGGAACGCTACCTTCACTACTTCAATCGTTGGGCGAACCACGACCAAAGTGCGAAGCTCGATGCCGACTTCTACAAGTCCACCGAGAAGAAGATGGAGGAGATGCAGAACACTGGTAATCTGTCGTGGATCGAGGTTCAGTTCGCCAAGGAAGCCGTTAGTACCGTCATCAAGAGCCGAATCCTCCTCAAATGGTCGTACTGCATGGCCTTCTACCTCAAGCGCAACAACATGACTGAGCTGTTTGAGGACAACCAGCGTGACCTCGAGGCTGCTGTCGAGAACCTCTCGTATCTCCTGGAATCGAACATGGCCGAGCAGCCTATCGCGGAGATCCGTTCGAAGGTGACCAACCAGGCCGTAAGTCCTCTTCATGGTTTCCCCTGTTTCCCTGCCAGAGCTGACGGATCAGGCCTACGTCCAGAAGCGACACGACATTCTTCTTGACGACACCCTGAGGGGCTACCTTGAGCGCCGATGGGAGTTCAACGTCGACTAGAGCCTTTCTCACAGATGAACCCGGTCGACCCCTCTACATAGGCCGCTGGTTCTTGCCTTGTACATAGCCCCTCATGTATCTTATACTGCCATTGTTCTTGCCTTCAGCATGCATTCTATGAAGATGCGGGATCGCTGGTTGCATGCTGCGTCACGAGTGCCCTTGTGGTCTGGGGCGCACGACGGAAGGGTGACGGGAGGATCTGGTGCTAAGCGGGGCACCAGCCTGTTCGCAACATTGAGTGTCAACTACTTGCCACCACTCTGATTGATACCACACACTTCTTCACTCTACCCTACCACCTTCTATACCTACTTACTCTAACGACATTCTCTACGACGCTCTTTACGACACTTGCACTGTGTCTCCTGTGCCTCGACTGCTCCTGCAACACACTTAACTTCTTGAACCCTACCTTTCACCATGTCACATGTGGAGGATCTCAAGGCCGCGGTCCAAGTCATGGAACGCGTCACGGAGAGTATCCGCCAGTTTGACACATACTCTTTCACTTATATCCCTCCAGTGATTGACAACTCGAGCGGCACTGTCTGGAAGGGTGACGAGACTCACGGTCTGAGGAAATTTCTGGAGAAGATCTTCCTCGATGAGACTGCCTTCTCGCAGGTGAGCGGTGTCTTCCCTGCTGCATATTCTTACGGACCAGATGTTGGCTGACGGCGTCAACCCTCGTGAATCGCCCCTTCCCATCGCCCTCGGACATCAGACGTACTGGAACACAATCACCCACGCCCGCGGCCCGATCCCCGCCATTCGAGCAACATTCAAGGGACCTGACAAGAAGGAAGCCTTCGTGGATGTCGTCGCTCAGGGAGGAGCCGAGTGGATCAGGCTGTTCAGCAAGAAGCCCTCTCATCTGATTGCCGAGTTTCGAGAACAGGATTCTTACATCAACTCGGACTGGGAGTCTGACGAGGACTCCGGCTGCGAGCCTGACAAGGAGCCTTCCCTCGACAACAGCATCATTCGCACCGTCGACGAACTGCTCGAAGTTATGCACGCGCAGACCCCTGCACCGGGAGGCATCATACCCCGTCTCACTCTTCGTCTTTCTCGGATCGAAGAGTTCCCAGAAGGCGGACACCCAGACCCTCGTTTCGCTGCCACGTTTGCCGCGGTGCGAGCGAAGGGTGTGAACCTTGTGTTTGGGGATCTGAGTGATGTTTCGGGCGCTGCTGGAGCTCTTCCTGCGACGCCTACCACCTTTGAGTCGCTGAAGCCCACGCGACGGATCAACCTCGATCCCACGGCTCTCATGGGTTTGTGCTCCGACATCCTGCACCACCCTCTCCCCGTGGACGACGAAGAAGCGCGCCGCCGCTTCTATCGCCCCGAGCATCTCCTCGGGAGCGACGGACAGCAGAGCCAGAACAGTCGCGAGCTGTATCGTGCCATGTGCGATGAGATGATCCAGCCGGTGGTCGAGACGCTCCAAGCCATGCTCGACGGCGACAACGTTGAGTTTTGGGCGACCCGGGGAAGCATCACCTACCTCCAGGAGGCCATCAGCGACTCGGAGGAGGCGGGTGTGTTCGGTGAGGGAATGGAACAGCGTCGAATGCGACGACTCACTGGTCTGGAGGAAGGCGATTTCTGGGAAGGGAGTCGGTACGAGGGCAAGGCTGGTGTACTGGCCAACATGAAGCTCCATGTATTCGACGAAGACGACAAGGATCTGGAGCACCCTCTTGTGAAGCACACGACGAGCTTCCACGGCTCACTCGGAGCAATGTGCACCGACCTCGTTAGCCAGTACCGCAAGTCTTTGGCCGACAGCAAGGCCGCGCGCAAGCTCCCTGCCTTCCTCCAGGCCAAGCGCCTCCCGGCCCCTCGTGTCGCCAAGATCACAACCCCCTTCACTGTCGTTTCCCTGGAGAGTTTCGCTTACGGAGCGCGGGAAGGCATGACCACAATGACGATGAGCCACATTGTCTTCCGTGAGCTCTGGGGCCAGCGCAGTTGGAAGGAGAAAGGCTGGAGCCAAAGCAACTACGAGCTTGAGGACTCGGCCCCTGCCAGCGACCCCCGCGCCGTCGTCTGGATGCTTCCCTACCGCTCGCTCGCCGAGGCGAAGCGGTGTCGCTTCCTCAAGGGAGACTACTCGTACCCCGTGTTCGTGCAACGCATCGTGCGCGACGAGAACGGCCGCCGCATTCCGCTCCCTCCAGGAACCCGGAACCTGGACGACATTCCTCAGGCTGGCGCTGCTCCCACCAGCGCCGCCCAGTAAGCCCGCCGAGTTTGGCGGCGAAGAAAATGCTGCAACGTGTATCATGAACTGTACGCATATACTCCTAGACATCTGTTACATTATGCATAAGTGATCTGGCATCAGGGTCTACCCCTTTGCAAAGCTATGGCGCCTTGGCTGAGAGTGGTGCACCGGGTTGCGGGAATCGGTCGACGACTCCTCACACAGGCACCATGATGCTACCACTCCTTTCAACAACTGCTCCTGGGACCCCTGGGTAAGCATAGGTCGACCAGTGGCCAGTCCATGTGGCGTGCGCGGTAAAATGCAACCGTTCCCCCGAGGTCAAACGGGCAACACTCCTCGGACGCATCAGGGGCACTCGACGTACACCTAATACGGATTCGACACGCGCCTCTGACCGGATTGCGACGGTCACCCCTTGTCGTTGGCGGAGTCCAATGAGGCTGGAGCTGGTAGCGCCATCTTCGAAACGTCCATGAGTCGCACCTGCCTCTCGATGAAGACTCATGCCTGCGCCGTATTGGTAGCGTGCTTCATGTCGGTACGTGAATGCGATTGAGCATGTATTGACGGGGGCGGTGACAGGCAACATCTGGAAGCATCGACAGCAGCTCTAAGAAGTGATAAGAGCGAATACGCTGTACTAAAGGCATCGAAAAGACTCATGCATTGCTGATTCTTCGCAGGCCTTGATATGAGGTCTTCATCTGCTGCTCTTTGCCATGTTAAGGCTTGAGCTAGTCATCCTCGCATGGACGGTCCATTTCAAAGCAAACTCAGATTAGCAGCTTATCAGAATTTCAGGGATATGTCTGTGCAGTTCCAAAGCAACGAAGTTGGGATAGAGTCACCGTCGTGCATCTCGATCTCTGCACTATCGAGATCCGCAATGATTTCTTGGCTTTGCTAGGAATCATCCCTCTGAGTGCTTGAGCGGAGAGACCTCCTTGCCCGGCGGTGCGAGCTATGACCATCAGGCCCTCAATGCGATACGGACAACGGGGTCGGTGTCTTAACGAGCCCAGCTCCGACGCGTTTGAAACCATACCCTGGGAGCTGTACGCAGCCTCCGCATGCCGACGTCTGCAGGTTCGTGAAGGTTATGCCATCACTACGATGCAAATGCGCTTGCAGCCCAGCGAGGGAAAGATTCACATGGACATGCACCAGGTGCGTCTGTACACGGACCACTGGATGTGAGGATGTGAGATCATCTTTGAAGAATCTGTCGAGATGTTGCGAAATGAGTAGCCCTTGCCCGATGACTCTGGGGTGCCAGCACTGTTACGCCCCTGCAGTTCCTTAGCGGAAACCCACCTGCAACACCGCACAGCGTCTCGGCGTACACAGACGCCTTCGGCGCCTTCCCCACGTTTTGCCCTTGATGCTTGCCTCATTTGATGGCTCCTATGTTCACTGATGCCGCCAGCTTCTTGGCAGCACAGGCGTCGAAGACCAGCGTATCAGGTCGGTGAATTGGCCAAGTGCTGTTCCTTCTTACATTGCCGGTCTCTCGATCTGAACCCCGCAAGGGACCGGAGATGGTGTTTGAATCCGCACCTGATACCCAAGGGCGGCATCCTGCTATTGCTGCTGTTTCAACATCGCCCACCGTCATGACCGTACTCCGCTGCACTGACAGCAGTAGACACAGCAGCTCAGGACTGCACCACTCAGCTTCTGACACTGCTCTGACAAGCGCATGAAACCACTCGGTGAGCGGTCACCCGTTGCATCTCGTTTCGATGTGGTTGTGGAGGTCCAGCCCCCACTGTACTGGTGATACGTACCATCGCTCTCCGATGAAGTCTGGCCCAGTGCTAGTACCTCGGGGTGGCCGTGCTGACCGGAACACCAACGCTGTTGCCTCGACCAGTCGATCCGACATCGAGCTCTGAGTACATAAGGAGACCAGCGATGTTGTCTTTCGGACCACCAACAACTCTCAGCCTCACCTCTCCAACCAGACTCAGCAATCGACCTTTGTAGCACTACACCTGTAGCCACTAGCACCACCAACTCTTCACACTCTTTTACAAGCCAACTTTCCAGTGAGTGCCCCCTCTCCCGCGCAACCGTCAATCCCTCAAACGCTGACATGCAGACGACACTCTTTTCACAATGCAGCTCCACAAGCTTCTCCCTCTCATCGTGTACCTCGGTACCGCTACTGCGGCACCGCTTAGTGGGGACGACTCCGACGCTGGCGCCGGTTTCGCCTCTGGTGAGGGCTCGGGCCTTGAGGCTCTCCGCAACGCCAAGATCTTCGGCGGTCCCGACATCGTCATGAAGGGTCCCATTCTCCCCAAGAGGGGCGAGCACAAGTCCGACGAGGACGGTGACTGCGATGATGACGACCAGGCCGAGGACGACGGCGACAGGAACGCGGAGAGGGCTCTTGACGAGTCGCTCATGGACCTCATGGCGCGAGGTAAAAGCAGCAGCGGTAGCACGGGCGGCAAGGTCTCCCAGGTCGCCTCCACTCTCGGTGGCATTGGTTCCGCCATTGGCGGCATCAGTGCCGTCGGTGGCCTCATCCATTCGCTTTGGAACCACCACAAGGAAAAGGAGCAGCAGGGTCAGCAGCAGCAGCAGCGAGACCTGCACGACACCACCGCCGTCGATCTCACTGAGTTCCCCCCTGAGGTGGAGAACGAGCTCAAGACGCTCTATGGACGCGATCTTACTCTGGACGAGCGTGCGAACTGGGGCAACATTGCTTCCAACATTGGCAAGGCCGGCTCCGCCATCACCGGTGGCCTTGCGATCTTCGATCTTGCCCGCAACATCCTCGGCGGACACAACGACAAGCAACAGCGCGATCTCAACAATGTAGAGTTCACGGCGGAGGAGGAGGACCAGCTCAAGTCGCTGTTTGGACGCGACCTCACCTTCGAGGAGCGCGCCAATTGGGGCAGGATTGCCTCCAACATTGGCACGGCCGGCACCGCGATATCGGGCATCGCAGGAATCGGTGGACTCATCAACCAGATCTTCAACTCCGACAAGGGCCAGGAGCAGCAGAATGGCAAGCGTGACTTTGTCACCGAGCTGTCCCCCGAGGTTCAGGACCAGCTCAACACTCTATTCGGACGAGACCTAACCCTCGACGAGCGTAAGGTGGACTGGGACCACCTGGGCTCGATCCTCCGGATCCCTAACTTGGGTTTGGGCCTGGGCCCTGTCCGCGTTGGCGGGCAGCAGGACAAGCAGCAGGATGGCCAGCACCAGAATGGCAAGCGCGACTTTCAGGGCACTGAGCTCTCGCCCGAGCTCCAGGACCAGCTCCAGTCTCTCTACGGGCGGGATCTCGCCCTCGAAGAGCGGTTCAATTGGCGCACTGGCCTTCAGGTTGTAACCGGCATCGCCCCCCTCCTCCCCTTCGTCTTCGGCAACCGTGGCGGTGATGACAAGCAGCAGCAGCAGGGACAACAGCAAGACGGTCAGCAGCAGAATGGCAAGCGCAGCTATGAGACAACGGAGCTCTCACCTGAGGTTCAAAACGAGCTCCAGACGCTTTTCGGACGGGACGTCGACCTTGATGAACGCGGCTGGAAAGACGTTCTCCGCTGGGGAACCCGTCTCGCCCCTCTTGCCCCTCTCGTTCCCCTGGTCTTTGGCAACCACGGTGGCGGTGACCAGCAGCAACAGCAGCAGCAGCAGCAGCAGCAGCAGCAGGGACAGCAGGGACAGCAGCAGGATGGTCAGCAGCAAAACGGCAAGCGTGACTACCAGATCACTGAGCTTTCGCCTGAATTCCAGGACCAGCTCAACACTCTCTACGGCCGCGACCTGTCTCTCGAAGAGCGCGGACTCGGCGGCATCCTGAAGTTCCTCGGTCCCCTCTCCAGCATCATTGGACTCACTGATGGTGGAAACGACAAGCGTGATTTCCAGGACGAGATCTCGCCCGAGGTCGAGGACCAGCTCAAAACTCTCTTAGGTCGCGACCTCACCGTCGAAGAGCGCGGACTCGGCGGCATCCTGAAGTTCCTCGGTCCCCTCTCCAGCATCATTGGACTCGCTGATGGTGGAAACGACAAGCGCGACCTCCAGGCTGAGCTTACCCCCGAGATGGAGGACCAGCTCAAGACTCTCTTTGGTCGCGACCTCACCGTCGAGGAGCGCGGACTCGGCGGCATCCTGAAGTTCCTCGGTCCCCTCTCCAGCATCATCGGACTCGCTGATGGTGGAAACGACAAGCGCGACCTCCAGGCTGAGCTTACCCCCGAGATGGAGGACCAGCTCAAGACTCTCTTCGGCCGTGACCTCGCCGTTGAGGAGCGCGGCCTGCTGGACTTCTTCCCGGTTATCAAGGGCCTCTTGGGAGGCTTCGGTGGCGGCAACGGCAAGCGAGGCTTCCAGGACAATGAGCCCTCCCCTGAGGAGATCGAGAACCAGCTCAAGACTCTGTTTGGCCGAGACCTTACTCTCGAGGAGCGTGGAAAGTGGTCGACCGCTGCAAACTGGATCGGCGGTGCCGGCATGGCCGCTGGCCTCATCAATAGTCTCCTGCCCATGTTCCAGCGCAAGGACGACAAGCAGCAGAACGCTGCTCGCGGTCTGCAGGGCGGCGATCTCTCCCCCGAGGTCGAGGAACAGCTGAAGACTCTCTTCGGCCGGGATCTCGCCTTCGACCAGCAGCGGAACGCCGCTCGTGGTCTCGATGAGAGGGGCAAGTGGGAGAACATCAAGAATGTCGGCTCCTTCGGATGGAACGCGTACCGTGCGGCCGATCAGCTCTTCCCCAACGAGGTCGAGGGCGTGAAGGATAAGGTCAAGGGTCTGTTCTCCCGCGATTACTTGGAGGAGGAAGCCCTGGCCGACCTGGCCCGACTCAATCTGCAGGAGAGGTCGGCGGCGCAGGGACGCCTCCGCCCCTTTGACCCCATGGGCCCCATCGGCCCCATTCGCATGGGTCCCCTTGTTAACCCCGTCTGGGGCGGGGAGTACCGAAATGGCATGGAGAGCTGGACCCACCGGAAGCACGGAAAGCGTGGCTACGATGCTACTGCCCAGGCCTGGGAGCAGGAGCTTGCTGAGCAGCTCCGAGCTGGTCTTTCTGCCCGTGGCCTTGATGCCTTGGCTTAGGAGGTCATGACTCAACAATCGCTGTAGCTTGTAAACCGAAAGCAATGTATCGAATAGCATACAAGCCCTTGTACACGAAACCCATCATGGAGTCGGGTCTCCTTGGTTGTTGAGGCTATTCAGTAACGTAAGCGCTCTCATACAGAACCTCTTACTCATGAGTCTGATGATGTTAGCCGCATGTGCAGAGCTGATTCGAATTATCACCGCAGAGAACACTTCTAGTAGTCGTTTCGCGCCAAGGGTGAGCAATCCGCCACCTCGGGCCAAATAACCGTGCCTGAAGCCGCGCGTCGCTGACGTCTTGGTTACATCAATTTCGGCGTCGCCGCCTTCCTCAACTTCGACACCAGACCATCCTAAGCCATGTACGACCCGACCTCCACAGTCTCGGCACCCCCGCCGCGTTATCTGCTCGAGTCCGACAGCTCAGATGAGGAGGGCCAGGGGCAGTACGGCATGGAGGGCGTGCGTGCGCCGAAGCTCCGTGTGTCGGCTCCGGAGATCTCGCTGCGTGCGCTCGGCGAGTTCAAGCCTCCGCTGCAGGTCGAGAACGCCGTCGTTGGCGTAGGTCAGGCAGGAAGCTACCTCCTCAGGAGTACTGGTGGGCGAGCGAAGCCCCTGTTCAGTATCGAGGCCGAGGGAGATCGACTCGGCACTGCTGTTCAGCTCGAGGGCGGGGAGCTGCTGGTTGCTGTGAAGGACGGACAGGACTGGGACGTCGTGCGCAAGCTCCTCGACAACGTGCAGGCTACCAGGTGGTGAGTGCGATGCACTCTAGCTCTGAATGACGGGACGTTAAGCTGACATCAGGACGATCGTATCGACGTACCTCCCCGCACTTTACATCCCGGAGGAAGGCGAGGAAGTCAACCAGCCCTCTGTTCGCGCACTTCCTCCGACCGAGGGTATCGCTAGCTACACGGCACCGAACTACGTGACCGGAACCGCTGGCGCTTTCCTTTCTCTGGTAGGTGTATCGGCTGTTCACCGTCGCCCCCCAGAGCTGAAGCTGACACCCAGGCTGCTCACCCGGCGTCGAAGCTCGATGTGTCTCTGCGCCTACTCCCTCTCCCGCTCAGTGGTCTGCCGCGAACAGCGCTGTCAACGCTGCCGATTAAGGTCATGCGGCCGTTGTGGACTGAGGCCGACGACGAGCCCTTCCTCGCGCCGGGCATGGGCAAGCGGCCGACCGAGACGCGGCAGGAGGACACTGGTGGCATGTACATGTAGGCGATCAGGGCGGACAAGAATACAGCAGCATTGCACAGCAGCAGGCATGTGAGATATCTAACACTAAATAATGCATGGTATATGTGACAACACGACTACACTAGAGCTCCTCGACGGCATCGCGGGGACGGTAGACACCGCCCCGCGACTCGATCGCGTCGATAACGTCCTGCGGCGGCCGGCCAGTGACACGGACGGCGTACAGCCCTCGCTTCTTCTTGTCTGTAAAGTCAGCTCTCTACGTCGGTTTAAGCAGCTTGTGCTCGCTGGGTGGCGGCCGTCGGGGGCCGCGCGACACATAAACATCCGCCTGCTGGAAAACAGCTACAGTCACGCAGCTGGCATACTCGACGGCCAACTTGCACTTAGGCTCCAACAAGCACGGAATCACTCACCAATACGCTGCCACCTCGCGACCCAGCTCTCCTCCGGCTCCATCATGGCGATCATGCCGTCGTAGATCGTCGACGTGCACTCGACAACACGTTCGGCGCTCCCGCGCATGTCCATGACCTCCTCGCAGTTCGGGCATCCGTAGTCGACAAAGTCCTTCTGCGACTGCAGAATCGAGCACACGAGGCACGCACGGAGCTGCGGCTGGCGGGCTCCCTTGGGCGGCATGGTTGTTGCTAGCGGCGGGGAAGGCGAAGGGTGAGACGGAGGAAGTTGTGTCGGGCAGCGGTTGAGTAGGGTTGAGAGGGCAGATACGTGGAGCCTTCAGTCGGTGTCTCTATCCTCAATCCAGCGTGCGTGCCAATGAGCGAGGTGTAGAAGGGCTTCGTAGTGTCGTACACACAGAGTATTCTCGAGATGACGACCACAGGTTTATTGTGAAGGTGCAGAGCGATGGTGGAGGGTGATGTTGGTGTCATAGGCGCGCAGCACGTGAGGTGCCTCTTGCATGCCTACCGGTGATTTTGCCACCCAACGGTCCTCGAACTCATCTCACTCGAATACATTTCGATCACGCATCTCCAAAACACCCCAGCCTACCTCTCCCTCCCCAAGAAAAACGCATCCAAGATGGCGTCCGAGTCAACACCGCAAGACTCGCTCTCGCTCGAGGAGACGAACAAGGTGCGCATCTCGCTGGGCCTGAAGCCGATCGGCGCCGAGTCCGAGGACGGCGAGCCAGAGGAAGAGGACCGGGACGCGATCGCGGAGCGCAACTTCTCCGAGCGCGTGCGGGAGGAGAAGCGGCAGCGTGCCGAGAACGAGATCAAGGAGCGGATAGAAAAGTACGTAACCCCCCTCCAATATACATCTGCTGACAGCCCACAGACAGAAGAACCAGCGCGCGCTGCATGCGAAACTGAAAGGATCGACCCTCGGCGATGCAGGCAAGGACGATCTCGATGCGAAATCGTGGGCGAAGAAGCTGAAGAAGCGCTCCGCGAAGCGGGAAGCGGAGCTCGCGGCGCGGCGGGCGAAGGAGATGGCCGAAGCGGACGCGGCGGCATATGACGAGCGGGACCTGGTCGGCCTGCGCGTCGCGCACGACACGGATGACCTCGTCGAGGGCGAGGACGTGGTGCTGACTCTGCGCGACGCGCGCGTTCTGGACGGGGAGGAGGACGAGCTGCAAGACGTCGCGCTCGCGGACCGCGAAGCCGATGCTGCGCGGGCGGAACGCGCCCGCCGCGCCAAAGCGCAATACACGGGCTACGACGACGAGGAGTTCACAACGGGCCGGATCGGGAAGAAGGCCGAGGTGCTGTCCAAGTACGACGATGGGTTTAGCGCGGACTCGACGCGCGCCGAGGGCTTCCGGCTGGGCGAGGCGCCCCCGCCCAAGCGCGTCGAGGAGGAGGAGGAGGAGCTCGGCCGCGCACCAGACAGCAAGGTCAAGCTGTCGCTCGACTTTGCGCAGGACTGGGATGTCGACGACTACATGCGCGAGGGCGACAAGGGGTTCAAGGTCAAGAAGCGCAAGGTGAAGCGCAAGACGAGGCAGCGCGAGGTCGACCCCGAAGACAGCGCAGCAATGGACGTGGAACCGACCTTTGAGCGCCGGCGCGTCGAGGACGCTCCCGACAATCTGGTCGATGACGACGACCTGCAAGCCGCACTGGCACGGAGTCGGCGCGCGAACAATAAGAAGAAGCGCGTTCGCCCGGAGGAGCTCGCGGAGCGCATCAAGGCGGAGCGCGAGGCCGAGCCCGAGCCCGAGAAAGAGGCGGAAGGCGAGGACGACGGACGTATCACGTTTGACGAGACGAGCGAATTCGTCCGCAACGTCACGGCCGAGGGCAAGATCAGCCGCAGCAAGAGCGCAACGGGCACGCCGGCGCCGCGCACCGCTGTGTCCGAGGAGCCGGAGGGCAAGCCGCAAGTCATCCAGATCGAGCGCGTGGAGGGCATCGAGGACGCGGAAATGTCAGACGAGGAGGACGGGGACGACGAGCTGGCCGAAATGGCGGCGCGGGAGGGTCTCTCGTTGGCCGAGTACAGGCTGAAGATCGACGCGCAAATGGCCGAAATGTCCCAACTCTCTGCGGAGGACGCGCCGGACGCGCCGACAACCGAGGAGCCCAAGATCACGCAGGGCATGGCCGGTGCTCTGGCCCTGTTGCGCAACCAAGGCAGTCTGGAGAAGAAGGACGCGGCGACGCTCGAGGCCGAGAAACGCAAGGAGCGGCTGCAGAAGCAGCACGACCTGTGGCTTGCGGACCACAAGCGGCGTCTGGCGCGGGAGGAGATGGACAAGCTCGCGGCACGCGGCACAGCGCACCAGAAGGACCAGGCGCAGCGCGAGTACGAGAACCGCCAACGCGAAATGGCCGAGGCGAAAGCCGCCCTCGAGGAGTTTAAGCACTACCGCCCCGAGGTTGAGCTGAAATACCATGACGAGTTTGGGCGCGAGATGACCCCCAAGGAGGCTTGGAAGAGCCTCTCGCACCGCTTCCATGGCAAGACATCTGGACGCATGAAGACGGAGAAGAGGCTCAAGAAGATCGAGGAGGAGCGCAAGGCCAAGGCTATGCTTGCGGGCGATACGCCGCTTGGCATGGGGGCTGCGTTCCAGAAGAGACAGGAGAAGACGGGCCAGGCCCACATGGTGCTCTCCGTTGGAAACAGGGGCAGCGTCCAGAAGAAGTAGTAGACCTAGATGCATCTTTGTATGATAGCACATATTGTGGCTGTCAGTTCTTCGGTCAGTGGCCTCTGTGCTCGCTTGCTGATTTCACGTGCACCACAAACAAATTGAAAAGAGCTTATTGAGAGAACTAACTGAACTCGTCCGGTAGTACGATAAGATTTCTTACAATTACACGTGGGGTACTGTCGTCGCTGGGTTGGGAGAAAAAGTGTGTATGATGTGTGCGTGCGTGTGAACAGAAAGTAAGAAAAAGCCAAACTAAAAACGGTGGTGTGTGGAAACGGTGACGAAGTAGTGGGAATATATGTGGGGTGATAGCGACGAAAGGAAAGAAAAAGGAAATAGAAACTGACGGCGAGACTACTCGCGCTCGTCTTGGAACACGGTCTGCGCGTTCTCCACCATCCACTGCACGCTCATCGCCTTGCCAGCCATGTCGCCGAACTCGCGGCCGGGATCCTTCGAGCGCAGAAGCGTTGCTGCTGTTAGCTAAGAAAGTAGGCAGCGACAGCTGTACTCACGTCCAAAGACAACACCCAGGTTCTGGCTCGTCATCAAGTTGACTGCGCTCTTGGCCGTGACACGGTTCAGGTGCAGCATCAGCACCTTGAGCGTGTTGTAGTGGTGCGTCGGCAGCTCCTTCAGCAGGGCGCACAGAGCCTGGTGCTTGTTCTTCGGGTCGCGGATGTCTGAGTGTCAGCTAGGTCACTGAGATTCTTCAAGCTTAACTCACTGGCTGCAGCAACAAAGCTCTCGTGCAGGTCGTGCGTGAGCAGCGGGTTCGGCAGCTGGCGGAAGTACGACTTGAGCACCGACGTAATCGAGCTGATGTCGTTGAACGAGTCCGTGTCCATGAGGTCGAAGCGGTCGTAGTTGCCGCGCTCGAACAGCTGCGTGATTGCCTTGGACTGCGTCGATCCTCCAGTCTTTCGGTAGATACCCTCGTACTCCATGCCGTTCGCCTCGACCGCGTGCACACACTTGGTGACGATAACGGGCACGGGCGACTGGTCGGCGATCGCCTGCTCGGTGAGGTCGCGGCCGAACATGGACGGCGGGAGTGGTCCCTCGTCGATGGGCTCCTTCTTGATCTCCTTGCCAGTGCACGACTTCGGAAGCTTGTCGGCGCACTTGGAGTGACAGACGATGCCGCATTCTGTGATTTGTTAGTCGAAGCACCGAACGCTATAACAAAAGAATATACTCACGACCGCACTTGACTTCCTGGAGACCCCACATCTTGTCCTGGCACAGCTCGCAGCGGCCAAGACGCATCGTGCTGTGCTGCTGGAAGTTGTGTTCCCGAAGACCGACCTCGGTCGAGGGACGCATGCCGCCGTTCTTCTTTTCGCGGTCGGCAGCGGTGAGCTTGGCGCCAGCGTTCGACTTGATCCACTTGAATCGGCGAGCAGGTGCAGCCTCGATCGGCTCCGGCTTCGGGACGCGAATGACGCGAGCGGTCTCCTCCTGCACCTCTGGCAAGGTCGGGGCGAGGGAAGACATGGACGGGCTACCGGCCTTGTGTCCGTGAAGAGCAGGCTTGAGAGTCGCCGCCGCGGACGTGCTCTTGAGCTTGTTCTCCATGCTCTCCATCTGGCGGGACAGCTGCGTGTTGAGCTCGGCAAGCTCTTCGTTCTTAGCGGCAAGAGATGTCGACTCCTCAAGGAATTGCTGCTTTGTCTCGCGCAGTTCGTTAATCTCACGCTGCAACACTTCACGTTGCGCGGACAGCGGCCCAATCTCGTCACGGTACTGCTCCTTGATAGTCTCGAGACGCCTGCTAAGCGAATGGCCGAGAGTTCCAGGAGCGTCGTCGACGTACTCCATCTCACCCGTGGCGACTCCGCCCTTGGTCGCCTGCAGCTCCTCGACTTCGGCGAGCGAAATGTCGCGCTGCGCACGAAGTCGCGAGATGTCGCGCTCCAGCGTTGAAAGGCTGTTGACCAGGTCCTGGGAACGGCGGCGCATGCTCTCAGCCCTGCGCTCATCACTGGAGATGACTGACAGACGGGCAGTCTGGCCATGAACCTGAGCACGCAGACGCGAATTCTCCGCCTCCAGCTCACGGCGCAGTGCCACCTCCTTGTCATACTCTTCACCTGCGATCGTCAATCCCTCGCTATACTGCTGACTCGAACGCTTAGCTCCAGTGTACTTGTTCTTCAGCATGGTGGCAGTGTCTCGCAGGTTGTCGTGCTCGCGGATGATCTCGTTGAGTAACGTGAGGTCGACCGCCACCTCCGTCGCGTCCGGCGCGGCAGAGGCCACAAGCTCCTTGAGGGTGATGATTGCGTTCTCGGGATCCATGCGGACGGAGATGGCGGACTCGACCGAAGGGCGGCGACGAGGCGTTCCGGCAGGCGGCAGCTTGCTGTCACTGGGCGAGAGCAGTCCTTGCGACTGAGGCATCTTGTCCGAGCCGTTGGGAATGGGCGGGCTGTGCGAGATGGTGACGACGGCAGGGGATTCGGGGGACGCCGAAGCTGACGACTCGCCTGTCGCAGCCTGAGACGGGGCCTGAGACGTGTGCGAGTCGACCGACGACGCAGCCTTCTCGCGGGCTTCCTTGACGGCCACGATTTCCGCCGCAGACTTGCCCGAGCTCTCCATCTCCTGCAATAAGCTGGCAAAGTCGGGGTCGGAGAGCGAGAATGACATGTTGCCGAGCTTTGGCGCGGAGATACGGGGGCCCGCCTTGCCTTCAGGCGACTCCTCAGTAGGAACAGACACGCGGATCGTTTCGGGTGACTGGGGTGCAGGCGACGAGCGTCCCTTGTCAAGCGCAGGAGCCGCCTTGATCGTGGCCTCTGAGCTTTCCGCCGAGACGTTAGTTGCGCGCGTCGGCGAGGTGACAGTGGAAGGCGACGACGACCGGGACGGCTGGTCGCTGGACGATGCTCGTAATGGGGACGGTGCCCGCGGCTCGGCTGCAAACGTGGCGGCAGCGCCATCCACGCTGAAAACCATGCCGGGGTTGATCGATCTCCTCTTCGACGCCTTGGTGGTCGGCACACCCAGACCTGCGCCGCCGCCGCCAGACGGGCTGAGACCAGGAGTGTTGGTCGGCGAGCGTGGCCCCATAGGCGAAGGGTTGCGCTGCGGCGTCGCCAGCGAGCCACTGAGATTTGGTGCGGAGGGCGAAGATTGGACCGATGTTCCCCCTGGTGTTCCAACATTAGTGACCGCATACGGGCTGGCAGGGCTCAGCGGCATAACCGGGCTCGCGGTGGCCGAGCGTGAGACCTCGTTGTCACTGGACCAGTCTCTGGACGAGACCTGCGTCGTGTCCAGAGACGGGGGCGCGCCTTGACGTGGAGTAACAAAGGCTGGAGAACCAGGTCGAGCGCCTGTGCGTGTTGTGGGACTGCTGCCACGGTCGGCGCTCGGTTCGCGCGAATGAGGTTTGCCAGTGGGTTGCGTTTCACTGTAAGGGCCGGAGAGGGAGCGTTGCGGTGAGGCAGGTCGTACGTTGGACTGGAACGTCGGCGATGTCGGCGCAGACGAGTTGCGGTCCTGCGGGGGCTGCACGGCGCCGGACGCAAGCAGGTTGAGCGACGTCGACGTGGACAGCGCCGGGAGCCGTGCCACGCCTCCTGGAAGCGGGCTGACCGTGTCAGTGCCGCCTTCCCGCTCGGCGCGCTTCTTCTCGGCCTCTGCCCGCTCTCGCTCTTTTCTCGCTGCGCGCTGGCGCTTGGCTTCAGCGTGTCGTCTTGATCGCGCCACACGCTCGTTGTGACATGACATGCAGTAGATGCCCTGCGTCGTTTTGGCGAAGACCAGCTCCTCAATGCGACGTTTGCAGGTTCGACAGGTGAAGCAGTGGGCGTGGTACGACTCATCGCCCGTCATGATAGCTTCCTCGGTGATAGCTTGTTTGCACACGAAACACTGGTCAACGTTAGCCAGGGCACGGGCTTGGAACCTTGTTCGCCGGTCGACCGTCGCCGAACGCGATGCGCGACCCGGCGTGTTACGGCTGTCTCGAACTTACCTGGTAAGAGCAGTTTCCGCACACGGGATTGCCGTCGGAAAGCAGGAGAAGGTTTGTGTCTGCAGATACCTTTTCGTTGCACTTGGCGCAGCGAAAGCAGTCGACGTGCCAGAGCGCAGAGCTGGAGGGAGCGGGTCAGCATCGGTGCATCCAAGAATAGAGGCCATTGGAGCCAGGCCGGTGGGCTAGCGGCTCCGAAGGAACGGTCACACTTACCCAAACGCAACGACGATTCCGCCGTTCTCCTGGTCGATGACCTTCTTGCATCCTCCGCAGCGAGCCTCCATCTCGCCCAGAGATGTGACAGATGACATGGCCTCCTGGTTCACGCCGTTAACGGATTGACGATGCGAGGAACGCCTTGACCTCGGGAGGTCCGGGGCAGCAAGCGTGCTGTCGACCTCGGTCATTGTTCGTCAAGTTTCGAAGCCGGACAAAGGGGCGGGAAGGCGGAGGTGATGATGCGATGGTGACGGAGGGTTGGCGGCGCGCGTCCTTCGAGTGTTCCCTTAGATGTCGACGGAAGGCATTACCTATGCACGCGTGCCGAGAATAAGGATGGTGTGGAAACTTTTGCTGTTTGCCGGGTGTGTGTGTATGCGTTGTCGAGGTGGATTGAGTGCTGGCACCTACCTGCCAGTTACGCAATGATCGAGATCGGGATCCGGCTCAGACACGCGTGGGAGGCCCTTGCCTAGTGAGGGTCGGGGGGTTGGGTGAGGGAGGGCGAAAAGAGGCCGACGACCGGACGACCGACGCGACGGAAGCAAGAGGGACCGAAACGAAACGAAAGAATGGAAATCAAAGAAAGGGAACGGGGAGGAGGGAACAGCAAGAAACTGTGTCGAGGAGAGATGACGGAGGAGAGGGGGAACGGTACTGGGGAGGTTGCGTGTGGTTGGGATGAGAGGTGGAGAGGAAGAAGGAAGGTGACGGTCGCGACGATGGGCGGAAGTAGAAGCCGGGTCAAGCAGTGACACTTCCGTCTGTCAACGTCTAGCCGTCTAACCGTGTCGTGTTCGGGCAGTCGACAGTGCTAGGGGACTGGGTCAACGCTGTGACTGCGGCTGTGTCGTTTAGTCGGAACGACTTTGTTCGTGGAGTGATGCGTGGTGGTGCTGATGCGCTGTCTGGTGTGTGTGTGTCGGTGCGCGGCGGCTGTGAGCAATGGATGCTAAGGCCAAGGCGCGGCAAGAGTACGGGAGCGACAGGAGCGGCAGGTGCGGCAGGTGTGCAGGAGCAGGTGTCTGCGAGAGGGGAGCCTTGCGTAGGGAGGCGTTTTGGTCTGCGGCGAGTAGTTGCGAGTTTGGGACGAGACACAAAAGTGCACGAGGGTTGAGTCGGATGTGCAAGTGCGCTGTCGTGGTCAGCCGGGTGCGCAGTGAGAAGCGCTGGGGGTTGAGACAGTGGGCTGGACTGTGACGACTGTGAGGAAGAGGGGAGCCTGTCCGTCTGCGAGTTGCAAGCGGCACAGTGAAAGGAGGGGTCGAGTTTGCTGCGCGATGGCGTACCCAGAAACAGAGACGGGGGTTAGGAGGCGCAGTGTCGGTGCGCTTTGGCCTTCTCGGTTCTGGCTCTGGCTTTGGGTCGGGCTATTGCTGAACTGGGACACCCGAGGTGATGGGGTGGGTGGGCGTCGGTGGGAGAGGGGCGATGGAATGGGCGAGTCGCGAGTCGCAATCGGACTTTGGATGCTTTGGATGTGTATGTGTGCTGGAGAGAGTTGTTATTGTGTGTATGTGCGTGGTAGAGCAAAAGGGGAGAGTGCGGTGGTGCCGAGTGGTGGTGGCAGGAATGGCGGACTTGGCAGCAGCAAGCACAAGGTAGAGTGCTGACTGTGCAGAGGGCGGTCGGGCAGTGGAACGGGTTCACGGGTCGACGGGTGGACGCGTCTCGTGCAGGGTAAAGCAGGGCCACAGGGTTCATCCGGAGTTGGCTGGGACCTTCCTCATCTGCACAAAGTGAGTTGAGTGACTGTTCGGCCCAAAGGGCGACCCACACATTGATGCAACCTCGACATTGCGTGCATGAGCCGTGCATAGCCTGCACAAAGGCTAACAGTAGTAGCACAGCTTGAGCCTGGGCATGCAGAGCTCCAGACTGGCTAGGCCCACGGCCCTGCAGGACACCCATGGTGGCAGTCAGGAGTGCGCTCCGGCCCTAGCCACCTCCTGCCGGCTGACCCTCCTACCCTTCTTTGCTAGCCTTGCTCCCTTCTGCGTACGCGCCCATTACCCTCCATCCTCTTTTCATCGCTACAAGCTCGTTCCACGACGCGGTTCCAGCGAAAGATCCCGTCCAGCCGCCCAGCGCGTCAAGTTGAGTCTCAGGAAACATCACGTGGTCATTCCCTGACATCCCATCACTCCCAGTTCACGTTCACCTTCTTGCGCGCCGCACATCCTTGCACATCCAGAGATGTGGGCAGGTGAGATGGGCACTGTTTGAGCTTATTTGCCTGTGACTACTGCTTCTTTTTTTCACTGTGCGCCGAGCAGCGAAGCGAGACAGGTTCCGGCGGATATCCTGGATCCCACCGCCGAGGCCGAACCCCGACGCGTTTTGAATTCAAGTAGTGAAAAGACGCGTTGGCACGTCGGTGCGTCGGTGCATCGGTGCGTCGGCGCGTCGGCACCCAAATCGCAGCTTGTCCAGACCCACTGTTCCAGATCGGTCTGGGGGGGGGGGCCGATCTCGACTCTGCGTGCAACACTCGCTCTTGCCCACCGCAGTACCCCAATTTTGGGGGGCATAGGCTTCTTGGCCATCGTGCGACTAGCGTAGCGTATAAATGAGCATTCGCCTCCCCTGTGCATCAATGTCTCCGTCCTCGCGGGGTTCTTCAAGTGCTTTTAGAGAGGAGCGTCGAATCGACGTAGAAGCTTACAAGTGTCAGAGTCCTGGAATGCAGGCAGACTGGAATGCCGCGGCTACGGTGCATATGGTGTCGGATACGCTCGGACGTCTCTCATAGCTTTCGTCTCATCAGTCAGTTCGTCGTGTCGTTGCCGCAATCAGCAGGCCAGCATGTGCTTGCGTCTGCCATATAGGCGCCAAATTACCCCTCAGATCCTCAGGATCTCATTTCGGTGCCGCGCGCGCAGGTGTGTGCGCGTGTGCAGCGATGCATTTCACAGCTGTGCAAGGCGAAGCACTGGGGCGCCAATTCGTCTGTGGGCATGTTCTCCGGCCAAGGGGAAGGCAATGAATGGCACTCGTACGTCGAGAGCTACAGGAAGCAAGCTACCAACTGCGACGGGTCATGCACAGAGACTCCAGGACGCTAAGCAACATGAGCTAGGAACATGGGTCCAGAGGGGTCCAGAGGGCCCCTAGTGCCGTGTCGTTTCGAGCACCATAGACATCGAGGAGAGGGGTGTCCGTGGGAGACCTTGGAACTAGCAAAGGCCTCCCCCGACCTCGAAGAAGTGTAACGTAGCCTTCGCCGACACTTGCATGCATACGGCAATGAGTTGTTCACGTGACACGCAGTCGGCTTGCTCACTGGCCGTGCAGCTGTGACTTTCTAGCTGATAATGCCAGAGATGACCCTCAACACAGAGACCTAGTGGCAGTCCCTCTCTGCAGACCCGCTTTCCCCCAGGAGGCAGCAACTGTGCCAACCCTCTCGCAAGTGTGCGCATGAGACGATGCCGAGCTCGGGACCTAAGCACACCAGCGCTGGGCAGAGGCAGAGACATGAAGGCAGAGATTAGGAAACCGAGGCCGTCACGGACATTCCGTCCCCGCCCCGTCTCCGCGCCGGGGAATGCCGACATCCCCGTCTAAGCGCAGTACCTGGCCCCAAAGGTCTCTGGCAGTACTGCAGTGCCTCCTGTCACCTGTCGCCAAACACTGAGGCGTTTCCATGAAAGCCATGAACACATTCATGGATACTTTCGGAAAGCGCGTCGGAACCTATCCCTCCCAAACGTCAGACTTACAGCATGCCGCTTTATGCTTCTAGTCTGATGCCAGAAGAGGAAGTCCACACTGCCCCACAGCAGACTCATTGTTTATTTTGCATCTTGGCAAACAACCTGGGCCGTACGATCCATTTCGTCGGTTCGCATCCGAAGACTCTGTCGCGTCGCGTCTGTCCGGCGAAACACGTCCCCTCGCTGAGAGCCGTTTCGTGCACACACAAATCCTGACCGTACACACAGACTCATCAGGCACCACCCAAATTCGCGGCGACTTTCAACTGACCACTGTTTACCGAATTCTCTCTCAGTCGCTGAATGATGCATGCATGCAGGTGATACTTGCGCAGAATGCCTTTCATACTAACAGAAGAGCGCTCCTGTCACTCCTTCACCTACTTTAGATGGATTGTTGACACCGGAAACTATGCTGAATTCCGTCAGTGGCCTCTGGCTCCTCCATCCATCAGCCACCCCCGATGACATGTTGGACCACCAATCTCTTGCCTCAAGAACTACGTTCTTCGTTTTCAGCGAGTGTGCTTCTGACATGCTAATGTGCTACCTGAGTAATTCAAAGTATGCATAGGTCATGCAAATCAGGCTGAAGAAGCCTTGTTCGGTGGCACGACTTAACATTACATAAGCAGTGTGTCTGAAAAGTGTGTGTACGAGCGGGAATTGTGTGTGCACGAACCGGCTCTCCCCCTCGCTCTCATCACCTACCGCTCATAATGACATTCCTTACGTATCTACACTTTCACTCTGCGACGCCAATTCAGTTGCGCATTCCAGTCAATCTCCTGACGAGTCGATCCCTGTCGCTGTACGCTCTGCACTGCTCATCCGATGCGTCTGGTCGAGTTCATCTCGGGTCTGTGATCGAGCGTCATTGCGAGCATGCGAGCCACCCACCATTCGCAGCTCGGGTGCGCGGCTGTATAATTGCTGTAATGGCCTGTCCCTCAGCATGTCATGATCAATTTACAGGTGCGCTCAGCCATCGGCCGAGAGCCGACGCGACGCGCCTGTCCGTGCGTTCATATTGGTTTCAGTATCGAGGGTCAGTACTCTGTTCGGATTTCGCCACTCTGGTAGCTTCTTCAGCAGGGTAATACATGATAGGTTGTACGCGGCACCGGCCCAGCACTCCGGTGCTAGGCTGGTGTATACGCGTCTCAATGGGTTTTCTATTGTACGTTGTTTCTTGTTGCGGTTTGGTTGATGCTGCGGAATAATGATGTCGCTGAGAGAAGAAAAAGAGCCAAAGCTCTTGGAAAGTGGATTCAGAGTCGAAGCCTGGTTTACTCGAGCTCATGTGGCTCGCTCACCAGGTTGCAGTTGGGGTAGACAAGTAGCTTACTCGGACTCATTGGATTGCCCGCTCGCTATGTCAACTGAGCAGCCTTGCTCACTGCAAACTCCTACTGGAATGCCTCCGGCGGGATCGTGGCACGGATCTCCTGGAAGTTGACGACTGCGCGCTCAACGTCCCAGCCGTTCTGCGCGAGACACAGCTCGGAGAACTGCGCGTTCATGCCGGTCCGCTGGCGGACCTGCTCGACCATCGCAGCCTTCTGAGCGGCCTCATCCCCAGGCGCCGCGGTGACAGTGACGGCGGGAATAGGCACAGCTCCCACGGCCGGAGGCACGATCGAGATGTCACCCTTCACAAGGGTCGCCTTGTTGTCCCAGCTGCCGGTGCTGCCGAGGTACGAGTGGACGACCATGGTGTCGGAGAGAATGACGCAAGGGTAACCCTTCGTCGCGGCGGGGGTTCCGGGGGGAGGGGCCGCAAGGATGAAGGTTCGGGTGAAGGATCGGTAGGTCATGGACGGGACTGGATATCAGTAAACGCCTTCACGCAATGCACTCACGCTCTTGGAACTCTCCCTGGATAACGGCCGAGATGCGGTCGTTGTTGGTGTCGAAGTACACGCATCGATCGACCACTTGCTGGCGTCCTCAAGCGGGTGCTTCGTGTCGGGCACCGATTTGGTGAGCCATCGAAGAAGCTCCGCCTGGTCCATCGGCGACTTGAGAGTCTTCACACGCTGCTCTACAGTCGTGCAAGAGCGGAAGAAGTTGCGACCGGGAAGCGTCACCCAAGCCTCGAACGAAACTGGCTGAGGTCGGCTCGAACGAGACTTGGCGAGCTCGGTGGCCTGGGCCGATCGTGATGGAAGCGTGTTGGCGGAGATGGAGATCGTGGCCTCCGGGTGGTAAAAGTCCATCGCCTCCACTCGGTTGTTGTCCCAGAGAGGGAAGAAGCGTCCGCAAAAGTCCATAACGGCAGACTTGCAAGCCTCATTCTCCTCGAAGGCAGTCGTGACGTCGATGGGGTAGGTGAAGGCTCGCGCAGCCAAAGGCTTGCGCTCTTCCTCGGTGCGCTTGACGATCGGCTTGCGCTCGAGAGGGAAGACGATGCGGTTCAGCTGCACGCTGTCGAGGATGAGAAGACCGGGGAAGCGGCGAAGAATGTCGTGCTGATACTTCTCGCCACCATCAGGGCGCTGGAGCATCTCCTCGCGGAACTTGGTTCCCTCCAGCTTGAGCTCTACGAGACTCTTGAGAGAGCCGGCAGCGGACGACGCTTTGCCCTTCTGCTCTCCGGGCGACTGGAGGTGCTTCAGCTCATCGCTCTTAGCAATGGGGTTGTTGCTGAGGTCGAGTGCGCGGATGTAGGGAAGACAAATGGGTAACTTGGAGAGTTGGTGAAGCGATTTGAAGCCGTTGTGTGCCAAGGACATGGTGACGATGCGGCTCTCGGGCGTCTCGAGGGTGGTTTGGATCAGCTTCCAGAACACATGACCAGCGTTTGCAGGAGCCTCAGGGCTGCCTGGGGGCGCGATGCCATGCTCCTTGAGCCATGGGTCATTGGCGAGATCCGACATGTTGACGACCCCAGGGGCGACAAGACGAGAGCGCAACCAGTTCTTAATCTCCTCGCCGCGGATGACCTCACTGAGCTTGCTGTGCTGCTGTCGCCTGATCTGCTCGGCGCGGGAGCCGCTGTCCTTCAGAATGTCGGGCGTTCCCTCGGGGGCGCGCCTGCTGTTGGAGGGGTTGAGATTGGCTCCGCGGCGCTTGCCCTTAGCAGAGGAACCGGAGGGGCCACTGATGCGACTCGCGAGCGAGCCACCGTCCGGCTTGGCGTAGGGAGCATCGCGGTTACGGCGACCGCTCTGCAAGTGCCGGACGAAAGAGGGAGGCAGATTCGCAAGCCGTGAGGGATGGGTGCGAAAGCGATCGGCGGGAGGTGGAGTTTGTTGTTGTGACGAGGGTGGACCGTACGACATTGTTGATCGGGGAAGGAAGAACGAGCGTCAGCCTCAGTAGACGACGGGCGGAGGAACGGTCGAAAAGCTGCTGTTGCTCGAGGGCAGGATGCTGCGACGCATCCGTGGTGGTTGAGACCGAGTTGACAGTACGATACGAGATGGACGTTGTGAAGGGAGAAGGAGAGAAGGCAAGCAAGAGTGACTGCGCGACTGGCACCTGCATAACTCGCCTGCCTATGGGATACGGCGTGGGAAGGCAGACGGCCTGCAGATGAGTGTACGATGAGTGTATGACTGCGTGTATCGGGTGGCAAACCCCTGCGCCCCACCGACAGCCCTAGTGCAGCGCCGGGCGCACCAGGCGCACCGGGCGTGGATAGGCTAAACAGGCGGGGTAACAGCGGGCGCCCTTTGCATGGGCTAGACCGATTTTCACACAGCTCACAGCACTCGCCTGATCGTCGTGATCGACTCTTGCAAGACCCTACTCTCTCCTTTAATCCTTATGCTCCCCTCGCTGATCGCTGATCACTGAGCGCGTATCATCGCATTCGATTGCCAACAATACCAATGAGAGATGATCCGTCGGCGTCCACGGACTGACAAGCAGTGATAACCTGGAGAAGAGCAGCTCACGTTGTACTTACCTGATCCAGCGGTCCGCTGCTTCGCGCACCTCGCCTGTTGCGGCCAGCTCGTCCGACTCCGCCATCCAGATCCATCTTGTCCTCGTTCGCAACGCCGGCGCCGCGGAGAGCACTGGAGAACGCACGCGCACCGCCACTCATGATCACCTGATGAAGATTGGAGGTTGAAACAGTGATGTAATGAGCTCAGACGAAGAGGTAGAGTGTCCCAATCGATACGGGTCGTGTCGCAGGAACGGATGGATCGTAATGTGCGGAAGTTCGAGACGGATGGGTAGCGCTGGTCGTGATGGCCGAGAGTTGTGTTGGTGGACAAGAGACCAAGAGGGGACAAAGAAATAGCGATGCAGCGAAGGTTGGCGAATGGCTGGGAGAATTAAGTGCACTTGGGTGGCAAAAACGCCCTGGGTGCCACAGCCGGATATCACCGCAACCCCGCCCTGGCTCACACCCAGCTTCATGATTACAGTCACCAAGGTCACTGTTGACGCATATCCACGCATCCACCACCCAAAAGCTGCAACGATGCCAGCAGCAAACGGCCATGCCGCCACCGCCAACGGGCACGCCGTCAAGACGTCCGGGGTCAAGTCGCGCGCCGCTCTGAAACGACTCAAGGCGAAGGCGAAGAAGGCGGCCGGCTCCTCGGCCCCGACTCCAACCTCGACTGAGCCCGAGAGCGATGCCGAGTCTGTCTCCTCCGTCATGACCGTCGAGTCCTTTCTGGACGCTGCCGAGCCGACACCCGAGTCTTCCGAGTTCTCAGAGTTCCAGAAGGTGTTCCAGCACTTCACGGAGACTGGCGAGGACGGTCTGATCAAGGTCGAGGACGGACCGAATAAGGGCCATGTCTACTATTCGGACGACGAGGACGAGGATGAGGAGGGACAGGCTGCGCGGAAGACTGGAACCGAGGGAATGACGAGGCGAGAGCGGAGACGAGCAGCAAAGCTCAGCGTGGCGGAGCTGAAGCAGCTCGTCGACCGACCAGAGGTTGTGGAGTGGTTCGACTGCGACGCACGCGACCCGCGACTGCTCGTCACCCTCAAGTCATACCGCAACACTGTCCCGATTCCCAGTCATTGGAACGCTAAGCGTGATTATTTGTCCGGACGAAGAGGAATGGAGAAGACGCCATACAGGCTACCTCGTGAGTTTCAGTGAGAGGTCCCTTATAACTGACCGCAGCCTGGATCGCGGACACGGGAATTGGAGAGCAGCGCGATGCGGTCAAGTCGAAGGAGGCGCAGCAGACGCTCGCCCAGAAGACGCGCGAGCGTGTGCAGCCGAAGATGGGCAAGATCGACATCGACTACCAGAAGCTGCACGATGCGTTCTTCAAGTACCAGGAGAAGCCGCGGATGTCCAAGTTCGGCGAGGCGTACTACGAGGGCAAGGAGATGCAGGCGGACCTGCGAACGAAGAAGCCCGGAGAGCTCAGTGAGGAGCTGATTGAGGCGCTGAGCATCCCGCCGCTCGCGCCGCCGCCATGGCTGATCGCGATGCAGCGTTTTGGCCCGCCGCCATCGTACCCGAACCTGCGCATCAAGGGTCTGAACGCCCCTATCCCCGCCGGCGCGCAGTGGGGCTTCCACCCCGGAGGCTGGGGTAAGCCGCCGATGGACGAGTACAACCGGCCGCTGTACGGCGACGTCTTTGGCGTAGTGCAGGGCGAGGAGAGCGCGAACGCGACGGCGGTCAACCGCGAGCGCTGGGGCGAGATCGAGATCATGGAGGCGGAGGAGAGCGACGAGGAGGAGGAAGAGGACGAGGAGGAGGACATGGAGGAGGACGACGAGGACGAGGACGGCGAGCCTGCGCCGACGGACGGGATGGAGACGCCGAGTGGTCTGGCGACGCCGAGCGGGTACGCCTCTGTCTCATCCACGGTACCGGGCGGGCTGGAGACGCCCGACTTCATCGAGCTGCGCAAGCGCATGCACCCCGAGCGCGACGACGAGGGCCCCTCGGGCCCGCGCGAGCTGTACCACGTCATCCCCGAGCGCGAGACGAGCGTCAAGGGCTTCATGGGCAGCAGCACCGCTTACGACCTCTCGGGCGCAGCGCCCGTGCTCGGCGACGACAGGGGGACGAAGCGCAAGGCCGGCGCCGTCGACGTCTCCATCGACGGAGACGAGGACCTCACCCCCGCCCAGCTCAAGGCCAAGTACAACGAGGCACGCAGGGAGGGGTCTCGCGTCCACGTTCCCGGTCAGCACGTCGACCGTTCCGAGTTTGACGATGTCATCTCGAGCGAGACGAAGAAGCGCGCAAAGACCCAGGACAGGAAGCGCAAGGAGGAGAAGGCCGAGAAGTACAAGTTCTAATCTACTGGACACTTGGCGGGAGAGACGATTAGCAGACTACCACAGGCACCATCAGCCGTACATCATGTTGTGACATGCACAGATAACATAGAGCACAGGTGCGAATGGCTTGCACTGATTGCATTGATCGGTCATGATGGTGGTACACACATACAGCTAAGGCTCCTCAAGTCTTATCTTACATCGCGAGCGGGTCTGACATCAGCACACACGCGCATATCATCCAGTGGGACTCACCATAGTCACTGTCAGGCTCGCTCTTGACCTCGGCATCCGTGTCAACGTCGCTCCAGTCATCTCCATACTGCTTTCTGCGCACGCTCTGCTGTCCACCGATCTTGCTCGCCTTCGTGATTCTACCAGGAGTCGATTTCGGGTGGAAGAAGTCATCGTCATTGTCGCTTCCAGACTTGCGCTTTTGACGGATGGGTGAGGAATGTCGCTTCGTTGTCAGCTCTAGCTCACGAGGCGTCAACTCACGTTTTGAATAGCAGGACGCGAGGAGGACGTAGAGGCGGATGTAGTCGTCGAAGGGCGTGAGGCTGGGCGGGCGGTGTGTGGGGTGGAGCGCCCGTTGCCGTTGACGAGATGGGCGCGACCGTTCGTGAGATGGCCATTTGTGCCGTTCGCGCCGTTCATCCGTCCGTTGACGCTGGGACGTCCTTTCGGGGCCGTCTTCAGCCGCTTCGGGGTCATGCCGATCGATCTTCCCTCGTTGAGGGCGTTGATGACGGGCGCAAGCAGGCTTGAGAGCTGCTCGTACTTCTGTTGCCACTCCGCCTTCTCCTCCTCGATGCCGCGCATGGTATCCTCCCACTCGGCCTCCCACTCAACCTTCCTCAGCTTGTCCTGGAACGTCATCGTGCTGCCATTGCTGCTGCGTGGTCGCTGGGCGGCGGCAGCGGAGGCCTTCTCCAGGGCCGCAGCCTCGCGCTGCAAAGCGGCCTGCGTGCGCCTTTCCTCCTCGACAAGGCGGTCCTCGAGCGCTTCGGCTTTTGCGACAGCCCGCTCGAGGTCTTCCTCGGTTGCTGCGAGCCGCGACTCCGCCTTGCGCAGCACGTCGTTTTCGTACTCGAGGTCCGCTATTCGCGCCTTGTACTCAAGGTTCGTCTGTAAGACACCCTTGTTCAGGAACTTGGAGAGTTCCAACTCGTTCTCCAGCTTCGCGACGAGGTCCTGAAGCTGGAGCACTGTCTTGGCCATTGTCGGGGAAGGCAGAGGGAAGACGCTTGACGCGTCGCGATCGGATCTGGCACAGGTGAAAAGTGAGAGAGGAGGGGATAGGGGGATGCTTTCAGCAGTTCGGATGAGGTTTGGACGAGAGCGGCGGCTCTATCGGGTGTATCGCTGGTAGGTATCGCTGAGATAGAGATGTTGTTGATGCTAGTCAACCAGAGACGCGTACTGGACATGAGACGAACTCAATCCTGATTTTCAGGCACCGTGATCCCTCTAACTGCGGCGGCAACGCACACAAAGTACGACGACCTCCACATTTCGATCTGTTGACGTTTCTTCCTCCCATTCTCGACAACGTCTTACACCATCCACAATGCCTCGCTCACCGCGCGACCGATCGCCTCGTGGCTATGGAAGGAGTCGCTCCCCTCCTCCCCGGAGTCGCGACGACCGTGACAGGAGAGACCGCCGCGATCGTGACAGGAGCAGGAGCCCGAAGCGGGAACCAGGGTGGGGTGACGAGTACACCGCAAAGGACCGGGAGAGGGAGCGCGAGCGTGACAGGAAGCGGTATGATGAGGATGTGGCCGGAGACAAGGAGGTAAGTACAGCAGTTGCTGCTTTGGGAGTAGACTGTGAAGGGCAGCTCGCTCTGCGGTCAGATCAGGGTACATCAATATCAGCACCACTCGTGCGACGCCCAAGATGGGCTAACGACATACAGAAGTCACCACCTAAGCCCAACATGAAGAACACCGGGCTGCTCGCGAAGGAGTCAAACATGGTCAAGGGTGTTGCGCTCAAGTACCACGAGCCGCCTGAAGCGCGGAAACCTGTCGTCAACTGGCGGTTGTACGTGTTCAAAGGTTCAGAGCAAGTCGGTGAGTACGAACGCGGAAGTTGCGAGATGGAGGGACGTAACTGACAATCAGACCTTATCCACATCTACCGCCAGTCTTGTTATCTTCTGGGCCGCGACGCAGTGGTCACCGACATTCTGATCGAACACCCCAGCTGCTCCAAGCAGCACGCTGTTATCCAGTTCCGCCAGATCACGAAGACGGACAAGTATGGCAAGACGACGCAGTCTGTGAAGCCCTTTGTCATCGATCTGGACAGCACGAACGGCACATGGGTGAACGGAGAGGAGATTCCGCAGTCGAGGTACTACGAGCTGCGGTCAGGCGATAGTGAGTACAGGCTGTGTCTCCAGTTCCAGCTGACCTTCAGTCCTCAAGTTCGGGACGTCGAGCCGGGAGTATGTGCTGCTCCCTGAAGACGCCAAGTGAAAGAAGTATACCCTAACATACAACCAAATGCATCTAATCTATAACTAACAGGAGGACTTAGACACACAGGCTGGACGGCGATCAAGAACGGCGACGGGAGGCTGGTGATGTGAAACAGAAGTGAAGGAACGATGAAAACACGGTGATAATGTCAAGGTGTGCGAGCTAGGTCTGGTCTACACATGGCTCAATGCTTATCCACTCGGTCACTTGGCCTTGACGTCGTTGGTAAGGCTACCGTTGTTGAACATGGCGGAGAGGCGACGGATCTTGTCGCCGCGGCGACGGGGCGCCTCGGGCGTGGAGCCCTTGCTGATGGAGCCCGTGGGGGTGTGAGTGGGGGTTGCTCTGGGGGTTGTAAGCGGCGTGGTCACTTTCTTCGCAAGGCTGCCAACGTTAATGGGAGACTTGGAGAAGGACTTGGAGCCGTTGGAAGAGTCGCCGTCGTAGCTGCTAGAGGAGATGTTCTGGATGCGAGGCAGGCCGTTGAGGAAGCTGGGAGGCGATCCGATCGCATTCAGGATGCTCTTGGGGGGCGGGGTCGGGTTCCGGAGGTTGGCGTTGGGGATGGGCTCGGTCGGCTGGGGCAGGATCTTGACGCTCTTGGCGGGAGGCGTCTGGAGAATGGTGGAGGTAAGGCTGGCGTTGGAAATAGAAGGGGACATGGGGAGCGCCATGGGCAGCGGGAGCCCGCCGCCGCACATGCAGTCGACGGGCTTGAGCAGGGGCGACATAACGGAGGGCGACATGATAGTCGGAGACAGGGGTGGCGACATGAGCGTGTCGCGGTCGACGAGCTTTCGGACCTTCTTAATGGCCTTGCCCTTCTCGTGCCCGCGGCACTTGCCAGGGTAGCATTTGCACTGTTGCCACTCAGACTTGGGCGGGATGACCCACGTACCGTCGGGTCGATACAGGTCCGGGCTCTGACGTCCAAGCACCTCAGCCATGCCGACAAGGAGGTCGGTGCTGAGCTCGAGCGCCTCCTTCGTTTTCTGCGTTTGGTGATCAGCGCTGTGGATCGCAGTGGCGGAATGCGAAAACTACTCTGGCGGTGGTAATGCAGCCTGCAATGTACTCACATGAGTGAACTTCAGCTCGTGCGATCGCATCTTGGCAGCAAGCGTCAGCCGGTGAGATTTACCCCACTGCTGGTTGCGGGGCACGCACGCTTGCTGGACGCTGAGACGGTGAAGGAACGCATGGCGCTCCTCGTGCGCACGGTCGGCAGGATTCAGCAGCCACGAGCATGTGCACACTGGGAGCTTGGTCCGCAATGGCAGGTCGCACTTCTTGCCGGAAAGCACGCACGAGACGCAACTGTAACCGAGAAACCGAAGCAAGCGAGATCGTGGGGTCGGCACGCGCATGCACAGTGATGGGGGTGGCGGAAAGGGTGCGACAGATGCGGACGGGCAGTCAATTTGTCCACACAAGAGGATCCCGGGTCAGCTCTAGTTCCGCCGCGATTGTGCTTAGCTGCATTCTTCTCACCGTCCAGGAACGTAGGGAAACGGGTACTGCGGGTCCTCAGTACGAAGGGAAGCGATACACTTCGAGCCGCTCTCCTTGCAGCAGCCACACGGCTTCTCTGTGATGAGTCAGTCAGGTGATCATCCTGCATCTGCGTTGCTCAAGCCGCCACCAGCGTCTCTTCTCCCAACGCACCGAGAATTACGGGCTCGTGGTCCGGCTCCGTGAGAAGGCTAAGAAGTCGAACACAGTCCCAGTCGTCGCCGTAGAAGGCGCGGGTCATCACCGGGCGGAGCGCCTCCTGTTCGACGTCAGCCCGACTCGCCCTTCCTTCCCGGCGTCCACCACACTCACAGTGACGGTTGGGTCGAGTAGGGGAACAGGACGGTACATGTTTGTCGAGTTGTGAGTGAAGTGAAGTTTGAGAAAGAGAAAAATGTTCAACTTTGAACGCAATGACAAGGGGGACGGTGCACCCAGCGAGCGGCTCTTGCGCTTGTGGGCGGAAGCCCGGGCGATGCCGAGCGTCGAAAGCGGGGGCCACCATCAGGAGTGCTTTGTCTCACCAGCGTAAGCGTAAGCGCTTTGGTCAGCTTTCTCGCATTCTCATTTGGGATTTCGCAGACGGGGCGGACGATGAGGATGAGATGGCGTAAACAGCGAAGGATGAAACACACACACACAACATTCGTTCTCATATGGAGAGACCCGTCTGCCTTGATCGCCAGTGGGTGGCGTCGCCTGAAATCAGCCGCGCGTGCCACATGACAAGTCACGTCCGTTGATCTATGGCGAACATTGCGCGAGTACATATGCGCATGGGCTAGATCGTGATCCTGCCATGCATACGGCAGCTAAGCTGGTCTGTCTACAAATACGCGAGCGATACATCTACTCAATCGGAACAGCCACTGGCACCCCACGCCCTGCTGACCACATCGAGTTCCACAGCACGAAGAACACTAGAACGTGCTGTCGTCAGCTGAGAACTGTGCTTGAAGAACGTACCAATGATCCAGCATACATGATGAAGAGGGACCTCGCACGCTTGTTGCCGATGATGGCCCGCGTGAGGGCGAAGGTTGCCCGCTCCAGAGGGTTGAGAGCCTGGATCGCTCGCTGGGCCTCTCGACCCTTGAAGGCCTCAAAGGGATTCAAGCTCTCGTCGTACTTATCCTTGTACTTGCCGATTTCGTCGTCCCGACTCCGCAGAGCGCCGTTCAGCATGGAAGCCGACGACCCGGGCGTGTTATAACCGGATAAGGGCATGTGGGAAGAGCTGCCGGCGGTATCACGATAGCTCTGCATGTAGCGCACTTTCTCATAGAGCTTGAGATTGTCAGCCTGAAGCGACTTGATCTCAGTGCGGAGGTCAGAAATCGTCTCGAACTGCCTGCGAAGCTCCTCTTCCAGCTCGGCGTTGCGCTGCCTAAAACGGTCACGCTGGGACGTAACGATAGGTAGAATCGAGGCATCGTTGTTTGGAGAGGGCGATCCTGTCCGCTCCGACTTGCCGCCGATGTCCAGACCGGCCAGACCAGCTCCCTTGTCCGACTTTTCGTTCTCCTTGTTGACTGACATTAGGTCAGCCTCGAGGCGCTCATTGAGTTGGCGCAAGCGGGCAATCTCTTCCTGGTCGGACTGGACGGACTCCTCGCTCTTGTTAAATTGCGTAGTGAGCTCGTCGTGGGCCACGCGGAGCTTGGTCAGGTCTTCGAGCAGTCGGCGATTCTTGCTGACGAGCAGATTTTCGAGTGACTGGCCAAGCTTCTTGTTGGAGACATCGGCATTGGGATCCGGCAGAGCGACCTCGTCATCGGCGTCGAGATCGGCCCCAGAGAACTCAACGTACTGCTGTCAGCGGATGCATCGGGAAAGACTCACCTTCATGATTTCCAGCTCGCGCTTGAGTTCGTCGTAATCGCTGTACTGCTTAACCTTCGCCCGGAGGTTCTCAATCTCGGCAGCTTGGGTAGCAATCTCACGAGCGGCGTCGTCAACGCGCTTCTTCTCGCTCTTCTCTACATCGGTCTTGGCATCTTTAGCCGCCTCAAGAGCGCGAAGCAGACGCGAGGCCTCAGCCTCGAGCTCTGCGATCTGGTCCTCCTGCTGCTTAACCCTGGATCCGTTAGCACACGTTTAACCTAGGGAGCTCACTTCTCCGCCTGCTGCGAGCCGCTACGAACAGTTTCGATCTCAGAGCGCAGGATTTCCTGCCAAGTCAGCAACTGGGCTCCAGGTGGCAGAGTGATTGCCTCACGTTTCGGCGCTCAATGGTGGCAACACGCTCGTTGGCACGGTTGAGATCAGCCACAACGAGGTCGAGCTCAGCGAGCTTCGCAGTAACGTCCTGCTCTAGGGAGTGAGCCTCAGCCTTCACCGGGTGCACCCACCTTGTCGCTGGCTAGCGTCGAGAAGCTTAGCCTGCGTGCTCTCGTTGGACGTGTGGAGGTCGCGCAGCTGGTCCTTCAGAGTCGTGACCTGACGCTGCAGATCCTTCTCCCTGACGAGTCAGCGCAGCTGCTGCGATGAAGCTTACCTGTCCTCGTAGTTCCGCATCCGCTCGTCGTACTCGGCGTTGAGCTCGTTCTCCTTCTGAGTAACGCGCTCCTGAATCAGATCGTCCATCTTGGCTTCCAGCTGCTCAGCTCGCTGCTCAGCCTTCTTTCGCTTGTCCTCCGCTGTGGAGGCCTCCGCGACCTGCTTCTTGAGGTCGGCATTCTCCTCCTTCAACCGAGCCATTTCCGCCTCCATCATGCGAGCTTCAGCGACTTTGACCGTCTGGTCTACAGCGGCATCGAGGAGGGGGTAAGGATCCGGCGCGTCTGACAAGAGCTTGTAAACGTTCAAGAAAGACGTCTCTGACATCTTTGATCGGCGAGTGAGGTTGTCGATCTCACCCTGGTACGCCTTCAGCAGGACCTTGATGGCACTGAACTTCTCGGCATTCTCTGGAAGCTTTTTGAACTCTGCATCTGTCAGCCAGCGCTCTATGTGCACACCCACCTCTGGTCTGCTCAGCCAGCTTCTTCCTTCCGACCATGTTCTCCTTCTGGTTGTCCACAAGCTCGACAGCCGTCGCATCGAGCGACTTCTGTAGCTCGGACAGGTTGATCTCTGAGGGTGTCAGCTCTTCCAGGGCAGGACGACGCACCCTTCCATGTTGACAACGCTGCGGAGAAATTGGCGTCGGTCATGTTGACAGCTGCCTCGTGGCCGTGCTACAGGCTGTTGCGAATGTCGAGGCGAGGTGGAGTGCGTCTGTCGTGATGTGGGAGGTGGCGACCCAGTGCAACCGTGGATGTCTGTCGTAATGAGGCGTCGCCCTGGATTGCCACGTGACCCACACGCTACTGACGCGCGACGCGTTTGTTGACAATCAGCCGCGACGTCCTTACAATCTCGATGCACTCGCAACAGCCGTGACCAGTACACCTCAACTTCCCTCTCCACTTCGACAGCGGCATCATTGCTGGCGATGCTGAGCCGGCATGTGCAGGATCCGCACAACACGATTACGTCGCTCTCTGCCTCTTTCTCTGCCTCGCTCTCCTTATCCGAGGCCATCGATCTCGATATTGTCGACGAAATCATCAGCCGCGCTCGGGACGCCACCACATTCGCCCAGACTCAGCATGCATACAATCAAGTCCTCAAGGAACGGTAAGGCAACTATACATGTGTGCATCTGACCTTCTCAGGGGTATCCGACCCAGTGACGACAAGTTGTACTACCAGTTCATGCTCAAGTTGAGCATGGTTAGGGCTGCAACCTGGGGAGAGCGATGGGATGTCTGGCGATCGATGCACGATGAGACGCGTGCTGCCTCCGCCACTGCTGTGTCGTCTGCATCGAAGTCGCGAAGCATGAACCCACTGAAGTCCAGAGTCCCCTTCCTGGCGAGCGCGAGCTCCGACCTCGACGAAGGATTCGCCGACGAATCTGGCGCCGAGTCCGAGGTTGCCGTACGGGAGTCGCCCCGCAAGAACCTCCGCAAAACATTGGAAACTTTTCGAGGCCAGTCTTTAGTCGGCTACACGCCGTCCAATTCGGGCGAGGAGGACTCGCTCGACCTTGTCGGTCCGCCAATCCGGACCTCGACTCCGAGAAAGGCACGGAAGAGTGCTGGCTACCACGTCTACGACGACTTCGGCAAGTTCTTGGACACGCGCCGGACGAGCTCATTGTCTCCGACCCCACCCACATACGAAGAGTCTGTCACTTACAGCACCATCAATCCCGATCGGACATTGACCGCGACACCTAAGGCGACCGATGATACTCCCTACATTCACCCTCGCGAGCTCAAAGACCTCGAATTCAAAGCTGACCAGTTCCTGCGACTGGGCCTACTGGGTCGATGCTTCAGCACGTGGTATCAGTCGGCAGATTGGATCTGGAGCACGTCCAACAAGATCCAGGAGGTCCGTAACATGCTCCTCCTGCGACAGCACCTGCACAAGTGGCAGGAGGTTTTGGAGATCAATCTCGGCCGACCAGCTACGGCCGACGCGCACTTCCAGATGTCTACAGAAAAGAAGGTAGTCGAGAAGTGGCTGAACAAGGCACGAGAGCGACGTCGTGACAGGCGTCTGCTGGAAACAGAAGAGGCGGTCACCCGAGCCATGGACGACGCCGCTGCTCGGGCGGCGTGGAAGATGTGGCGCGAGAAGCTGGTCATGACTCGAACGAAGCGATGGGAGAAGGATCTGAAGCGACGAGAAAAGCAGGCCGTCCAGCAGTTCCGCAAAACCAAGCTGGAGCGAGCTTTCAACGTGAGCTAAGCTATTACCCTAATCTGACAGCAGCGTTGGCACGATCGGACGCAAGAACGCAAAGCCGACACGCACTTCGTTAGGACTACTCTCGACCGGACTTTCGGTGACTGGTTAGCCTTTGCACTGCGATCTCGAGATCTCAACAACAAGGCTGCAGCTTTCAAGAGACGTCGCGACACTGCCTATGTGCGAGGGGCGATGACGATGTGGCACAAAACCGCCTCCTTGATACCGCTCGAGGAAGTGGCAGTGCGACAGGGGAAGAGGAGAGTTCTGAACAGTTACATGTCTCTGTGGATGAAGCGGGCGGAGCAGGCGCGTCTGGCGGACGCCTTCAACGATCGCTCTGTCAAGAGATCCGCCATGGCTCGAATGGGGAGTGCTCTGCAGAAGCGTATCTCGAGGGAGCAGATGGCCCACGAGATCGTGGCAGCGCGTGATCGAGAGCTCCTGTCCAAGGCCATCCGCATTTGGAGTCTCGTCGGTCGAAGCAAACTGTACGCCCGCGTATCCGACCGCCGCCAGGAACGTATCGTCTTTGGCAAGTGGCTGGGCAAGATGGATAGAGTCCACGACCTTAATGGTAAGAGGAGAACGTCTGTCAAACTGACGTCTAGTGCGAGTGGCAGAGTTCAAAGCTGCGTCAGATTTGAGGCGCAAGTATACTGCGCTCACTCGCTGGCGGGATGTCATCGGTTCAAAGCGAAATGCAGCGTTAAAGGCCGACCTCATGTACGAAATGCGGACCAAACACAGATTAGTCACCAAATGGAAGCAAGCCCATGTCAAGCAAGCCGACAACGAGGCGACCGCCGACAAGGCGCATGCTTTCTTCACTTTACGAGCCACTTTCAAGATCTGGAAAGGAGCGCGGATCCTCCGACAACAGCAAGCTTTCGTGGAGAAGCGTCGCCTCAACGACTTGAAATCGTGGATGGATGGTAAGTTGTTGGTATTTGTCGTTGCTGATATCAGCCTGGCGAAACGCTACCATACAGAGCTTGGAGGAGAAGGTCAAGGTTGAAGAGTTCCAGAAGGAGCGGGCCAAGGTGCGTCACACTGAAAGACGGTGCTAACAACAGCGATGCCTTGCAAAGCGTCTAGACCAGTGGACGCAGCGCGTGATTGCGATCAAGTCGGACGAGATCACCGTCACGGAGCAGTACAACGCCAGACTCTCGCGACGCGTGTTCGACCGGTGGACAGGGGAACTGAAGCGGACTCGGAATCTCGCGGCTCTGCTCGCTAGCGCCCTCGATATTCGTGCAGAGGAGCAGCTGCGCGGGGCGTTCCGCGCTTGGCGTCAACGGGCGGCTTACGAACGCGATCTTCGACAGCGCTCCGAGTTCTTCGCGAATGAGCGTCGCCAGCGAACTCTTTCCGAGGCGATGGACAAGTGGGTCGGCCTGAAGCGAGAGCGTGACCTGCGGTCGGTCGAGGAAGAGGTCGCTCTGCGTCATGAAGATGCCCTTCTCTTCGCCGTCTACGACCGCTGGATTGCGAGGACAGCCTCGTTCGACGCCATTCGTTTCGACTGTCGGCGCATGCGCAGAAACACCTTCGACCGGTGGCAGAAGGCTTTAGTCCGTATTCGAGAGGAGAAGAGGGCAGCCGCAGAACACGATACCAAGCTGAAGGGTGAGTTTACCATGGATGTTTGCGCTGACAGAACAGAGGAGGCCTTTGGCTTGTGGAGGAAAGCCTACCTGGCCAAAATGGTCAAGAAACGGACGTGAGTACCTCAGGCCTCGGACTCCAGCTGACATCAGACACCATCGACGTCGTCGAGGAACCAGTCCCGCCCTTATAGATGGCCGCCGCGCCCACAGCCCGGCATTCGCCGAACCTCGTCGAGGCAGCAGCCCTCTGTTCGGTGAAGCTGTGCGGGCACGGCACAGTCTTCCTGGCGTAGGCGTGCCTCCTAGAACACGGGCTGTACCGGGACCACGCCCTTCTCTGCCAGCGGGTAGCAGCAGCCGGTCGCTACTGCCGCGCCCCGGCCGTGTAGTGTCCGGTACGTCTGGTAGTTCGAAGTCTGAGGAGGCAGGCTCGGTCGCGAGTGAACCGGCATACTCGCGTCTGCGAGGGGAGCTAGCTGCGCAAAGTCCCGGGCGCTCGCCCCGCGGACGCTCTGCGAGCGACGAGGACCCGCAAACGAAGCTTCGATCACGATCTGGAGACAGGCACAGGAAGGGTGATCTGGACACGCCCATGAGCGAGCTGGTGCGCGCTCTACGGGAGGCGAAGCGAAACTAGAACTGTGCAGTAGCGTGTGCTTGATGCTAGTACTTGTTGTATGCTACCTCTCTAATGCCGGCGACGAACATGCTCGGGCGACGATCCTACTCGATCGCCTCATCGCGCCGCAGGTACGTGACCGCATTGGTTGCGTTCGAGTGGGCATATGGTGTCATGAATGGCCAGTTATCGTCACGCGCATGCATTCAGTACCTAGGCTCTGAATGCTATTCTCCTTTTGACGCACAAAGAGCGGCGGACGCAGAACGAAGCCACGCCCGGCCTCTGGTCGGCGGAATGCAAGTGAGGTGGCGGCTCCAACAAGGTGCGGGCTGGGGCGAGGTCAGCTGCCCATTGACCTTCCCCACCCGTGAACTACGTGAACTCACATAAAAGCCGGTCGGCCCACCGAGCGCTTCTCTTTTCCCCACATCATCTTTACACCATGGCGCACTCCCCATGAGTCACTGACCCGAACACAGTCCACAGTCCTTAGCGAGCTTGTGAAGTGTAAGTGAGCGCACGGCACTCGACACCTTAGGTCTTCGACTGGCGGCGACGCTCGCGTTCGTTCGGTTCGGATTGGGCACCCTCCCCACCTTCCCCCCACAATGTATCACCCTCACCCGTGATTTGACAGTACGTTGAGACTTCGCCTCGGCATTGTTTCGTTGCAATCAAGTAGAATACCCCGGAGAAGAAGACGGAAGTTGTCGCAGATTCGCCACCCATATCCCAACCCCGGTTCCGTTTCGTCATCGATCCCCCCACCCTTCGTAGATACCCGACCCTCCCTTTCGATCCCCGTTCCGCAAGAAGAGACTGGTGGAAGAAGAGAGCAAGAGTTTCGAGTTCCGGTAGCAGCACTGAGTAGCGTCGACCCCGTCAGCAGCAGGACATCGACATACGTGTGGCCTCTCGCCATCACGTCGGCACACCCCTCTCGGGTCGTGCGGCAAGATTGTTCGCCTCCCTAGCGCCAGCAGGGCAGGCCTCTCGCATCAAGACGGCAAACGTGCAGCCTCTGGTTGGCACGTCGGCACGCTCCTCTCGAGCAGTGCAGCAAGTGTCGACATATGCGACTGTGTCGCATCGGCACGCCCCTTCCGGGAGGTGCAGGCAAGATGTGATATGGGACAGGCCTCTCGCAGCAAGTGTCGCCTTCCCTTGGCCTTTTCGTGGATGGATTGTAAGAGCGGCAAACGTGCGACCTCTCGTCGTCACGTCGGCACGCCCCTCTTGGGCAGTGCGGCAAGTGTCGGCATACGCGCCCAGTTCGCGTCGGCACACCCCTCTCGGGAAGTGCAGCAAGTGTCGGCATACGTGCAGTCTTGACTGTCACGTCGGCACGCCCCTCTCGGGCAGTGCGTCAAGATGCTTGATTGTTGTGTAGACTTCTTATTGTTCGCCTCCCCAGCACACGATTGCAGGGCAGGCCTCTCGCAGCAAGAACGGCATACGTGCAACGTCTCGTTGTCACGTCGGCACACCCCTCTCGGGTGGTGCGGCAAGTGTCCGGCATACGCAACAGCAGTTGCGTCGGCACGCCCCTGCCGGGCAGTGCGGCAAGAGTACATGGCCTCTGCAGTGCAAGCCTTTATAATCAACAACTGCCTCTCGCATCAAGCGCCGAGCGCCCAACGACGCACGCACGCGGTACGCCCACCCCCGGCGCTCACGGCCTCAGTTGCCTTCCACACTTTCCAGGCCGAAATGGCAGATTCAGGGACGACCCCACCCCCTTCCCCACACTCTCCATGCCGATCTCTCCCCTCCCCACCAGGCGACCGACAAGTCAAGACCAGGCTATCATCGGACGGCGTCTGGTCTCTGGCTCGACCCGACGTTCCGATGATTCGACCTTCGACTATCGACGGATGCATGCTCGCGACGCTTTTGTCATCTGCAGTCGCTCGAGTTATGTACTGCCGTAGACATAGCTGCCCGGCAGACACGCGATGACCGCAGCTCGGCGGTACCCCTCTCGCCCGTCATTACGGAGCTTAGGGGAAGGAGTCGCATCGCGACTCGCGCGACGCCCATCGAACCCAGCGAGGCTCGCTGGAGAAGTCGCGCTTGTAGCCTTATGCATAGATATCGGCTCACTAGTGCACCTGGCCGTGACTTACAGTTGGGCGGAGCAACGTAGATGGTCAGTGGCTGTCGGCTCATTTTCGCATTTGCTCCCTCGACGCTGCTGTTTTCGGCTCTTTTCCGTCCCAGCCTCTCACCCAGTCCGGCCCTTTCCCTCATTTGCGTCCGTCGACGCTGCTGTTTTTCGGCACATTTCCACCCTTTTGCTCCCGTCGACGCTGCACTTTGAGGACGACGTTGGAGGACGTCTTGCGCAGATTCATGCTTTCCCACGGTCACCAAGATATTCACATCCTCAGTGGGTGGCGGGCAACAGCGCAGCCATTCTCAACAGCAGCGGCAGAACGCATGCCCAGCACGCTCAGTTATGCTTGTGCTTCTCATATTCTATCTGTGATCTCCCATCTTGGCATCGGGGCCAAGAGAGAATGCACGTGCATCCCCCTTCCTGCACATTTGCGGACCTGCCGACCTTGGTGTGCCGCAAGCATCCCCACAAACCCACCACTTGATTGTCTCCATGCACCCAATCGTCTCCCAATCGCGCAGATGAAGCCCAAGAAGGCGGCTTAAGGCGGGGCAGTTGTGCCCCGCAACGCCCATGTCACAAATAAGAGTTGCTCCGCAAGATTCTTGGCGAAAGTCGCGACCCCAGTGTCTCACGGGGGACTGAATAGAGGTGACGCTCCTATCTGTGCACACTCTGCACCTTGTTAGCGAATATCGTTCGATGAAGAGTCCGATTCGGGCCTTGCCCTTTGTTCCCGTGACCAAAAGCAGCACGCCAGATCACTCTTCGTGACATCCGCTTATCTCTGCGGCTACAAAGCTTCCATTACGCTTCTGATACCATGGAGCAAATGGCGGCCGTGCTCGGCCATCGGCCATGCATTCACAGCTGATCACTCTGTGCGCTCCTCGCACACGTCGCACACGTCGCACACGTCGCGCGCCTCGCTTGCGCCGGCTAAGCATATCGGAAAGTCGACCTTTGGGTGGGACAGAATTACAGAACTCCGCTGAGCTGGAGCTTCCTATATTCAAGGCACACCCCCCTTTCAGTTGCCGTGCTTTTGGGCAACTTTGAGCACACAACGGGCTCAGAATAGACCCCCCCCCACATCCCAGTCCACAGGTCACAGGTCACCGATCACCGACCCCACTCCCACAACTCCCACACTTCCGGGGACGCCGGGGCTGTATCGGAAAGTCTCTGCGGGCGTCGGTCACGAGTGCCTTTCCAGCAATCCATTTAGCATAGCATGGGACATGCGAATGACGTGCAGAACTGCGTACAAAGACTGCGTGTTCAGTTCAATTTGCATGCGTTGCGTTGCACGGCGTGTCCGCCGAGGGTCCGAGGATCCGAGTGAATCGCCAGATCTCGCGTGGAATGTCGTCTTTTGCCGCCAGGCTCACACTGCACCAATTGCTAGCCAAGAGCGGCTGGCTAGCTCATGGTCGTATGAGAAGTCGGTGATTTCGTCGGCACGAGGTGGACGTGCGGCCCGTGCATGCCGTGCCATCTTGCCAAGCATCACGGGGCGGGGGGACTCCAGGCTGCCCCAGACGCCAAGGGGTGAAGGGTCCCAGGTGGGGACGAGCAACCCCCACTCTCGTACCCTTTGCGAGAAAAAGTCCAACGCAACAACAAAGAGCACAGGGGGTCATGATAGTATACATGGGTGTCAAATGCTAGTGATATACAACGTTGTTTTAGACTTGGGCCATGCGGTCGAAGCAGAGCGATAGCGTCGCGATCAGACCGAGGTCGACGCCGGCGGCGACCGTGATGAAGTACTGGTTGTCAGCTGGATCAACGAGTTGAGGACAGCTGTCGTGAAAGCTCCACTCACTGTGCTCGGGTCCTTGACAACCTCCTTTGGTCCGGCGACCGTGTGGCGGACCTCGGCGACAGAGGTGCCCGAGGGGTTGTTGTTGTCGTACAGGATGAGGTCGGCACGGCCCGCGTGGAACTTGCCGCGGACAGCAATGCGTGCGTCCTGCCCCGTGTTCGCGTCCTTGAACACGCAGCTCATCTTGTCCTTATCCGTAGGTGTGTGCCTCGCCTCGAACAGCAGACATCCCGAGGGGTCCACCACCTCGTACGTCCGCTTCACAGACGTGCGCTTGTTCTTCACGCTGTACACCAGGTTGCCCTCGGGGTCCAGAATGTCTGATGGTCAGCTAACCTCCTCAACTGCCACAGAGCTTAGCGCCTTCCTCGGTCTCAGGAAGGACGAGAGTGTGACTCACCCTTCTGGTTCACGAGCGAGGCGAGGTGCTCCTTCACGGTAAGAATGATCTTGCCGTGGGCGTCGCGCACGTCGCACTGCCGCTTGTCGAACATGGTCGCGGAGCCCTTGAGCACAATGATCGTCTGGTCGTCCCTCACAAACGACGGGAGGAGGTACACGGGTGTCTCGAGGGCGGGGATGCCCTTGCTCGCTGTGCGCGTGGGGGAGCCAGCGCCGCAGTCGGGCCACTCATGCTTGGGCGAGGAAGGGGGCGAGCCGGACATGGTGGTCGATGCCGAAGTGGTGGGAGACAGCGGCGGGCGCCCAACAGGCGTGGTCGGCACGGTCGGCTGCGCAGGTGTCGCCGTCGGCTTGCCCGTGATGGGGGCCTGGTTGGGAGACACCATGGGGAGAGCAGTCGGGGGAGTCGCGACGGCGGCCATGTTACTCTGTGTACTCGACGAGTAGTACTCGGAGGGAGGGGGTGTCGTGGGGAGACAGTGAGTGGTGGACGAGTGCGAGGAAGGACGAAGGACAAGACGAAGAGGGTTGAAGATAAGACGCCGGCCACTTATGGCTGTACAGTGGTGCGCCTAGCCGCCGTGTCTTGGGTGGTGGTCTTGGCCGTGGCTGGGCCGGCTGGGCTTGGCTAGCTTGGGTTCTCGCTAACTGCATAGGGTTTGGGGTAAAACTCGCCGGCATGCCAATCCTAAGGCACCGCTCTTGGCTGGGGGCCGACTTAAGGAATCCCCCTCACGCGAGCGCCCCCCACCGTGCGTGCCCGCGCGCCGCCGCATCGCTGCTACGGCGCGGCATCTCCCAAGCAGTTCCAAGCAGTCGGAAAACCGCTTTTACAACGGTCACCAGCCACGGGGGCCATTCAACCCCCGCGGCACTTGACGTCATGTCCGATCCCTCGGACTCCTCGGTGCTTGCGCATTGGACACCGCGGTAACTGTCGGCACTGCCCCCAAGACGCGTAGACCAACTAGCGCGTTCACCGTACCTGTCCCAAGCTCCGTTCGACGCTGCATATCGCCCACCACGAGGGAAGGTTCCGGGGTGGGTCTAGAGGGAGGGGGAGTGGCAGGCGCAGAGGATGTCGAGCAGGGGCGGAGCCAGAGTCAGCCAGAAGCGGTCCCGCAGCTTCGAACTCTCAGTGGCGATCACGGCGAGGCAGACTTGAGAGGGGGCGACGTGTTTCGAATTATGTGTGCGGGATGTCCAATGACTCTTCGGAGCTTGCCGCTCAGACAAGATCTGACCTTTTGGTCTTGTCGCAGTTTGCATCATTGCACAGCGGCCAAGCGGGTTAGCGGATCTGCAGCGCATGCATGCAAGGCCGACAAGGCCCGGAGGCGATGAACTCGCCGCAATGAGCAATGCGGCGAAGGCTCACGATTTCGAAGAGTGGTCTTGGCGTCGCATAGCCGTACAGTTCCAGCAGCGCTTTCGAATATCGAGATGCAAGCTCCGATTAAGCTCTGAAACCAATATCTGGACCATAATCTTGGACGGGCGCTTGCCTCAGGTTGTGAGCTTGCCACTCTGCAAGCTCACCTCTCTGCCTCTCTGCACTACGCAAAGCGGGCTCAGCTTGCCTCGCCGAGCGGGCAACAATCGGCCCCACCTAGATGCATGCACCGTGGTATTTTTAACCTCTTTGTAGCAACTCCCAATCAACGATGACTCACAAGTGGGCAGCAAGCCGCAGGCTTATGTAAAATCACATGTTCTACTCGTCGTCACTGCGGGCCTCCACACGCTTCATGACATCAACTCCAAAATAACTTGGTTCGCCGCCTGGCTTCCGACTCGAGGGCTGAGGCGGAGGCTCGGCTGGTGCGAGGTAGAGAAAGTCAGATAGGCATTTTGATCTTTCCATCTGCTCTCTCACAAACTATCGCAATGACGAACAAGATCCGGATCGCGCTCGCGCAGACCAACCCGATATCCGTCGAGGTCGACCTAGCTGAGAGCGAAAAGGACAAGCACGTCTCGCCGTTCCCGACGCTGGAGCACAATCTCGTCGACGCTGCGCGGGCAGTGAAGGATGCGGCTGAGCGGGGGGCCGATGTCGTCGTGTTTCCCGAGTACTTTCTGCAAGGTTTTGTGAACGAGGGACGCCAGGTGAGCCCTGCGCGTTCAGACAACTGACAGCAGTACCTCACCTTCCCCTCGCGACACCTCGAGGCCTTTCTGAAGCGCCTGGCCAAGAGCCACCGGGTCGGCATCGTCGGCTCGATCGTCCACGGCGTCCTCCCCGAGACGACCGAGGACCCCTTCCCGACTTCTGATCCGTTCACGCACCTCTCGGCCGAGTGCTCGCTGCCCGACCGCTGCACGACCTCCCCCGAGCAGCAGGCGTGGATCGACTGGCTCGCGCGCAACATGACGGACAAGGTCGAGAACGCGGGCCACCCTCAGGCGCCGATCCTCCACAACACCGCGTTCTACATTGACGAGAACGGAGAGCTTATCGGGGAGTACATCAAGAAGAACCTCTGGCACCCCGAACGGTACGCTGAGAGGCGGGTTGATAACTGACAGGACGCAGACTGTACCTCACCCCAGGAGAGGTGGACAACAAGGCCTTTGATACCAAGTGGGGCAAGGCTGGCTTCCTCATCTGTAAGTTTGCTCTGCAAGACTTTGCTGACAGTGAGGCTGGGACCAGTCGCACGGCGGCGCAGCCCAGGCCCTCGCCGACCAGGGCGTCAAGCTGATTTTCGCGCCGACATACTGGCTGAGCTCCGACTCGCAGCCGTAAGTGACACAGATGCCCAGCATCCCATCATCTCCTTGGGCAGCCTGTCCGGAACTCAACTGACTCCCAGGTACCTTGACGAATGGCCGCACGCCCCAGACTACGAGTATCAGCTGCTGCAGGCTCTGTGCTTCACGCGCAGTGTCGAGACCGAGACCGTGTACATCATGGTGAACCCGGGCCAGCCCACGGGTGCGACCAACGACCACATGGGCGGCAGCGGCGTCTGGTCCCCGCTCCGGGGCAAGGTTGAGGGGAGCTTTGAGGGGCACGGCGTCGGGACGAATATCGTCGAGATCGACCTCGACGTGCTCGGTCGCGCGAGGGAGTTGTACAAGGTCCAGGAGGACTGGAAGAGGACGAGGAAGTAGTGCCCATGGAGGGGTTATGTTATGGACTGAGAGTTAAGAGACGGTGGAGTTGGGGAAGCGAGATTGGGGAGGCAGCAGGGAGTGGTCGCGACCCGTGTCATGAAGCACGCCGCAGGCCAAGACTGCGTTTCTGGCGGGGAAGCTCGCAACGGCGGCCAATTGCGGCAGCAAGCACGATTCGATATGGACTCGTGCCGCCGGCATCTCAGCGGCATCAGCAGCAATAATCAGTGGGGAACAGGGAGTGTGTGAAGCGACATTCCGGTGGCTGAAGTGATCCGACGTGATCTCGTCAAAATCGGCACCTACAGCCTCGCCAGTGCGCAAGCCTTTGAGCTGTGGAGGCAGGGGTGATTGTGGATGTGCACGCGTGCGGCTTTCGGAACACGCGAGGGACGCTACGATAGTAACCGGTCCCAGAGGCCCAGATGTGGGCCGACATGGCCGACATCGGCATCCCGCTGGAGACAGGGTGATGCCGCAATACCGTGAGCATCTGAGGTCAAGTACCGCCGGCACGGAATTACTTCCCCACCTGTGACCTGTGTGGGATGGGCGGCGTCAGTTGTGCTTGCGGTACTTTGCGGCATCTCTTGAAATCTCTGACCTTTGCGCTGTCATTTCCAGGGTTCGTCATCGAGCCACTCGCCGTGCTCGGTAACTTCAGAGGAGCAGAGTGGGGGAGGTGGATTGGTATCGTCTGAGCTGTGAACTCGAGATTAGGCATGCTCTGAGGTGGACGGGCGCCATGTCCCCCGGCCCCCTTCCCTCAATGCTCAAGGGAGAGCAGGGAGGCATGCGATATGGCCACTGCCGACACTTCGGGGCGAGCCACCGTGGCTCAGGTCCCCTATGGCCACTCAGGGATGCGGATTGGTGATGTTACACGCCGCGATTCGAATTTCTTTGCTGCCTTTCCGTTCGCCTCTGTCGCCTCCGCCTCCTGGTCCCCGAGGCCATTAGTATTTACGCTGGGCGCACGGTTGTGGTCCATGCGTGATGAAAGTGAGGCCGATTCACCGCGATTCGATACAGATTATTCAGGCTGTTCCACAGATCCCGCAGAGCGAGCAGAGCGAGCTCCGTAATCTGTGATCCAGTGCTCTGTGATCTGACCTTTTGGGAGGTTGGCTGGTGGAGGCTGGCCCAACGGCACGGTCTGGCCCACCAAGACCTTTATCGGGTCGTCCAGCAGATGCAGGGGCCAGAGCCACTGGGCGGGGTGTCCACAGGTTTCAGACGGTGATGATAAAACGAAAGCATTGACCGGGTATGTAGTGATAGCGTGGGCATCACCGCTTGGTCCGGAGACGGCTGCCGCACTTTACCGGGCAGACAGCAGGATGCAGAAACTACACCACATGCTGCAGCGTGTTGCGGCACATAGCCTTACGGGCTGTACAGGCGCGAACAGGTGTGACACCCCGGATGGAATGGGAACGCCGTGGTCGGTCCATGGTTGCGGCTTTGCGGGATACGGGCCGGCGGCATCGCGTCAGTGAGAGGGCTAGCGATCGCCATACCGCGTCGGCTTAGCCTCCCCTGTTGAGTTCGGTCAGGTCCGATCGCGCACCAGTCACTTTGGGGAGACAACATTAGGTACGCGAGGCAGGGGGGCAGCGCCTTCTGCCGAAACGGCCACAAGAATCAAGTGTGCACGAGGCATGCATCTGCATTCGAGAGTCAATGCATCGGAGCACAGAGGGAGAGGAGTGTCTCCGAACAGCGACCCAGGTACCCAGGAGGGTCGACGACATTAGAAAAAAAAAAAACCTGCGCCAGTAGTGTAAGTAGAGGTTGTTTTCGAAGGCGGCTTTATGAATTCGAAAACGGATGTGGGAGGTGTGGGCGGTGGTTGGCGCTTAGCGAATCGAGTCTTTTACCGGTTACGTCCGTCCCTGACGTCTCTCTGCTCTCTGCTCTCTCCCAGAGTCACCACCCTTAGTCTCGCAACGCTACCGCCGGGTAACTCACTCTCACAGCTTCTGCTCTGGCCACTGCCGACTGAACTTATTCAACGCGCACAACATACATAGACCCCCAGTCACCCAAACCTTCAATCCTCCATCCCGTCACTTCCCTCTCATACCAGCGACCTCTCCCCCGACCTCACCGTCATCAACCACCTGCTCGCTACATACCCACCTCCTTTAGAACGCTAGACAGCCCCCTCCCCCACCCCACCCCCCACGATCAACATGAGTGAGTGGAGCTCGCGCGACGACCACACCCGCCGGCAACACCACTGACCATTCCAGCTTTCACGAATTTCTGGGCCAAGGTCCCCCAGGGGTGAGTTTGCTCTTCTCACTGTCTAGTCGCAATCGCTGACAATCACAGCCCCGCCGATCCCGTTCTTGGTAAGTGTCGGACGACAATGAGCCCCTTCATCGCAAGAGTCATAGCGGTTTGCCCATATCGGCCATCCCCGCAACTCCCCACCCAAACAGCACACAGCACAGGCGCCCATCCACGCAGAATCTGCACTCGACTCGAACATCCATGCTGACGTAGCCAGGTGTCACTGAGGCGTTCAAGCGGGATCCCAGCGACCAGAAGATCAACGTCGGCGTCGGTAAGTCTTGAAATTGATGGTGTTTGCAACGGTGGCGCGCCGTTAGTGCAGGGAGGGGGGCAGGAAATTCCCAACCCCCGACATTACCTCACTACGGTCGCCGCCCGTTGCCGCCGGCCCAAGTGTCATGGCACTGACCTCGTGCTCCCCTTGCTTTGCGATCTGTTCCGATGCGTCATTCCTCTCCTTTCATGAAACAGGTGCCTACGTGAGTTACCCCGGCTGCAGCCGTCCATGCGTCTGAGAGTATACGCTGACCCCCGCAGCGTGATGAGGACGGCAAGCCCTACGTGCTCGACTCGGTCCGTAAGGCCGAGGACATCCTCCACCAGAAGAAGTCCGACAAGGAGTACCTTCCCATCACTGTGAGTCGACTCGAGCTGTGGTACTCGTTTCTCCAGCTGACATCACAGGGTCTTGCCCAGTTCCTCGTTCTCGCCTCCGAGCTCGCGTACGGCAAGGACAGCAAGCCTCTTCAGGAGGGTCGCGTGAGTAACCTTAGTGCGCCCCGGACTTTGCCGGCGGATGCGGCGCGTCGCAGTGTGTGTTCGCGCCGGTCCGCCGTCTAGTCCCGGCATGCCGTTTGCTTGTGAAATAGTCTTGTCTAACCCCGCAGATTGCCGTCGTCCAGTCCATCTCCGGCACTGGTGCCCTCCGCATCGGTTTCGAGTTCATCAGGCAGTTCTACCCCGGCCCCAAGAACCTTTACCTCCCCCAGCCGACGTGGGGCGCGCACGCCAGCGTCGTCGAGGCTTCCGGCCTCACCGTCAAGCGTTACCGCTACTTTGACGCTGAGACGATTGGTCTCGACTTTGACGGCATGAAGGAGGACATTGAGGCGGCCGAGGAGGGATCCATCTTCCTTCTGCACGCTTGCGCGCAGAACCCCACCGGTGTCGATCCCACCCAGGAGCAGTGGAGGGAGATTTCGGACATTATCAAGCGCAAGAAGCACCTCGCCTTCTTCGACATGGCGTACCAGGGCTTCGCTTCCGGCGACGTCGACCGCGACGCTTACGCCGTTCGCTACTTTGTCGAGCAGGGCCACGAGATCATGCTCGCCCAGTCGTTCGCCAAGAACCTCGGTCTCTACGGCGAGCGTGCGGGCACTTTCTCGATGGTCTGCGCGTCGGTCGACGAGAAGGATCGCGTCCTGTCGCAGCTGAAGCGTGTTATCCGTCCCCTCTACTCGTCGCCCCCGCTGCACCCCGCGCAGCTCGTCACCGTCATCCTCTCCGACCCCGAGCTGTACGCCGAGTGGCTGACCGAGGTCAAGAAGATGTCGGACCGTATCAACGCCATGCGCGAGCGGCTGTACGACCTTCTCGTCGAGAACCAGACGCCCGGCGAGTGGGGCCACATCAAGAAGCAGATTGGCATGTTCTCGTACACCGGCCTCACCCCGGAACAGGTCGACGCCATGGCCAAGTATGCCCACATCTACATGACGCGCGACGGCCGTATCTCGATGGCCGGCCTCAACGAGCACAACATCAAGTACTTTGCCGACGCGATGAGCAAAGCCGTTAAGGGCGAGCTGGGCTTGAAGTCGAGCATGTAAAGCGGATGTTGTAGACCTCGGAGAACCCCGTGTACGAAGTAGAAGAACGTAGACTTCCCACAGTTTGGAGTCGACTGTGTAATAATGTAGACATAGTACAGTAACTCGGACGTGCGCGAGATGGACACTTTAGATGCTGCCGCGATAGTTGTAGCACTCGAGTCCAGCATTCGCAATACACAATCTCGTCAGATCGACCCGTGCCCCTCAACAGCTTAACCAGCATGCATGACGCTGGCTGCCGGAAGCAGTTGCCACGCGGGTTACCCTGAAGGATGCATTTGAACCAGACCTTGCGCGTCTCAATCTGTCCAGTGCGACGCGTCCAGCCTTCTGATTCCGCTCGAACGCGTCTCGATTCCCTGCTCATCTTCTCGTTTGTCCCAGCCCAATCGTTTCCCTCCCTCCAACAACTCCCACCGCAACAACAATGTCGACTCCCAGAGGATCAGGACGGGGGATGCGATCCTCGTCCCCTGCACTGGAATGGCCTACGTCCAGCGTCGGCGGTACACCCCGGCCGTCGTCTGCCGCTACGCCCCGCGCATCCGCTATTCGTCGCCAGGGCAATGGGGGTGAGTGAACAACTAACAACAACAACAAGAATGAAGAGTGCTAATGTCTAGTCGCCGCATCGTCTTCTCCGTTGCACTTCCCGTCTGATGGGCCCGCGCCTAGCTCGTCGCGCCTCAGCCAGCTGCGCTCCGATGAGCCGCTCTTCTTCCCCGCCTCGGGCGGCTCGACGCCACGCCGTCAGCGCCGAGGAGACATCCACTCGTCGTTCCCGATGGCCTCGCCCTCGCTGGCGCGGTATGCCGGCCGTAACGCACAGCCTCTCGTGCCCTCGTCGCCTGGCAGGTCGGACGCCGCGACACCGCACGCCACCTCCGCCGCGGCCCTGTCCGCCGCCGACATCCCAACGGGCGATGCGACTGGCGACGACGAGATCACCGAGAAATACATCTGGGGCACAACCATCCCGCTGCAGACGACCATGAACTTGTTCCGCGACTTCCTGCGCGGCTTCAAGCCCAAGTACCGCGCCAAGTACAATGAGGCGCAGGCCAAGGCCATCACGGACGCCGGCGGCATTGCCCCGCCCCCGATGCCGCTGTACGACAACCTGTCGACGCGCGATGCCGACAAGCCCCTGTACGAGGGCTACATCGCTACCATGCGCCAGACGGGCCAGACGAACCTGAACCTCGACGCTCTCAACCTCCTTGCGTACCCGCCCACGAAGAGGCTGTACCACCAGCTCGTCAACTTCCCGCAGGAGATGGTGCCGATCATGGACCAGGTTCTGCGCGACGTCATCACCGAGGAGGCCGAGGAGGAACTGCAGGATGCAGTGACCAAGCATGCCGAGGGCCAGGTTGCCGAGCTCCAGCTGCACGTTCTTGAGAATGAGTTGCAGGAGATTGAGCAGCGAGTGTACCGTGTCCGTCCCTTTGGCGGCGAGAAGACGGTCAACATGCGCGACCTGAACCCCGGTGACACCGACAAGCTCGTCAGCATCAAGGGCATGGTGATCCGTTCGACGCCCATTGTGCCCGAGATGACGGTGGCGTTCTTCCGCTGCCATGTGTGCCAGCACACGGTGCAGGTTGAGATTGACCGCGGACGCATCGACGAGCCCGAGCGCTGCCCGCGCGACGTGTGTGGCTCCAAGGGCACCATGGTCCTCGTCCACAATCGCTCCGTGTTCACCGACAAGCAGGTGGTGCGCCTCCAGGAGACGCCCGACGTTGTCCCCGACGGACAGACGCCGCACACCGTTTCGCTGTGCATGTATGACGAGCTCGTCGACCTCGTCAAGCCCGGTGACCGCGTGCTCGTCACGGGTATCTTCCGCTCCATGCCTGTCCGTGTGAACCCGCGACAGCGTAGTATCAAGTCGCTGTTCAAGACGTACCTCGACGTCGTGCACGTCAAGCGCACCAATGTCGGCCGCATGGGCTTTGACCCCACGACGCGTGACGGCGAGGGCAAGCCGCCCGGTGTCGGTGTCGGCGGCGAGGACGACGAGGAGGAGGTCCTCCAGGGCACCATGCGCGCCGAGGACACGATGGAGCAGGATACGGACACGCCCGACCTCGGCCTGTCGGCTTCGGCCGAGATGGAGAAGAAGCTGCTCGAGCTCTCGCGCCATCCGGATATCTACGACATGCTGGCGCGCTCCATGGCGCCGTCGATCTACGAGATGGAGGATGTAAAGAAGGGTATTCTCCTGCAGATGTTTGGCGGTACGAACAAGTCGATCGCGCGCGGAGGAGGCGGCGGTGGACCCCGTTACCGTGGTGACATCAACGTGCTCATGGTCGGTGACCCGGGTACGTCCAAGTCGCAAATCCTGCAGTACGTGCACAAGATTGCCCCTCGTGGCGTGTACACCTCGGGCAAGGGATCGTCCGCTGTTGGTCTCACGGCCTACGTTACGCGCGACCCGGACTCGAAGCAGCTCGTCCTCGAGTCTGGCGCGCTCGTGCTCTCTGACGGCGGTGTGTGCTGCATCGACGAGTTTGACAAGATGTCGGACGCGACCCGCTCCGTGCTGCACGAAGTCATGGAACAGCAGACTGTCTCAATCGCCAAGGCGGGCATCATCACGACGCTGAATGCGCGTACCTCGATTCTCGCGGCCGCCAACCCGGTCGGCTCAAAGTACAACCCCAAGCTGCCCATTCCCGCCAACATTGACCTCCCACCCACGCTCATTTCGCGTTTCGACCTGCTCTACCTCGTCCTCGACAAGGTGGACGAGATGAACGACCGGCGCCTCGCCGCGCACCTCGTGGGCCTGTACCTCGAGGACCGCCCCGACACTGGCGGCCAGGACATTCTCCCCACAGACGTCCTGACTGCATACATCACCTATGCCCGCGCCAAGGTGAACCCGATTCTGACCGAGTCGGCGTCCAACGCGCTCGTGCAAGCCTACGTCGAGATGCGCAAGGTGGGCGAGGACGCGCGCACGGCCGAGCGGCGCATCACGGCGACGACGCGTCAGCTCGAGTCCATGATCCGTCTCTCGGAGGCTCATGCCCGTATGCGCTTCAGCGACACGGTGGACCTAGAGGATGTCGTCGAGGCGAACCGACTCATCAAGTCCGCGCTCCGCGAGAGCGCCACGGACCCGCTCACGGGCCAGATCGACCTGGACCTGATCACGACGGGCGCGGGCCAGACGGCGCGCCGCGTGCGTGCCGACCTGAAGCGGGAGATTCTCGGTCTCGTCGACGCCGCGGGGCGCACTGGGCTCAAGTGGAATGCAGCCATCAAGGCGCTCGAGAACCAGAGCAGCGTGCCCGTCGACCATGCCGAGTTTGCAGAGGTCGTCAAGGGGCTCTGTGACGAGGGCGTGCTCAAGGTCGTGGGCGAGAAGGACCGGAGGACGATCAGGAGGTTGGCGGAGTAAGGTCGCGGAGCGAAGCGACGCGGCGGGGCCAACCGAGCTGCGAGAGTAGGAGCAGCGAGGAGGGGAAGGGGAAGATATACATGAAGGACGTGCTTGGATACTTGTAACAAAACTTGATAAGATGCCATCGTTTAGTACTGCAGTCTGTCGAGTACACAAAAGATAACGCAAAGGATACGGCGAAAGCCGACCAGGCACTTGGCGTGGGTATTGCTCAATTACCGAGGGGAGAGGAATGCGAGAATCCGAACAGCACGCGTGATTGTGAACGGGGACAGGTCATTGTCATGTCAGGCATCAGGCAGAGCACAGCTGGCATGCTGACCAAGTACAGTCAGAGGATCAGAGGAGGAAGCGGGGGCTAGCGGGGCTAGTCGTGTCCCAAAAGAGCGCTAGTCTGGAGAGTATGGCGCATGGGGCGTGCTTAGACTCAATCTGAGAAGCCGGCACGATCTTGGACCGAGAGAGTGTAAGCCGCTGAGTAACGGAGAACGCCCCTCCCCCCTCATTATCATGCTTGAACATATCTAGAACGCTCTCTCGGACGCGCATGAGACATGAGAGAAAGAGTCATCTGACCGATGGCCACAAGTATGTATATTTCGATGCCCGAATAAGATAATTAAAGCAAGCATTCTAAGGTTGAGGAACGAAGGATAAGCCGAAGCTTTGATTTTCATGTAATCCGGGCCCGATTAGGTCACCCCCTGCCAGTGCATGCACTGCAGAAACGGTGATGACCGCGCGGAACGGTGTTCCTTGTCCGTTTCGGACGCACCGGCAAGGGACTGATCGGGTAATAACCGGACTGTCTGCCTAGGACGCGCCGTACGCGCCGTACGCCGGCGGGCAGCGAGCACACGCCACGGGCCTGAACCCATGTTACCCACGCCTCATACGCCTCAGCGTCAGACCCTCGGCATGCATAGACAAGTGAGAGGTGAGACCAAAGAACGTTAGTCCCATTTATCAACAACCACCCCTTCCGCTCCTTCTCTTCTCAGCAGCTCATCTTCCCCGGATACGTCCCCCATCACTACTTCCTACAACCCACCTTCCTTTCCATCTATCCTTTTCATCAACCACCAACAACAACAACAACAACAATGTCTGTCCCCGAGTACACCGAGACGCCCCTCGATGAGATCGACCTCGTACGTATCTCCCATTGCTGCCATTGTCCTGCGTAAACGGACATGACCGCGATGCAGCTTGCCTTCCCTCTCCTCTCATCAACTCCCACTCCCTCAGGCAGCGCTCCGGCGCCCGCTTCGCGGCCGCGTTTGCTAACATGACAGACCTACGACCGCCTGAACGCGACGTTCCACTCGTTCAAGACGCTCCCCATCGAGTACCGCCTGTACAACCTGAAGCAGCTCGCGTTCCTGATCCAGGACAATATTGAGGCCATCTATGCCGCCCTGCACAAGGACCTGAGCAAGGAGCCGCTCGACATTGATGTGGGAGATGTGAGTAAAGTCTGGCCGCGAAGCGGTCAGACTGAGTGTGGTGACCAGCGAGCATAGCTAGCAGGCAGAGCATATCCGGAGCGTCCACGGGGCCCAGGTGGTGCTACGCGCTAGCTCCAGACACTAGCACACCGGGTACCCGGTCCGCGGCTTTATGCTTGATCACACTTGGCTGTGAACGTGACGGTGACTCAGCTTGCGCCCTGCGCCAGATTGTTTCTCGTCAGCTGCACCTGGCCGCGCCTGGCCATAGCGCCCTCCGATTCTTGCTGACCACAGGTCTGGCCCATTCTCAACGAGATCGAGCTCGCCGTCCGCCGCCTCCCCGAGTGGATGGCCGACGAGAAGGCGACCCGCGACTCGGTCCTCGCTTTCAAGCTCTCGCGCCCTCACGTCCGCCGTCAGCCCAAGGGTGTCTCCCTCGTAAGTGCTTCTCACATCGCGTGAAGGATCTGACGCCCCAGATCATTGGCGCCTGGAACTACCCCTTCCAGCTGACGCTCTCGCCCCTCGTCGGCGCCATCTCCGCCGGCTGCCCCGCGATCATCAAGTGCTCCGAGCACTCGCCCGCGTCCGCGGCGCTCATCGCCGAGCTCCTGCCCCGCTACCTCGACCCAGAGGCCTACGCCGTCGTGAACGGTGCCATCCCCCAATCGACCGCGCTCCTGAAGAAGCGCTGGGGCCACATTCTCTACACCGGTAACGGCGCCGTCGGCAAGATTGTCGCGACCGCCGCCGCCAAGACCCTCACCCCCTCGACGCTCGAGCTCGGCGGCAAGTCGCCAACCATCGTCGCGTCCGACGCCAACATCACCATGATTGCGCGCCGCATGATGAGCATCAAGCAGCTCAACATTGGTCAGATGTGTGGTATGTAGCTGTCGTCTGGCTGGAGACTAGCTGATCCCAGTCTCGCCCGACTACGTCCTTTGTGTCAAGGACAAGGTCGACGACCTCGTCGCCGCGCTCTCCAAGACGTAAGCTGCATATTGCGTAACCAGCTGACCCCAGTCTCGACGAGTTCTACCCCAAGGGTTCTGAGCGCTCGCTCATTGGCAAGCACGGCCAGGCTGCCGCGTTCCGCAACGCCGGCGACTATGACCGCATCGAGGGCATCATTGACGAGGCGCAGAAGGGGGGCAAGCTCATTTACCGCGGCGAGGAGGACAAGCCGAACCGCCGCATGGGTATCTCGCTCGTGCGCCTGAACAAGGACGGTGCTGGCGAGACGGGTATCCTCGTCGAGGACGAGATCTGGGGTCCCGTTCTCCCCATCATCCCCGTCGATGATGTCGATGCCGCCATCGAGTACGTCAACGCCCGCCCCACCCCTCTCGCTCTCTACGTCTGCTCTGCGTCCCGCTCAACGTTCGAGCACGTCATCAACCGCACGCTCTCCGGCTCTGCGATCTGGAACGACTTTTCGTTCGCCCCCGTCGTGCGCACTCTCCCGTTCGGCGGCGTCGGCGAGTCGGGCTGGGGCTCGTACCACGGCGAGAACGGCTTCCTGGCCTTTTCGCACCGCAAGGCCGTGCTCGAGATGCCTGGGTGGATGGAAATCGCCCAAAAGTCGCGCTACCCCAACAACTACGTCGAGGGCACGCACAAGCGCATGAAGATGGTCATGACGGCGCCGCTCGGCTTCTCCCGCCCCGTCAGCGTCGAGCATGAGCGCCGCGCTCTTGAGCGTCGCAGGAACCGCCGCACGTTCTACCTCGGCGTCCTCCTTGTGCTTGTTGGCGCGGCGGCCGGGCTCGGCGGGCGCCGCATCGCGTCGTTTCTTGGAGGACTCAAGGCCAAGCTTGGTCTTTAAGCCGGGCGACAAGATCCCAGAGGACGTGTGTTATCCCGATTGGTAAAATAGTCAAAATAGCAAAGTAGTCAAAGTGTGTCCCTTCCTGTTCACTCCGATGTAATCTTTTTTTCCCTGCCGACCTAGCACATCAAAAAATACTGGATACATGCTGCTTTCATGCTCGATGACTCTGTCTACTGCTCGGTGTGCTCCTCGTCCTTGACTGCGTCCTTCTTCTGTCCCGCGTGGCGCGAGAATCCCGCCCCCTCCTCCGGAATCTTGTACTTGGGGGGCGCGACCCACCTCGTGCTATCCCACGCCCAGTAGCCCTTCCCGAGCTTGTCGGGCCAGTCATGACACCTAACGCGCGAGGGCGGGTTCTCGTCCCAGTCAATCGTCTCCGAGTGCTCGCGGTCGGGGACGGGATACTCGACGAACCCGCGGAGGCGCGCGTCGTCCTTGCCATACGTGAGGTGCACGCCGGGCACGGTCTGGATGCGCCCAAAGCCGTAGCTCCAAAAGTCCCAGGAGATGAAGGCCGATTCGGACGCTTGGCACTCCTCCGTCCCCTCCGCTTGGCCCGGGGCGCGCGGCGTCGCGCGCCGGAAGCGCACGTCGTACGGCGGCATGAAGGGCGTCGGGTTCATCACCACCATGCCGTTCCAGCCCGCAAACACTTGGTACGGCAGCAGGCGGACGTGGCGCTCGCGCGTCGGGCCGTGCGACACGAAGAGCTGCGGGTTAGCGGGGTTTCTAAATGAGGGGCGGGGCGCCTCGCGCCTCGCTGCGCTCGCCGCTCGGCGGTGCTCACCTTCTGGTCCTTCTTCTGCTCCTCCTCGGGCACGGGGAAGGGCGTATACAGGTCGCCGCTCATGTCGCGGCCGACCCAGCCGTCGTAGAACCACTTGCCGGCGTGGTCCCAGCCGCACGTCATGTCGGCGTCCTGGGCAAAGTGCTGGTGCAGGAGCTCGAGGTAGTGCGACGCGCCGAGGTAGACGTCGTTGTAGAACACAATCGCGCTCCACTGCTTGCCGTCGGGAGCGAGCTCGGGCGTCTTGCTCTTGAATATGGGCTCCATGGCGTCGTTGCGCAGCTCGGCCAGCTTCTCGATACGGTGGTGCTTCTCCCACTCGACCTTGGGCAGGTGCGTGCGGACGAAAATGTTCTCGGGCGGGACACCAATGTACAGCAGGTGCTTCTTCATCGCGCGCGCAAGGAGCTCGCCAGAGCCGTCGTCAGAGTCGCCTTCGTGCAGCGAGAAAACAAGCGATTCAGGACCGAGGAAGTCGGCGACAACCGTCCACGCCGCGAACCAGTCGGGAAGCATGCCGGCGACCTGGCGACAGACAGTCACGAACAGGTAGCGCTTCTCGCCGCCCTGGACCCAGGTGCGCGTGTTCACGTCCCACTCGCCGCCGAGGTGCGCGTAGCGCGCCTTGAGCTCGTCGTTCAGGTAGGGCGCGAAGATGGTCGATCCCATGTTGTGCTCGCGGGGAACGGCAGGGACGTCTTCCTTGATCTGGTTCAAGAGGGGGACGAGGAAGTCGAATGCCTCGTTCAGCGACGGCAGCGGGCCCTCCGTGTACTGGTCGGTCGTGCCCTCGACGAGCTTGCGCGACTTGCCGGGGTGGAAGGGGTTGGAGCGCTTGTCGACCTCCTTTGCGCGGTCCGTGTCCGGCTGCCTCGGTCGGTCATGCTTGTTGTAGGCATAGTACTTTGCCGGGGTGTCGACGCCCATACCAGGGTTGTACGGTCCGGGGTGGTCGCGCCAGCTGGGCACATTCGGGTTGCGCTCAAGCGTCGTGCTCGCGTCCCATCGCGACGTGTCGAGCCGCTTCGTCGACCACACGAACACGACGAGAAGCACGAGGGCGGCTCCGATCGCAACGCGGATGAGCGGCCGCGGAATCGTCATCCCGGAGCTCCCACTCAGGCGGTTCGTTGTCGGGAGACTGGGACCGGAGGACAGGCCGGGAACCTTGATCATGGAGAGAAAGTTGAACGCCAAGTCACCAGTTGGTAAAGAGGAGGGGTCGGGGACTCGAAATGCACCCGATCGAAAACAGCAATGGCGAGGCCCGACGTGGCGCGCAAGCGTATCTGCTGTGTGCGTTTTTGCAGAGATGCCGGGTTCAGGTGAGGCGTCGCGATCTGAGCGTGGTGTGGGCTCGGGGGAGGTGGCGTCCGTCAGATGGGAGGGAAGAGTATTTCTGCCTGGTGCCGAGAAAAAGAAGAATATGCGTCGTGTATTGGCGGCGCGGTGTGTTGTCACGGGTGTGTCGGCGACAGGCGTGCAAGATGCGGGGGGCGGCTGACTGCAGGGGTTGAAGAACAGGAATACAGATCGCGCGCAATGACTGTGTTTCCAAGGTGTATGAGCAGCGGACTCTATCCGGGGATGCGGACTAGTACGACAGTGGATGAGCCAAGGCAAGCAAGCAGCCAGTTAGCGGATGGGACTGCGGGCTAGTGTGCAAGAGTCAGGGGTTTGCCGTCGTCGGTCGAGGGGAAGGCGAAGGAGAATCCAAGGATCGAAAATCCAGGTATCAGGCGCAAGGAATGCGCGTCGAGCGGACACAGTGGCTGTCGTGGCTGAAGGGTTTCGCAGTGCAGCGTGGAGCTCCAGCTGGCTAGCGCTGTTGGAGAGAACAAAAAGGTGAGAGCGAGTGTGAGAGAGAATGGAAAGAGTGGGCGGGAGGGAAGGCGGGTGATGAAGAGGATTGATAAGAGAGAGAGAGAGAGAGCGTGTACACGCGTGTGATGTGGAACGGAAGGAGTGCGCAGCAGGCGGAGGGAGGCGATAGTCGGTAGCGCGAATAGGTCCGGGGTTGTGGTGCATGGTGGAGGTGGTGGTGGTTTGCTGCGCGCGTCTGTCGCTGCGGGCATCTGAGCTTGCACACTTGCTCTCCCTGCCTTTCTCCTCTGCTCTCCGTTGGTTCGTTCGGATCACCGTTGGGCAGGTTGGGTTATAGCTCACCCCTGAGCACTGCAAGTGAGGTGCGCAGGGGACGGGCCGTGCCTGCCATTAGCCTCGCGCCGCCGTTGACCCTGGCCAACATCGCCAGGCGCAGCACCCAGAGAGAGGTTCACGGTCCGAATGCAACGTGGATCGTCTCCAATAGAGTCGTTCGGCACAGCTTCACGCCATTATGGCTTAAAAGCCATGACGCCCTCCGCGCCCATGAGCCATCGTTTTGCATCGCCCATGAGATCTCTCACCACGTCGGATCCGGATCTGAGCGACGACCAGCGGCCAGTCTCTTTGTCTATCCTTGGTCAGGATAAGGCTTGCATACAAAAGTCGACAGACAGATAATGCAAATTACTTTCTCGTCAGCCGACAGTCTACAGTTGGATCTTTCAGAGCACATATCCTACCAAAACTGTCCGCTTCTCTTCTCAACATCCAGAAGCTTACCCAACCTGACCTCCCCTGCTCATCACTCACCCAGCAATCGGTCGTGCGTGCTTCTGACGCCTGGGGCTACAGTGCTTTCTCGGCGACCACATGGAGCGAACATGCTGCGAGCCTCGTTTCGGACAAACCTTATTACGGACAGCTGTGCGACTTGGAGACCTGCTGATCAAGCAGCCTGGACCAGGCCACTACGCTGGGACTGCGACAAGATCTGCATCTGACACTACTACTGCTGTGACCTACTTTTCTAATTTTTAGAGCTTGGACGGAGAAGCAGCGCCGTCGTCAATCTTGATGACGAGCTTGCCAAAGTTGCGACCCTCCTTCATGATGGTAAAGAGCTCCTCGACCGAGTTCATGTCATCGAGAGAGCCCGTGGTAGAGATGACAGGGCGGATCTTGTGCTCAGCGACAAACTTGACCATTTCGTTGAACTCCTTCTTGCTGCCCATCGTGCTGCCCTTGAGCTCGAGGTTGGCGAGCACCGCATTCATCGTCCAGTCCATCTTGGGGCCGACCGTCATGCCGTACTGCGCGATGACGCCGCCCGTGCGCAGCAGCTTGACGCCCTTCGAGACAACGTCGCCGCCGGCTCCGTCCACGATCGCATCGAGGTACGGCCGGTCCTTGGGCAGCTGCTTCTTCAGCTCCTTCTCCCAGCCCTGCGTCTTGTAGTTGACGCCGCCCTTGGCGCCGAGCTCCTTGGCCTTCTGCAGCTTCTCCTCCGAGCCGGACGTAACGTAGGCGTTGACGCCCATTGCGACAGCAAACTGGAGCACCTGCAGCGCAACACCGCCGCCGATACCGGTGATGAGGACATTCTTGCCCTTCTGGGCGGCGCCAGACTTGGTGACGAACGCGCGCCAGCCGGTGAGGCCGGCGAGCGGGAGAGCGGCAGCCTCAACGGCGCTCAGGTGCGGAGGTGCGGGAACAACGTCGCTGGCGTCAATGACCATGTAGTCGCGGCCAGTGCCCGAGTCCGACGCCGCGGTGCCTCCCGCGACATGGAAGTCGGAGCCCGGACCCTGCTCGTCGTCCTCCCAGTTGCGGAAGGGCATGACGAGGACGTTGCGACCCTTCAGGTCCTGGGGGGCACCAGAGCCAACCTCGGTGACGACACCGACACCGTCGGCGAGGAGCGCGTGGTCGAAGCCGATACCGGGGTAGAGGTGCTGGCGGATGAAGAGGTCGCGGTGGTTCAGCGCGGCCGCCTTGAGTCGCACGAGGACCTGGTTCGGGCCGGGCTTGGGAATCGGCGTGTCGCGGATGTACAGGCTGTTGTTAGCTTTCCGAGTTTAGCACGCGCAGCTTTGAATGACATGCTCTGCTCGTCTGCTCTTGAACTGGGATGTCTACCCCGCCAACACCCCGGCTTGACCGACAGGTCACCCGAGCGTTGAAAGCTTGTCGGTGACCGGCTGGTGGAGCCAAGGGCTCATTGAATCAGATAGACATGCTGATGAAGGAGCGTCATGAAATCCAGGACTCGAATGAAGCATGGGAGAAACCCTTCCAGCTAGTGGTGGAGGCAGACACTCCGTCATGTCGCAGAAATTGGAGGAACGATAGAGTGCCGAGCGCCCACCGGAATATGCACACTCACGGGTAGTACACCTGTCCGGGCTTGCCGTCGATCTTCTTAACGAGGAGTTCGCGGGGCATCTTGCTGTTGTTGGATCTCAGAGATGAGCGAAGCAGAGAAAGAAACATGCAATGTTATACATGCGCGCGCGAGATGAGATCACATGAATCAGCAGCACCACCCGCACGCGGCCGGCGCGGCCGCCTTCCCCAGCGATAATGGTCCCGGCTATCCTGAAGATGCCGAGCCGACATCGGCTGAGTCCGCCAGTGGCGTCATCTACGGCGTGCTGCGATGGGCTTAGTTAATATCACTTGGCTTGCGTTCCTCCGAACCCCGTGTCAGGCATCGATGAGAACTGCGAGCGGTGAGATGCTGACAAAGTGGTGAGCGAAGACAAGGTCTCTGCTCACCAGTTGCTTACAAGGCACTCGTGCTGGTGGAGCCTGAATCTTTGTCAGGGTGAATCGTCAAATAGGCAGGGAAACTTCTGTTCGTGATTGCCCTCTCCAGAGAGATATGATTCTCCTACATAATCACGCTTGAGTATCCGTTACAGGGTAGTACGACGTAGTACCACTTAGACCGCCACAAGGCTGACTTTGTCCGCTTGCCAAGACGTGGACGGGTTTCTGGACTTTCGTGGAGGTTGGGCGGCTGAGAGTGGGGGATCGCTTGTCGCTTGGAGTCCATGACAGCACTTAGATCCGCTCGCAATAGCAATATGATCGTCCTGCTCAATTGTGGCTGATTTGAGCTGATCCCTCAACGATGAGTAGCAGTAATACTAGGAGGGCTTTGACGAGCACAAGGTTTCGAGCCCTGTGACTTGAACAGCCTCGTCTAAGCGACATGCAACTTGGTTCACCCGATGTAGATACGCGCATCGCGGGGTCCAGACAGCCGGTGCCGTGTGCTATCTCCGGCCACGCATTCCTCGAACGTCATGTGTCCTTTGGCCACCGCACTCATCAACATCACCGAGCACGAGCATCGATTTTGAACTTGCCTCAAGTACGACCATGCCACCGTCGAAACTCGACCCCGCGTCTCAGAAACCCTCCCGTGCGCCGAGCCCCATTCGCGACAATTGGGACGAGGGCGACTTTCTCCTCGTCTCGAGTGATGAGAGGGAGTTCCGCGTCGACAGCAACGTGCTCTTCTGGGCAAGGTGGGTTGCTTCTTCCGTTCTACTCCTCTCTTCAGCTCCACGCGCAACTGGTAGCTAACTCCAGCTCCGTATTACAGGACGCCGGCTCGGGGCCGGTCAACTCTCCACGAGAAATCCGCTTCTGCGACCCCGACTTCGAGCATGCGGGCGTACTTTGCTCCTTCCTCCGTCTCTGCGTGCGTGGAACGTTCGTGAATGGCTCCTTCAATTGGAGCGAGTGCGAGGCCGGGGTGGCGCTCATCGCCTTCCTGCGAAAGTACGACTGCGTCCGCCCGCTGCGCGTCCTGAAGCTGTGCATCTCGGAGGCGCTGTTCGAGCGACGGCTCTACCCGCTGCATGCCTTCGTGCTCGGTGCGAACATGGACGACGTGTCTCTATGCTGCACCGCGTTCCGGGAGCGCGTGCAGTTCGTCCCGCCCACACAACTCGATGACGGGCTGGCTCTGGTGCTGTCCCCCGCCCAGGCGTTGATGGACGGCGCATGGCCGTACCCCGTCTGGCAGCACACTCCTCTGCCATACATTTACGCTGCAACGAAGGCTGCGAATGTGTTCGAGAAGGAGCCGCATGTGCCCTACCATGGCATCACGAGGAGCGGGACGCCCATCTTCAGGAAGAAGGACCTGGCAGACGAGTTCGAGAAGGCGATCCGGAAAGTGAAGGCGACAGGCGTGTGACGCCATCGGGCGACGCAGTGGTGCCCCGATGCGTCGCTGGAAACACATCTCGATAACGACCTCGCCACGCCTCATAATAATGACTCCGAAACGCTTCAGCCATCCGAGATGGCCAGCCAGTACCAAGTTGAAGTACACGGACGTCCCTCGCCGAGCAGGTGGCGTGATGTGCTGATTGCCAGCTTGGTAGTGATTCTGGCGTTAGTGTACCGCGCTTCCCGACATTCGAGCCTTGTTTGATTATCCCGCGGTCGTCATCCTTGCGTCGCTCCCTCGTCAATAGGGGTAGAGATCGAGTCCCAACATCTGCAAGCCTCGCGCGAGACCTCGGTCCCCATGACCCTTGGGAACGCCATTCGGTTTCACGGCGGCCACAGTCGCTGTTTGTCCTCAAGCGACCGCCCGACGCGGACTGCCTCAGCGGATGCGATACGAGTCTCTTGCGCCCCCGGCGATCACCGGCAGGCTGGCGTGGCTGACCTCTCAACCCTCCAATATTGCGACCCGTGGATAGTCTTGATCAGCATCGCAATAGACTATATCGACAAACATGCAGCCGACGGTGGTACTCGGCCACGGCCTACACGACTCAGGTCGACAACTGCTTCACAGCCCTGATTGCTCTCTTGTATGCTACGGCGAGCGCCAATCTGTTTCCGGTATATGAAACTCGTTGGTAGCTGGGTTGCGCCGGTTTCTCTCCGGAGTTGAGCCTCTTTGCCTTCCTCGCCTCCTCTGCGATCCGTCCTGCGTCGATTGTCGCAATGGCGGTAATCATCGCCCACGTCTTCGTCCACGCTGTAGTTGCCGCCCAGAGGTAGTCGGCGGGGATGTATTGCCAGAGCTGGTACGGCCAAATGCTTTCCCCGCCGTCCGGCACCAGACGTAACAAGGCGACGGCCTCCTTATCGTCCTTCACGCCAGGAATCCCTTTGTTGGTGGTGTAATTTGCTTCACGAATCCTGCCATAGCGATTGGTTTGGGAGCTCGGTTGGTTGAGGCTGAACGCTTGAATGGACAGCTCGACGTCGTCCATGGCCGCAGCGAACATGAACAGGAAGAAGGGTGCAAACAAAGCGTTTCGATGCTTGTCCTTGACGCAGAGCGTGAGGAAGGACAGAGAGCCGGGACCACAGTCATACTTTCGCATGAAGGCTACTGTGCGGCACAGCGCTTCGCACTCTCGAAATGTGTCCTCCCACTTCAGAAACCTGCCCTTCATCACAAGCTGCAAGAAACGGTCAAGCACGTCGGCGGTCTCGATACGGAGGTCGGTGAAGCAGATCTCGCGCTTGAAGTTGCCCGTCGCCGATGGCGCGGCGGTGCACGCCTCAAAGGCGTCGTTCAGCACCGAGCTGTCGTCAGTTCGAGGAGTTGCTGGCGTCCTACCTGATCCGACACAGCTTTGCACTTCGGACACGGTATCGCCACCCATCACTGGATATGAGTGAGAAGTCGCCTTCGGTCCAGTCGGGGCTGTCTCGAACGATCTCCATGGCGTTGGAGTCGTTGCTAAGCGCGGCAGAGGATAGAGGAACGTCGGGCATCGTTAGCGCACTGGTGTGAGGAGGATGAGGAAGAGTCAAGATCTCTGGAAGACGCATCATCAGTTGTCCACGCTTCAGAGATCGCCTCACCTCGCGTACCGTGTGTGGGCACACAAGAGGGGCGATGGGGGGCGAGTGCGAGGATGTGTGTGCGTACAGGAGATGTCGCTCTCAGTGGGGTATGGAGGCGCATGAAGTGCGCCGCTCTTTCTGAAGCGTCGACGCTACGATACCTCATTTGGACATGGAGCGAGCATCATGTGGGCTGATGACCGGATGCCATCATATCAAACAGACAAGCTCATTATCCTCTCGCAAATGCAGTCGCATACGGCTGCGAGGCACTTGTGAATGTCTCTTCGAAGCTGTTAAGCTGAAACACCGTGCATTCTCCAGAGTCGCTATGTCTCCACGTTCTTCACGACCTTGATGACGATTCTGTATTCGCGTGCCAAATCGACGACATCGCTCTCAACCTGGTCGCTGAAGTCTGCAGAGCCGTATCTCATGTTTTGCCGTTGGACATCGAAAGCTGTCGTTCGCAGAATGGCGAGGCACGCCTCGCCACCTCGTTGTGACGCCCGTACAGTCGTTAGTCGATCGGTTCAGTAGACGTGCGTGGGAGCCCAGCTTCGCCACCTGTGTTCATGCAAGATGCACAAAGAAGCAGCCATGGCAGCGACGCAAAGGAAGCGAGGTTCGTGGCTGAAATGCGTTCTGAAAGGGCGCTTTCGGTCCGCACTAACCCAGTCCCCTGGCCTCAGATCTTCTCGTGACGACGCTACCGTCAAGGGCGCGAGCTGTGACGACACCTACCGTCGAGGGCGCGAGCCTTAAGAGATGCTCGGCTGCCTGCAGTTCTCTGAACAACATCATCTCTCTCTACACGGACGACGAAAGCTCGGACTCGAATGCCAGACACACCAGACTCAAAGGCAACAATCAAAGAACATCGCTTCTGGAGATGCGGTGACTTCGCCCTCATCTCAAGCGATGGTCATCGGTGCCGAGTTGACTCGACAGTTCTGTGCTGGGCGAGGTGAGATCGGTTCCTTCCCTCCCCTCGCTGACACCAGTGCTGTGATGCGAGATACGATCCACTCCTGCTCTGGCACGCCGAAGGAGGTTTCCCTCTCCGATCCAAAGATCGAGTGCGCACCTGTCATCGAACGCTTCCTCGAGATCAGCGCCAAGGGCAAACTCCTAAACTGGACGAATGACTTCAAAATGTGCGAGACGCTGTGTGACACAGTCGCCTTCATGCGCAAGTATGACTGCGAGGGCCCGCTGGCGATCATGCGCATGCACGTGCTGAATCAGCTCCTCCTGAAGCAGCTTGCGCCTCTGTACGTTTTCATGGTCGCTGCGGCAATGGACGACGTCGAACTCTCGATCCTCGCTTTCCGGCACCGGTACGACGTGACGTACTTCGAGGCAGTTGAGAACCAGATCCTGCCTGCGATGACTGGAAGTACTCGACCATTCGACTTCATCAGCTTCAATGCTCGTGGAGGAGCGGGGAGCATTTCGGACCCGACAGCACATGGCCCTACCAACTCTGGGCCATAGTGCCGGCCGACTACCTCTGGGCTGCTACACGTGCCTGGAACAAGACGTGGACCTCTCAAACTGTTGTTAACGCGAAAGAGAACCCGACCTGCAACCACGGATATGCTAACTACCCCGGTTACGTGTGTGCGACATGCAAACAAATTAAAGCGAAAGCGAAGCAGATAACCGACGTTGACATTGCCGCGGAGTACGAGAAGGCTATCGGCGAGGTCAAGAAGGTCAAACTGACCGGTTAAGGAGTGAATTACTGTAGACGTCGGATTGCGAGAGTCGTCTGTGAATCCATTGATGCACCTGTGTCGCATGCCTATCCTTTAGGATTGATCGTGGGGAGTGTCAAGACTCTCAAGTCCTGGATCCAGCGTGAAGTCGACGTGAGTGTGGTCAGACACATGTGCGAACGCGTGTGAGACATTGTCAGTGGGGTCAATGCTGCCCAGCTTGCTATGGATGGATTGGGCTTGCGTCGATATCCGTGTGCGGATGGAGATGAGTGCGATAAAAGCGAAATCGCGCGCGCAGATCGCCGATATTCCAGGCCCCTTCTTGAACGCCGAGAGTGGCATGCACAAGAGTCAGTAGTAGAGGCAGCCATGTGACCCACCGAGCGACAAGTGCTCCCTAGAGCTAAATGGGATGTCGTTATGCTAGGAAAGGCGTTCCGTTTCACAGTTCCCACCAGACCATGTCGGCGCCGAATCTCAAGGAAGTGACCGACAAACTACAACTCAGCTTAAAAAAGCTCGAGGAGTCGCTCCCCGTAGACGGCGACTTCTCCTTGGTGTCCAGTGATGGGAAGCATTTCGGGGTGGACACACACGCACTCTGCTGGTCGAGGTAGGCATTCCAGAACCACCCTCCTCCCCTGCCTTGTGTTCAACTCAGGACGGCCCGGCAGCTGACTTCCCTAGCGAGGTGTTCAGGTCCGCGTCCTAAACATGCGACGACGGGCAGAAGCGGATCGAGTTCACGGACACCGACCTTGAGCGCGCCCCCGTAGTGCGTGTCTACCGCCAGCTCCTGAGACGGATGACCTTTCTGGCCGTGACGACGTTCGAGCACTGTGTCGTCATGTGCGACACTGTCGAGTTTCTGCGAAAGTATGAGTGCGAGGGGCTGCTCCGGCTCGTGAAGACCGAGTGCATGAACCGGCTCCTCCTGAAGACGATGCCGCCCCTCTATGCCTTCATGCTGGGCGCGGTCATGGACGACATAGAGCTCTGCGTCGCGGCCCTCCAGTACCGGTACGACGTGGAGGTTCGGAGAGGCGAGGCCCGCTTCGTTGATGCGCACATCCTCTCCCTGTCGCCTGATGTGCAGAGTCGCGGGGCTACTTGGTCTCTTGAGATCTACGAGAGATTGCCCATGTATTACGCCTGGGCTATTACCTCGACTTGCTCGCAGTGGTGGGGATCTCTGTATGCCAAACGCCGGGCTCCGGAATCGCTCTACTACGGTAGGGACACTGTCCCAGATTACGATATCGTTGAGGAGTTTGAGCGATACATCAAGTGGGCGAAATCTTCTCAGTCCGTCCAGACGGCGGCGAAGTAGACGCCAATGCGCTGCGATATACTGGGTCATTGCTGCTTTGCATTACGGGTAAGTGTTCCTAGTTGCTTGCGAGCAAAACATGCATAGCATATAGGCTGATTATCATTACCATGTTCACCCAAGACGGATATCATTTCACTATTTTCACTTCAGAGCATTCCAAAATTGCGGTTTCTTCTTGCAACCTCGGCCTAGCTGTCAAGGTTGCACTTGTCAGGGCGGAGTGCGCACCACTCAGGCTGCAGGGGCCTAGCATCAATACCCTGCTCGACCATGCGGTACCTGATGTCGTTCATGGCGTGGACATAGTCGGGGGCGAGCTTGCTGCCGCCGTTCCAGAAGACCTCGGCGACGGCGGCGGCACGGGGCCACAGCTGCGAGTCGACGTTGGTCTCGTCCGTCTGCTCGCACCACAGGCTCGCCTGCCCGCCCATGACCTGGGAGTGCTGCTCGGGCGTCGTGCCGTTGAACGGGTCGAAGGAGAGGATCTTCATCCACGTCTTGAACGGGTCACACCAGCTGTTGCCGACGCCGGCGGCGCCGGGCGTCTCGGGCGTGGCGGGGATCCAGCCGCCCTGTCCGCCTGCACGTTAGCTTGATGGCTGATCGGGTGAACTCACAGTCGAGGTAGAAGAACTCGTTCGCGGCGTGGATGAGCTTGAAGCCCTTGTCGACGACGGCCTTGACATTGTTCGCGTCGATCCAGACTGTGACGAGCGTGTCGTCGCCGAGACCCTGGTCGCCGTGCGCGAGCGCCATCTCCTCCCACACGACGGGCGTCTTGCCCTTGTCGCGCAGCGTCTTGTGAGTCTGCACTGTGAACTCCTTCAGAAGCTCGTTCAGCGTCGCGTTCTTGGCCTTCATGACTTCCTGCGTCGGGCCGTCGTTCAGCATGCAGTTCTCGTTGAGCTCGTCGCCGCCCGAGCCGAAGTAGGGCGAGGCGGACAGGCCGCTCGCGGCCTCAAACAGGCCCTGCGTGAACTTGATGACGTTAGGGTCGCCAAAACGGAGCTGGCCGGCGGGAGGCTCGTTCGCGAGGCCGGCGGGAGGGTCGCTGCCGGGAGCGTTCCAGCCCTTGCCCTCAAAGCAGGCGATGAGCTCGGGACGGGCGTGCGCGATGATGCTGGTGTGGCCGGGGGTGTCGATCTCAAGGAGCACGTCGATGCCGCGCTTGGCGCCGTAGCTGACGACCTCGCGGACGTCGTCCTCGGTGTAAACCGCCCAAGGGTCGTAGGCGCCCTTCTGGGCAATGTCCTCAAATCCAGCAACGGAGAGAGGCCAGGCCTGGGCGTCGGTGATGTGCCACTGGAACACGGACAGCTTGGTCTGCTGCATTGCGTCGAGGGTGCGCTTGAGCGTGTCGACGCTGAAGAAGTTGCGGCTCGTGTCGAGCAGCACGGCGCGCCAGGGGAAGAGAGGCTTGTCGTCGATATCGTACGGCGCGAAGGGAGCGTACACCTTGTTGTCGTGGCGGTAGAAGAGTGTCTCGAAGGTCGAGATGGCGCGGAGGAGACCGAGCGAGCTCGACGACGACGCCGTGCCATGCTTACCCTTAAGCGAGAGCTTGTACGCCTCGAGCTCGCTGCGTTCCTCAGCCTTGCGGTGCGAAAGCTCCTCGATCGAAGTCGTGTGCCCGTGAAGCTTGAGCTGCAGCTTGTCGATGGTCGAGTCGCACCCGCGGCCGTCGGGGAAGAACTCGGAGCCACGAGTAGGCGAGAGGTAGCGGTGCTTGAGCTTCTTAAGGCGCTCGGTCGCGCGCTCGGCGGCCTCGACGAGGTCCTGCGGGGCACCGTGAGGGGCGACGATGCAGAAGTCGTCACTGAGACAGACCGTCGAGTCACCCGTCTGGGCGTTGGCAGGCGTAGGCCAGCCGGTCAGCTTGGCCGTAGCCGAGCTGGCAAGGAGAAGCCCGAGGAGGGGTTTGACGAGCATGGTGTGGAAGTGTTCTGGGGAGACAGGAGGGAGGACAAGAATTGCGACGCATTTATAGGGCGCAGGCAGAGATGGCGGAGCCGATTGTTTACTGCGGCGCTAACGATCAGCTGGGCGGTACCAGAGACCAGTGTGAGAAGGGCAGATCTGGTATCATCAGCAGGTCGTAGGCGGTCATCGACGATACACTGATCAGGAGGAGGGAGGACCAAGGGGCAGCTATCGCACCCGCGGCATGCTTCGCACTCCCATCGAGTGGCCGGCATATCCGGTATCTCACCCTTCTTCCCCAGATTCTTGGAAGGATGAATGATGAAGATGAGGCGCAGGAGGTCGGCGTCTGCTCGGAGACCGGGGGCGCGCTAGTGCAGGGCCCCGCCGGGTTCGTCAGGCGTGACCATCGAGCGGGGGGAACCAACGAGGTCACGAGGTGCAGGATCGATGCACGATAGACGGCCTCTTTGCGAGAGAGGGAGCATACACCGCACGGGAAGCCGTGGGTAGGGAGCAGTGCAGAGGGCATCGAGGCCTTTGTTTTGTCGGCTATGGAAGGCAGTGAGCGAGTCGTGTGATCCCGACGGAGCGCCCGGAGGCCCGGAAGGGCAAAGAGGGTCCAGAAGGGCGTGGTCACGTAGAGTTTAAACTTATCACAAAGAGGATATGCAGGGTCAAGACGAGGATCAGCCGCGCAGAAATGAGGTAATTGCGGATCGAGCGAGGGTGCGTGAGGGCCCTCGTGAGAGGGCGTGTGGGCACAAAGTCAGGCGCCAACTGCGAGGGTGCAAATCGCCGAGCATGGCAAACATCGGTCAATTCGTGTGTGCTCTGGGAGAAACAAGGCGTCGCACCCTGGACGTTTGAGGCTTTCGATATCCAGTGAGCATCTTGCGCTGTTGGGCCATGTTTTACCTCGGGGCAAGCGCCGTCGGAGCAAGCGCCGCCTCAGCACTGGCAACATGCGTAACGAGACATGATATGCTTCAGAAGGCTGGGCGATGGAGCGAATGAGCTTGATCGCGACGTGATTCTCATGTGCCCATCGCTGAAAACGCCGCTTTCTGTTATCAGCTCTGTCCTTTTCGACATGAGCACTCGGGTAACATGTTCTCGGCTTCCTCTTCGTCAGGCGTTTCTGTTGCTCGAGAACAGCCGTCTGATGACAAAGACGACGTCTGCGTACCGAGAGACGGGCCCCGACGGTCCGGCGTTTGGGGCCACAGTCAGGAAAGGCAGGTTACACTGGGGCACCGTCAAAGCCGGGGGCTGTTGGGGCTGTCTGTCACATGTGGTGCAAGAGGAATGCAGAGATCAAATGTCGCAAATGACAGTCGGAAACGACATGTCCGGCGTCAAGAACAAGGACGGCCAACCCCACCAGTTCGCTGCTGTCCGGGAGGGGGTCTCTTGAGCAACGCATGCCCCAGATAGTTTTCAGCACGATACTTTCTACCTTTCAACAAGCAGTATACAGAGCGTCCTAGTGGGTGTCGCGAAACCATCTCATCTCCCTAGAGCAATCCCGAGATTGCGCCTACCAACAACAGTGCTAAGTTTCACAGCCGTCGCAGTGGACTGCATCAGGGCGCGAGCGCGCCGAGCTCTGAAACAACATGTGGAGCGCCGAGCGGATCAAACGGAGGGCGTTCTCGGTTCCCCGCAGTGTCGCAGCTATGGATGGGTTCGAATCGCTCTACGACGCTACAGTCGGTCTTGACTAAACCAGCATGTATGGGCTGCGGCGCTCAGTCACAGATCAGGTGCTGCTGGCGGGGCTTGTGCCGATCGGGGAACGCTGACACGAGGCAGACACGACTCATCCTCTGACAGCAAGAACTTCGGAGGCAGTCTCGATCCCTCCTGAAGTGAGGAGCGTATCCACTCGGCAATTGGCAACGAGCTTTATCGGTGCAGACAGGGAATCACTGTCATTGACGGTACGTGGGACGCAAGGAAGGACAGATGCTACATCATGAAGAAACTCTATGGTATGCTGTACATGGTGTACGCAATTTGGGTAGGGTGTCAAATTAATGGACAGGGGGGGTCTAAGGGGTGTGACTTGAGCGACGCTGTCCAGCTCAAGGGGAGGTTTAGATCAGGGCCGAGATAGCGGTAAGAGCAGCGCCGACAAGGACGTACGCCGAGGGGCCGAGGGCGCCGGCGGCACCGGCGTCGGTGGTGATAGCCTGGTCCTCGGTCTTGGGGTCGGTGGACAGGTTGTTGCTGCGGATCCAAGGGGGCGTGACACCGGCGAGGGCGGTGTAGTTGCCCTGCGGGGGGTTGTCGTTGGCCTGGCCGTTCCAACACCACGTGTCGAAGCACTGCTGGCACTCCTGGGTGCGGTTGTTCTTGTTGTAGTTGAACGCGCGGTCCGTCAGCGCACACGCAAGGCACTTGGGCCAGTTGGTGACGGTGCCGTTGAGCGTCATGGCGCGCATCGTGCTGTCGAGCTGGGGCTGGACCTCATCTTCGGCGTACTCGAGCTTGAACGTCGACGAGTTGGACTGGTACGACCACGGGTAGTTGGGGATGTAGATGACAAGCGTGTTGTTGGGCTCGTCGCAGCCGAAGAAGGTCGGGCGCGAGTTCAGGCCCTCATTCACGAAACCGTTCGTCGTCGGCACCTTGGGCATGGGGAGCGGGACGTTGTTGAACTTCTCAAACTCGAGCGAACGCTGGTAGGTTGTCCAGAGCGCAGAGCCGTTGGGCCACGAGAGGTCGGTGTCGGCCGAGTTGTCGAACGCGAGGATTGCGTCGGCGCCGCGGAGGAGGAGAGGGTCCATGGGGATGTTCTGGTTGGTCTCACCAGCGTCCATCAGAGTGAGGTACTCGAGGTCCGCGAGCGGGTTGCCGTCACCATTGTAACCGTGGCCCGGGTTGGGGACCTGCGAAATGTCGTTCTGGTCCTTGGAGACCGAGTCGAGGATCGACCGGATGCCGTTAACAATCGTACTAGAATTCTTGCCGTCATCCAGGTTGTTCAGGCGGATGATGCCCTGGTTGAAGAGAGTGGCCGAGGTGCCCGCGACAAAGGACATCTGGTCAAAGCCCTTCCAGCACTCGTTGGGCTTGCCATCGGTCAGGTTGGAGCCCAGGTACTCGATGGGAGTGAAGAAGCCCCACGACTTGTTGGTCGCCTCGCCGATGGCCCACGAGCCAAACTCGAAGGGGTTGAACTCCCAAATGGTCGCGTTCTCCATGACGGCTGTGGTGCCGTTCTCACGCTCGGCGGAGATGATGATCGGGAACGGAAGCTCGCCATTCTGGAGCTTGCTCGAGTTCTGGTACATCTGGGCCCAGGTCAGGTTCGGGTTGTTGTTCAGGTGGTACTGGTCGGGGAGCATGTGGTTGCCGAGCGCGAGGCCCCAGTAGTCGGTGATCTGGGTCGGGAAGTTCTTGCCCTTGGCCTTGACCTCGGACAGCAGGTCGGAGTAGAACGACACCTTGTCGTCGGCCGGGAAGATGAGGTTGCTCTGAAGGTTCCAGACATTCTTGGCGAGGTCCATCGGCTTCTCACCGCCGTTGGCAATGTAGGTCGTGGTCGCCCACGAACCCCCGGACAAACCGGCCATGTACGAGATAGCGTCCATCCAGCCGCCGGTTCCGGCCTTCTTCGCCTCCTCGATGTCGCCCATCAGGCCAGACATCATACCGAGACCGTTGCTGAGGCGTCAGCACATCACTTCGTAGGTCCACACCGAGCACCAGACTTACATCATGGCACGGTAACCACCGCCGGAGAGGGCAACACCAATGACCGGCTGGCGAGGAGGGTTCTGGAGGCCGTTCGCCTGCGTCATGGACTTGACAGCGTCGTTGATGCGCTGGCTGCGCTTCTGGATGAATTGCTTCTCCTGCTCCGAGATACCCTGTTTAGTGCGTTAGCGGTCGATCCGGTAGGTGACCCGGCTCGGCGTCGCAGTCGATACTCACGGACTGCGCAGAACGCAGGAACGTCGTGCCGGTCGGGCAGTCGACCTTGTACGGCTGGTAAACGTCATCATCGTTGCCAAAGAGATGGACGACGCTGGTGTCGGGCACGACATCGCCCTCGGCCTCGTCGGCAGCAATGGCGGCCTCGAACTGCTGGCTCATGCCGTCGCCGTAAGCCTCGCGAATCTCAGGCGCAGCATCATACTGGGCGAGAACCGAGGCGGCGCCCGCGCCCAGGGCAAGCGTGAGGGGGAGGATCATGCGGTCGTGTGTCGGTGGTGGCTGTGGTGGTGGTGTCGGAGGTCGTGTATGGAAAGAAGTAAGAGTGTTCGGTGTGGAAAGTCGGTCAGGTAGAAGGAGCGGAGCGGGTCAGGGGAAACCGATGAGATAATAAGTATGTAGAGAGTGTGTGTGGAGAAGTATGCGCGAAAACAGACGACAGGCGACGACGCACAAAGACGGCGAAGGCGAGCTAAAGACACACCCCTTGTGCTTGCCTTGTTCTGGTCTCCGGTGCGATGCGGTGCAAGTGCAGCCAGCGTGCGGCGCGCGGTCGTGCCGTCTGCTCGCGAGTTTTGTCATCTCGAAATAAGGGACCAGGGGCCGAAAGGGCAGGGACCACGCTGACACTGAAATCAGGACCGACGTCACCTCGTGCACATGCGGGCTTCTTCAGTTGGTTGCAACCAGCGTGCACCAGCGTGCAGCACTGCAACCATGCACGAAACCGAAGCGGGGGGCGGAGTTCAACATTCAGATCCGGTACCTTGTCCTGCCCGCTACCCTGCTGCGCAGCAACCGTATTAGGGCAATGTTTGGCTTCCTCTCTCCGGAAGCTGTCCAGCTTTAAGCAGGTTCAAGCAGGTTCAAGTAGGTTCCAGCCAAACAGAATTCAAAGACATCTGCAAATCCTCCGGATCTCGCTGATCTCCGTGGCCCTTGAGGCCTTGACCGATCTCTCTGTCTGTGATCTCGGCTTGCTTCTGAGTCTCTTGCGTGCAGGAGGTGGCCGAAGTCGGGCCCCGTGCACCGCAGCGGTGAGGCAGACACTGCACGTTTCGGTGCTGAAACTACACGCAAGCGTTGTAAGCGCCCATTGTGCATGTGCTAAATCTGGGCAGGGCGATGCATACGGACATACGCGATGGAGGAGGCTCGACGCAAAGGCAGACGAATGCTGAAGGCCAAGCCAAACTAAGCTCACCGTGTCATGTTACGTTGCCCTCTTCAGCCCGAGCTCCAAACACGATGTCATCGTATGATATCAGCGCGCATGCGACCCCTCTGGAGCACTGTAGTGATGCATACACAGCGCTTCACATGCCGTACTTGTTCTACTTGTCATGGTCAAGTCTCAGCCTCGGCTCCTAGCAATTCTCCATTCTGCATTTCTCCAATGCACAACTGATTCGGAGCCGGCATCTGGACCCGTTCGGCGCGCGGCGCAGCAGCATAGCATCCCATGCCGCCGGCGCCCGGCATTTCGTCCCTGCGGCGGTCTCAGCACTGGCCCTGGACGCGCCTGACGTTCCGGCGAATTCGTGGCTGGAACCAACAAATCCAGCGAGTTTGTGTTCAGATAAAATAATAAAAATACCGCATCTCACCACGGCACGGTACTGGGGCGGCGCTTGGTGCTGGCGGGCGAGGAGGCGCCGAGAATGGCGCCGAGGTTGAGCGGGAGTGCGGAGAGCGGATAGTGGTCACTTCTCCGTACTGGCGACATTGTCGTTGGCTGCGCTTGTTGAGTTCTTTTCTATCTTCGTCAGTACACCGATCGCTCCGCTTCCCTCGAAGCTGACTCGTTACGGCGTGGTGACTGCCGGCCCTGTCGCACATGTGGGGGTCTGGCCATACAGGGCAGCGAAGAGGGAAGAAGCTGGAATGAATACCTGTGCTGCTGTATAGGCTCATCAACACGGCATGTCGGCACGATCGGAGTGGAGCGACGGTGCCGAGAGGACATTGCCCACGAGTGCGGGGTTGCGATGTGCGATGGAGATGGAAGCAAAGTCCGTTCAGGAAGGACGATAGGCCCACGAAGCCGTGCTAATTAGGCTGCAGACCTCCAAAGGAGGGGGAAGCGGATGCCTATGTGGAGGGAAAACGTGACCTCGGTAGTCTTTCCGATTGCAGTTTTCCGACCGGCGGCCTTGCGCCCGGACCGGGAGGCGTCGCGTGTTCGATTTCCTGCCAGTGCTGTTAGTACGGACTACTGTGACCGGCGGCCAGCTCGCGAGCGTCGGCCATCTGCGCCAATCACGCCGGAGACCATGACGTAGCACACACACTCCGACAAGACGCATTTGAGATTGTCGGCCTCGGCGACTGCCAGCATTTGAGAGAGCCGTGAATACCATTTGAGAGGACACTCCTAATGCATTTGAGAGCTGTGCGATGGCATTTGAGATTGTGTGGACTTCTGGGAGCATCTCTCAGGCCCGGCGTGCTTCTCACTCTTTCTACTCCGACGAGCCTCGATCAACGGAACACTTCATAAGCAGCGACGTTCGACTGTCCGAGTTTCTTGTCCACAAAGCATTCGCACAAGACAACTCCTCCCTTTCACTCAATCGACGCAGTTGTGAAGGTGATAAACCGACTTCACCGACCTGGACACCGACTTCATCACCGAACCCCACACCCAACCCCGCAAACATGAGCGACACACGCAAGGCAGCCCACCACGGCGAGGACAAGTGGGACGGCGACGACTACCTGAACCAGGAGGGCATGTGAGTGTGCTGAAGGGACTGAAGCGCGGGCAGCCCCGCGGTGTCATGCAGGGCCACCTATCCACCTTGCGACATTTGTCTGAGAGACATGACTGACAAAGGCAGGCTCGAGGCCTCGGAAGCGAACACGCGCAACGTGCTTGCCGGCCTGAAAGCGGCGGGATTCCCAGAGGACAAGCTGAAGAGCCTCAACTGTCTCGAGATCGGCTCGGGACCTGGGGCCGTGACGCGCCACCTGCTGCCCCTCTTCGGCAGCGTGCACAGCATCGACACGTCGCCCTCGATGCTGAAGACGCTCTCAAAGCAGTCCTTCGCGCAGAGCGACAACCTGACCTGGTCCCTCCACGCGCTTGGCGCCGACACGGCTGCGGCGTTCAAGACGGCCCTCCCCTCGCCCAAGAATGGCGAGGACAGCAGCGCGACCCCGCCAAGGGACCAGTTTGACGTGGCCATCTCGACGCTGACGGTTCACCACGTCGACGACACGAAGAGCTTCTTCGCCGGCGCCAAGGCGCTCCTCAAGCCTGGCGGCGTGCTTGTCATTTGCGAGTTTACCAAGGATGCGGAAGGTAACGACGTCCTCGCGGCTCTGAGGGAGAAGTATCCCGAGATGGCCCATGGACATGCTGGTTCGGGACAGCACGACCATGGCCACGACCACAAGAAGGAGACAAAGGGCCACGAGATGCACGAGGGTAAGCATGGCGGCGACTCTCAGTCCAAGGGCCACATCCACGACCGCGGACACGCCCACGCCCACGGACACGCGCATCACGACGACAAGGTCCAGAGCGTCAATGCGCCTGGTCACTTCCACCCTTCCTTTGAGATTGGAGACATTAGGAAGATGCTCCAGGAGGCTGGGTTTACGGACATTGAGGGCGGAAACGGCGAGCCCGTCGTCATCCCCAAGTTCAAGGAGGCCATTCCGTGCATTTGGGTGTTCGCGCGCAAGCCCGGAGAGGGTTGGAAGGGCGACTAAACTGAGGGGCCAAGCTCTAGTAGAAGTATGTAGAAACCAAAAATGCAGTGCGAGTCCACATTGTAGCTGCTTGCGCCGAAGTGACTAAACCACGACTGGCAGAGAGGTTGACTGACTGACAGAGACGTTGCAGCACACCGAGCGATGCTCCAGCCTATGGCCCTCGCAACGGAGATGCAATTGCAATTGATGCATGCCTGGAAAGGGGTATTAGACGAATGCAAATTATACGGACCGGAAAGAGGAGGAAGAGGGACAAATCGTTGACGTGTCTTCAGCTGCTGCTGGAATTCATACAACACAGAACTTTTGGCTTGGGATGGCGCTTGGGTTGCTGGCGTGGAGGCTGTGGGGCTTGAGGTGCTGAGATGCTTGCGTGCATGTAGGCTGGGTGAGGCGTGATTGTGCGCGTTGGGTGATAGTGGCGGTTTCTGAGAGTCAGTTTTAGTCAGACCTCCAAGAAACGTGACGCCTTCGTTCTTTCCACACTCACCCGTTCTCTTCGGAGCTCGCTGCTCTTGATCCGTGCTTTAAATCAGCGCGAGCTCGAGCGTCCAGACTCTGTTTATGTCAGCAGAAGCACTTTAAAGACATGCAGAAGCGTGCAGAAGACTCACCGACGGGCCCAGCACTTGACGCTCCTCAAGGAGCCATCGGAAACAGGCACGTCAACCTCGACGCCGTCCCACCAACACTTGCGTGCGGGTTTCCTCCAGAATAACAGCAGCTTCTGGGCGGTACCCATCTGCTTGTCGTCGATGATGGGGACAGTGAGGTCGGCGGGCGCGCCCTCCATGCCCGGGTGAATGATGCCGGTCTTGAGAAGGACGAGCGCCATGGACGAGATGACGTTGCGATTCGGCTCGCACGCGCGGAAGCCCCACTCGTCGTCGCGGTTGAAGCCCGACATGCACAGCATGTCAATCAGGTGCTGCTCGGCCTGGTTGTTCTCCTTGTTCACGTTACGCTGGAGAGCAGTGAAGATCTGGCGCTTAGACGCAAGCGCCTCGCCGGCGGCGCGCTTGAGCGCGCGGAGCTCCTCGTTCGCGAGCCCGTGCTCGTCGACGCGCTCGGGCGCCCCCGGCGTCGTGATGCTGAAGTACTCGAGCTCCTCGCGCAGGACGATGATCGCCTGCTTGGTTAGGAGCGGGTTCTGGCTCACGTCCGCGTGCGGGTCAGACGTCGGCGACGGCGGCATGTTCTGCTGCGCGTGGAACAGGCCCGGGCTCGTGGGCGTTCCGTAGAACGAAGCCTGGGCGTCCGCCCAGAAGTCGAGGATGTACTGGAAACAGTCGGGGTCGAACTGGGGCAGTCAGTCGCAGGCTCAACAGTCAGAGAGGGGCACGCACGTCAACGGTGAACACTCCGTCGTCTCCGCCGTCCCACGACGCCGGCTTTGAGAGGATCAGACCCTGCGGGAAGAGACCAAGCAGCACGCTCTCGGGCAGGAGCATGAGCGTCTCGCGCTCCACGGGAAAGATGCGCCCCCGCAGGTCGAGGTTCAGTCGGGACAGCAGGGCCTGGTTGGAGTAGATACCAGGAGCAGCATATCCGGGAGCCACCGAAGTGATCGGGTTGGACGCAACCGAGGTGATAGGGTTCGAGGCGTCTGCGGCCGACATGATGGTGATCGAGTTGTTTGTGTCGGGTGTGGGGAGATTAAGGCTTGATCTAGGTGACAAAGAATGGGAAAGGAGGGGAGTGAGTCGGAGGGTGCTCTATTGGCTTTGGTCGGTTGGCGGAGGGTCGTCGAGAGGCGAAAGCGTGTGCGCGTTCTCGGGTCGGGGCGCGACCGGAATCAACAAGCGTTTAGAAGGTGGAGAAGTGTTCGTTGGGCGGGGTAGGCTGGTGTCCGGCTGAGGTGTGTGTGTTATCGGCTAGGACGGCCACACGATTCGACAGAAATCAGATGAGGTTGAATGAATTTTTGGTGTGACAGGCAATGCGAAGGGGGTTGAGTGAATGACAGGAATGGGATGACTGGGATGGATCAACAAGACCGGCGAAAGTGGTAATAGCCCAGCGATCTGGGCGCGCGCCAGACGAGCGTGGTGCAGGGTGGGTGGGTGGGTGCAGGGTCCCAGCGCCCAGCGTCCGTTGAGCCGCTCACCTCTAAGCGTCTGGACCTTGGAACCGGTAAGGCAGGGCGGGACCAAATCTGGCGGGCTTGGTAGTGACACAGCTTCCTGCCAGACTGGGCGATTCGCGCGTTGCTTCCGCCCGCCCTGACCCCAGCTGCAACCTCCTCCCAATGGACACCCCCGCACTCCCATGCCGGCCATCACACTGATTACTCGGCCATCAACAGTCTATCGCAGCTGTTGCATCGACCCATACTCGTGTGAGACACGCGTTTCTTAGGCTAGTGGGAAGATGAGAGTTGTGCTTTAGCTTCTGTATCCACGGCTGAGCGCAATGCTCCAAAGTCGAGTTTCCATCTTCCAGTTGAATTAGCCGGCGATCACAAGCCCTCCTAACGTTTGATCGCCGATATCCGACACTTGCCGCAGCCGCGAGTGACGCAGCAATCGTGTCTTCCTCGTTTTCCTTCATTGCGTCTTCCTTCACTCCACACTGACCACCATGAGCGCAGACAAAGTCCTCGGTGTTGCTGTACGCTCCCACACTCTGTGCATGCTAACTCTAGATCGTCGGCGTCGGCCTCGTCGCCTTGAACACACATGTGCGCTGTTGCTTGACGGAACATCAGCTGACATCAGATTCCGAACCTGCAGCTATGCTCGCACATGTTCAAAGTGAAGGCGCTCGTCGATGTGTCCCCTGGTGCGCTCTCGCACGCCTCATCCAAGTTCGGCGTCCCCCAGGACCGGACCTACAACAGCGTAGACGACATGCTCGCGAAAGCGGACGACATCGACCTCGTCATGGTCATGAGTGCCGAGTAGGCTGACTCGCCAGCCGAAAGCTGACGCACAGCGAGTACCACGTCGAGCAGACCGTCAAGTCTCTTCGGGCAGGCAAGGATGTCTTCGTCGAGAAGCCGATGGCCCTGAGCATTGAGGGCGCGGACGAGATCGAGCGCGTGCAAAAGGAGACGGGCAAGATTGTCTTTGTCGGCTTCATGCGGCGGTACGCCGAGGCCTTCCTCCGGGTGAAAGACGTCGTGCAGACCACTCCAAAGGGCGCGATCAACTATGGTAAGCTGCTCGTACTCACTACACAAGCTAACCTCAGTCCGCGTCCGGGACATTATCGGCGACAACGCCTTCTTCGTCGCTGAGAGCGGCGCCTTCCCTCGCAGTTTCTCCGGTAAGCTCGATCAGCCCTTTCCAGAGCTGATATGGGACAGACACGCCCCCCGCCGCGGTCGAGGATAGGAAGAAGCGCGCGGAGCAGATGCTGCAGCAAGCCCTCGGTCAGCGTGCCCGCAACCCCGCAGACGTGGAGACGTATCGCCTCCTGGCGTCTCTGTCAAGCCACGACCTGAGCGCCATGCGCGAGCTGATCGGCATGCCGCAGAGCGTCATTGGCGCGCAGCGCAGTCCGGACGGGCAGTGGATCTGGGTCATGTTCCAGTAGTAAGCACGCCAGTTTCTCAGCTGGCTTTGGCCCGCATAGCTGACACCAGCGACGGCTTTGTGGCCTACTACGAGGTCGGGATCGACAACACACCCATCTTCGACGCCCACATCGAGGTGTACACGAAGACCCAGCGCGCCAAGGTGTCCTACGACACGTGAGTAGTTCTTTTCTTTTTCAAGCTCAAGGAATGCCGTGGACGATAGCTGACCTCCAGACCATTCGTCAAGGGCCTCCCGATCAAGGCCACGCTGCAATCCCGCCGAGAGAACGGCGACTTTGTCGAGGAGACCATCCGCCCGACGTACGAGGACGCGTTCATGCTCGAGTATCGCTATCTCTACGCTGCCGTGGCGGAGGGCAAGCCGGTGAAAACGACGCCGGCGGACGGTAAGCTATCCGACTTGCTTCAGCTAACGTACAGCGAAGGAGGACCTCGTCCTCTTCAAGATGGTCATGGACGCGCTGAAGCTGTAGCCCGGGGTGAAAGAGCACAATGGCATGCAAACACAATGATGATACAGATGAAAGACTTGATTACAACTACTCCCCCCACACCACCACACAGTTAGATGAGGAACGCGTCATCCTCCAAATCGAGTTCTGGCAGCTCCACATCCATCTCAAAGCTGATCTCGAACCCGTCATCGGGCTCGGGCGCAAAGGCCTCGCGCAACAGTCTCCTCTCAGTCACAGCCGTGCGGTGCGTCTCGGGACTCGGCGTCCATCTCTCGGCCCCCTCGACGGCTTTGGAGTGACACTCCTCCGGATCCTCGAGCACGTTGATTTTCCTTTTCTCCTTTTTTGCGGGAGGGTGGGGATGGGTAGAGTACGGATGGCCCTCGGCTGGTTGGGCCGTGGGCGGTTCCGGGAGGGGAGGCAGGCGTCGACGACGGGCAGCGGGCCCGATCTGCGCCCGAGGCGTGATGGGCGGCGGTTTTGTGCGTTTCGTCGTCGCGCCGAGGGTGGCGAGACGCTCGCGCTCGTCCTCGTTGAGTTCGAAGGGGTTCGTCTCGGGAGAAAACAAGTTACGACGCACAGAGCCGAGGGGTGTGCGGGGCGCGCTCTTCGAGGGGCCGGCCTTGTGCGGCGCCTCTGGGGGCGGCTTTGAGATGTTGACGCTCGAAGAGGACGAGAGCGGAGCCGTGTTCTGTCGTCGTGGTTCTGGCCGCGACAGTTTCGGTTCTACGGCCGGCCGCGGGAGCGGACGTCCGAGTATCGGCCGCGTCTGCGCTGCCTGCTCGCTGATCTGGCCCAGGGCCGCCCTCCGCGCCGTCTTACCGGGCACACCCACACCTCCCGACGGCGCCGTGGACGGCTCGCCGAGGCCGAGCGCCCTCCGGCTTCCCTTCTCCTTCGCTTCTGTCGTTCGGGTGGGGACCGCATTCTCGTCCGTCGCCTGTCTCCGTGGTCGGCGGACGCTACTCGCAGTGGTAGTAGGGGGTCGATTGGGTGTTGCCGTGCGAGACGAAGTGTGCGTGTTTGTTGATGAGCGCAGGACGTTCCGAGAGCTCGTTAGGGGTGTGCGCGAGCCACCTGGTCTACGGGCTGGCGTGTTCTCGTCGTGCGTTCGCCGGCGCTTTTCGTCTCGGAGAACCATGGTCGCTTGGGTGTGTATCGACTTACAACTAGGCCAAGTTGAGGTGCAATCGACGTCAACGGGCGGGCTTGTTTGGCCCCTTTGACGAAATCAGTCACGCCAAGGACACTCCGGAGGGGGACAACGTGGGATTATGTAATAGTGACCTGCACCCCGGGTTAGTCTCGGAGCGTAGCGGGTTCCGGCCTGTGCCTGTGCCTTTGAATGGGCCTGAATCGGACGACTGAGACCAACCGACAAGCACATCCCATCGCAAACGTTGCTCGCGTCTCTCGCTGCTCGTTGCTCGCTAATGAAAGTCCTGTACATAAACCCATAATAGACACCAAGAATCGCGGTTTGCTTGAAGAAATGTGAGGTTTGGTTTGTGTTTCTGTTACTTGAGACGGGAAGCAACGCGGCACAAAGGAGATGGCAGCTCAAAGCTACGAGTGAAGCGGAAGGCGGGGGGTGGCGTGGAGTGAAATATGGAGGTTGGGTGCGGTGTGCAAAAATACAAAGGTAAGAGAGTCCGTTAGGAATGGAGCTGTTTAGCGGGGAATCTGCTGCCCGTACCCTGTCGAGTACTGACCCGCGCGCTCCGGCGAGGAAAAGTCATCCGTGTACGGCTGCGGCGTCGGCGCACCGTAGTTGAACCCATCGTACCCGCTGTTGGCTGTTGTTGTAGCGACACCCGCGCCGGCATTGTACGTCGACTCGTGCTGTGCGTACTGGTGGGCGACGTCGTACTGCGGGTCGCCGTACGTGTGCGAGAAGTCCGGGCCTTCGGCAGCGTAGTGGTTCTGGTCGTAGCTGTTTGCCACAAAGTGGTTCGGGTCGTAGCCGCCGTCGTTCGCGTAGGCATCGTTGGTCGCGTACGCCCCGCCCTCGGCGACCCGCTCCGGCTGAGCGCCAAGGCCAGCGACACCGGGAGCAGTTGCGGTCGAGCACGGTCGGTCACCAGGAAGCATAGGCTCGGACAAGTGGCTCGCGTACGGGTCATAGCCGCCAGAAGGGTCCATGTAGTCGCGCATCGCGTTAGGCTGCTCGATATCGTCGGCACTTCCGTGGGTGGTGGCGTAGTAGCTTACGTACTGGGTCATGGCGGGCGAGTCGTCGTCGTCCTCGAAGCGAGGCTGGTTCGCAGCAGCGGCAGCGGCCGCGGCGGCAGAGACGTCGCGGTCGAGCATCTGCCTCCTTCGTCGGCGGAGACCGTACCAGGCGAACGCGATGATGCCAGCAGCAACAGCAAGACCGACAACGACGAATGTCCCGGCAACCGCTCCGGCATTGTCAAAGAAACCAGAGCCTCCGTGCGCCGACGACTCGCCAGCGACGCCAGTGTTCTTGACGATCTGAGTGACCGTCCAAACCTTGCCGTCGGTGCCAGTTCCAACGATAGTAGACGTCAGCTCCGAGGGAGCAGCCTTGGTGGTCATGCGGCCGTGCTCATCAGTGGTAGTGATGGAGTCCAGCGTTGTCTCAATGTACGTGCTTGGGGGAGCGCTGAAAGCGGACGTGGGCGTGACCAGCCCCGGGTTCGAAGACGGCGTGGAGGACTGCAGCGAAGTCTGAATCGGAGAAGAGGTCGTGGCAGACTGCGATGGCGAAATCACATTGTCGGACGACGAGGTACCGACGCTGCTCTGTCCACCCGAGCTGCTGCTTGACGGAGGCGTAGAGCTCTGGGTGTTGTCGGAAGAGGAGGGCTGAGGCTGCTCAGAGGAAGACGGAGGCCGCTCGCTCTGAGTGGGCGAGTTGCTCGATGTAGGAGGCCGTTCAGAAGACGTCGGGGGGTTGGACGAAGAAGGCGGATCCGGACTCTGCGTCGGCTGATGGCTGCTCGTGGGCGGGGGACTGTCCGACGAGGGCTCGGGGTTCGAAGACGACGAGGGAGGAGGAGTGTCGGAAGGCGAAGAAGAAGGGGGAGCCTCGGAGCTCGAGGGCTCGGGGCTGTTGGACGTCGAGGGCTCGACGCTGGATGAAGGCTCGGTGAAGCCACCGTCCGAGGTGTCTGTTGAGTGGCCATCATGGTGAGTCGAATGCGAAGGGCGCGAATCAGATCCAGATCCAGATGGTGAATGAGACGGGGGATCCGTCGAGGAGGGCGAAGGGTCGGCGCGAGGCGGGAGCGTCGGCATGTTGTTCGAGAAGGATGGCGACAGTGAGGGATTTCGAGATTGCGAGATCGGCAGGAGGGTGCAGTTATTGCGTTAGAAAGGGGAGGGCGTCGAGTTGAAGTCGGGTAAGGAGCGTAGGGATAAACAAACGAGTGTGTCAGTGGAATGAACGACAGAGTAAGGAACAAGGAGGGGACGAGGGAGAGCGAACACCGAGGGCGCAGAGGCGTGTGGATGGAGAGAACAAGGACGAGGATGGACAATGAGGAGAAGCAAAGCAGCGTCGACAGCGGTAGCGGAGCTGTTGACCTGGTTCGGTTCACTCGGCGGTGACCAGGGAGAGGGCTACGTGACGCGCGAAGGACTTCGGGGCTCGCGGGCTGGTGGTGGTTGGGCGGGTGGACCGGGAGGATGGTCTCTCAAAGTAGGGCACCCTACTCGTAGGGCGCCCTTCGGTACGAGAGCCAAGGGGCACGGGAGAATCCCGTACCGCGGACGCCGCACCACCCCGTCTCCAGCCAGCACTCAAGCACGGCGCTAGCCCGCCCAGCTGCCCAGCTCGCGCCGAATCCAGTGTCGCGCTCCACTCCCCAGCGCGCCCGTCACATGTTTATTTCGGGCTCGGGGTTGATTGGTTGCACGCGTCGCCCTATGCATGTTTCGATTGCAATGGGTAACTCTAATGCAGGGGGATCACACGAGACCGAGGACGCGCCGAAAACTGAGGACCGGCACGGGGGTGCAGACGTGTGCGACGCTTCTTCCCCGGAGCGTCCACAGCTAAGCTTTTAGGGCCAAGGCGCGGAACCCTCCGTAGAGCCAGGGGTAGCTCCGTCGATAGAATGGGTGTTGAAGCAGTCTAACTTACCTTGACTGCTCATGATAAGATGCTATAGCTCAATCAGAGCGAGAGGCGACGTTTTCGGTGTTCGAGGCGAATCGTGGGGTGTGAAGAGCAATAGGTGAAGGAGTGTATGAGACAGATGAGGAAGAGTGACGAGTGGTAAGGCAAATGGATAATGATAAAGGTGGGCCCAAGCGAGAATGCGGCGTCCGGTGGCGGTGACTCTAGGAGAGGCTAGGCGGCAGGAGCAGAGGGGAAGGTGTGTGGGCGGGGCGAGTCGAAGAGGCGCGAGGTCAGCGTGCCGCAGTACGTGGGGGGACCGTGTCCGAGGGTAACGTCCAAGCGGCGCAGTGATCAAAGATCTGCAGAGGATGTGTCTGTTGTCTGTCGCTGCAGCTGCTGTGCGTTACAACTACGGCTGGGTGTCGGGGCCAGCGATCTTTGTGGCGTCGTTGACCTGGGATTGTTCGTGCTGCGAGGAGTCGCTCAGCCAGGATAACGTTTCGAGCACTCGGAGTCGGGGGGTGCTCTGGTCGAAAGCAATGCCAAGGCAGTGCGCAGTGGAACGGAGTCAAGAAAAGGAGAGACGGAGGGCGATGCTGGAGGCGGCTCCGAAAGGCTGCAATGGCTTATTATGGCTGATGGTTCTCCCTGCTCCCTGGCCTCCTTGCTCTCCGTACCTCTCCCAGCTGACATGGTCGCATACTGTGCATGGTGGTGCTGGGCGTTGTTCGCTTCATGCTCCTTTACGGCGAGGGTGAGCAAATATGCATCCCTCGTCCCACATCCCACTCCCACAGCCCGTTGTCGCCTGACTTGCCTGAGATGATGCCTGATATAACTGCCAGCGTCAGCAGTCCGGCTGGGTCGTCAGAGGCCAAGTCGACCTTTGAAGACCTGGTCTTGGTGGTTCCAGACTTTGGCATCTCAGGAGAGTCAGGTCTTCTTGCGGTTAGTCTGGGTCAGCGACTGAGGCCTCCCCACCCAAGCATGCTCTCATGAATGCCTCGCCCATGTACCGGCTCTCCCCTGGAGATTCCCGGACTAACCCTGAGTCTCTCGCCGTGCCTTTGCATTACCTGAATCCATCAATTCACTCCTGGCCTCGGGCCTCATGCAGGCACCCGCCCCCCTTCGCTCGGTGAAGCCTGCTGGCATGCTGGATTTGTTTCTTTATGTACGCCCACCGGTCAGAACGCCCAGCTTCACGTGACCGTACAACGGAGCCTTTGTCGCGCGAGATGTGCGTGGCAGTGTTGCCGACCGAGAGATCCAGCCGCAAGGGGCGACCACTGACCGAGCAAGCATCACCACAGGTCGATCGCTTAGCCCGTCGTGCCGATCGACAGGTGTGCGCGTGTGCGTCAATGAGCGCACGTCATATCCGTTTGCCCGGTCATCCGTACTTTGCCCCGCAGCTCTGCCCAGCGGGTGGAGTGCAATCGCTTCGCTTGCATTGTTATCTTTTCTGCCTTCTTCTCCTCTTATCTATCCGCTCACTCCAAGATTAACCTTACGGTACTCAGTTTTGACCCCACACAGTCACACTCGCGCCCTACCACACAATGGCCGGAGACAAGCCCGTGATCGAGAAGGCGGAGGCGGCCGTCGAGAAGGCGGAGCAGGCCGTCGAGAAGCCCATCCACAAGCTTGCCGAAGAGGATGGTACGCAGCTTGCCCTTGGCTCTCTGTCTCGGGCCGATTGTGTATAGAAGCTGACAGATTCACAGCCGACTCGACCGACTCCAACGTCCGTTATGGTGTGTAGGGCGTGCAATTGCAAGGCTGACCATCGCAGCCGCCTACCTGCGCCGGATCCGTGACGTTGCGCGTGCCGGCTCGCGCTACACTGCGTACAGTGCGTACGGGCAGTTCCTGCCCTGCATACCGCAAGGGCCACACTGACCCCCCTCCCAGCTTCCGACATTGGCGAGGCGTTCCGTCCCGTCGTCCCCCCTGGTGTTGGTGAGTAACCCCCGCTGCGCTGCTCGCTGCTCGCTTGCTCCACACAATGCACATTGCTCACGACAGTCACGGCCGCGTACGCCATCTCGTGGGCGTACCTGATCGGAGACGTGTCGTTCACGACGTACAAGGCCAAGGAGCAGGGTCCGACGCCGTGGGAGGCTGCCAACTTTTCCGAGCCGACCCGCCTCGGTCTCGTCGCGACGAAGCGCAGTGTCTTCCAGGCTGTCGCGTCCATGGGTCTGCCCGCGCTCACGATCCACACGGCGGTGAAGCAGGCGTCCAAGCTGTTCGCCAACTCGGCCAATGCGTCGCTCAAGCGCTGGGGCCCGACGGCTGTCGGTATCTCCATCGTCCCCGCCCTGCCGTACCTGTTCGACCACCCCGTGGAGGTCGTCACGGACCAGCTGTTCGACAAGATCGAGCACGCCATGGCAAAGCACCCCGACAACATCGTCCCGGCCCAGACGGCCACTGAGGCCGCACTAAGGGCCAACAACCTCGCCACCCTCGACGAGAAGCGCAAGGTTTAAGCGAGCAATATAGAACACTACAGCATGGATACCTAGGCTCATCGTATACAAACATGGGCGACAGTACATACAACGACTAACTCTATCTAACACATGCGGGGTACGATACAGGCGAGGAACTAGTTCTCCTCAGGAACGACTTGGTTGGTTGGCTCACGCGCCCAGGAGCGTCGAGGGCGACACGACCTCGCGCATGCGGTCCTTGATGCGGAGAATCTTGCAATCGAGGTCGTTCTCAGCTGCAGGCAGCATGAGAGGGGACGGCGGCAGCAGGAGGCGTTTCGACTTACCCAGCGGCTTGCCCAGCGGCCTGGGTTTCGGTTTCGACACGAGCACGGCTGTTTTGGGGGGCGGGGGCGGAGGTGGGGGAGCTTTAGCTGCTGTCAGCTAGACGTGCGGAGCTCCACAGCTTACACAGCGCCATCGTGGTGGTCGAAGTAGAGGCAGAGATCTCGAGGTCGGTGAGGTGTCGAAGTGAGGAGGAAGTCAGTGGTTGTTCAGAAGCGATGCGATGCGTGAGATTATAAATGCACGAGAAGGAATAGATGCTGCGCCCGGCTCCACCTGGTCGTGTGCATGCTGCGGGCGTCGCGGTCGCGATCGTCGTCAACGAAGCCACGGCTGCGCCCGTCTGGGAGCCTGAGTAGTTGAGACTGCGCGATTTATTGTTGTTCGTCTGTCGCCTGCCGCGGCATGCATGCATCCACTCACTGCCAAGCCCAGGCCGGCAATGAAGCAGAGTGCCACAACCCAGTTTCCCGCCACGTGTCCAGAATCGCCGATTGGCTCGTGCCTCTCTGCAACCTCGAGATTTCGGCGGATCGAGTGGCTGCCTCGCCCGGATGCGAGCGCAGAGAAAAGTCGGGAGGGTGAAACGCTGTTGCAACTGCATACATAAACCCAACCAACTTTCCAACATGTCGGTTCTGTTCACTGCGCTGCGGCGCGGGGCTGTCGAGGGTGAGTCTGCGCGTAGCATCGAAGCTTCCTGTGTTTTCTTTCCTAAGCTAATATCCCAGCGTCCTCAGCGTCGAGCAGCTCGCGCCTGTTCTCGAGTTCGGCGGTTGTGGGCGAGTCTGCGCGCAAGGTTGCCGCGAAGCGCAAGAAGCAGAAGGTGCTCGAGGGACGGCGGGAGGCTGCTGCGCACGCGGAGGCGACGCGCGCGGACCTCATCCTCGGCTCGCCGCTGAACCTGGGCCCGTCGGCGCTGTACGAGGGCAGCCGGCTGCAGAAGGTCGTGCTCAAGCCCGAGGACGTGTGGTACACGCCGCCGCCGGACTATGCGTCTGGCCAGGAGCCAGAAAACTACCTCTACGGCCTGTCGCCGGCTGACCGGGAGCTGCTCTTTGGCGCTCTGCCCCACGCGACTGCTGAGCTCGCTTACGACCCCGAGCGGCCGGCCAAGAGCGCGGCCCAGGCCGCGGAGCAGCACCAGCAGACGCAGACGCTGCAGCGTATCCTGGACTTGCGCAATGCCTCGCGCGCAGGCATCGATGCGGTGAACAGGCAGCGCATCATTGAGGAGTTTGGGCGCAAGACCGAATCGGGCGGTGTCGACAGTGGCAGCTCAGAGGTGCAGGCCGCACTCATCACGCACAAGATCCGCAACCTCTGGGAACACGTCGAGCAGAACAACCGCGACAAGCACAACCGCCGCGCACTCCGCATTCTCGTCCACAAGCGCGCCAAGATCCTCAAGTACTTCAAGCGGAAACACGAGCACCAGTACGACGCCCTCCTCAAGGACCTCGGCCTCGTCCGCTCCGCCGTCGAGGGAGAGCTCATCGTCGGCATGTAGTAGCCTTCTCATCAGCATTTCCAATCCAACGCAAAGCATTTTTGGGCATGTCGGGTGAGTCATTTACTCCTTCCTTCACTTTCATGATGTTTTTACCAAACCTGATTTAATGAGCCTGAGCCACATCGTGGCCGAGCTGTTAACTTTATACACGTCTGATCCTTTCTTCCCTACAGTCCAGTTTCTCTCGTGTGTCCAAAGCTGACCAAGAAGCGCAGGGAACACGCCTCACGTCCCAAATCTATAGTCACAATGTAGTCATTATTCTCCCCCCCTTTTTTTCGCATTCAGAAGCCGCTCCTCCACTGTGTGTTAGTTGCGGCGTCGTGTGTGTCACTGACGGGCCGCTCGTGTCAGCGCTGGAGCTTGAGGCGACGCAATCGTGTCCCACGAACTAACGACTGTGGGGCGTCCGCATGTGACGGCGCCATCGAGCCCCGAGCCATAAACAGCAAAGTCAGTTGCTATCCGTCCATCTCTTCTCGCTCGCTCGCTTCGCTCGCCCGCACCGTGGTCATGAACTTCTGTTATCCATTCTCTAAGCGTCACAAAAAAATACAAGCTGAAAAAAGCAGTAACCCAAACCCTCTTCCTCTCTTTACTTAGCCTCCTCCGTCTCGGGCTCCAGGGCGACGAGGACGGCGCCCTCGTCGACCGCCTGCGCCTTCTCGACATTGACGGCGGCGACCTTGCCCTTACGCTCGGCGCGGACGTTGATCTCCATCTTCATCGACTCGAGGACGGCGCACACCTGGCCCTCCTCGACGACATCGCCGGGCTTGACGCGGACATCAATCACGGTCGCCGGCATGGGGGACACGAGGGCGTCCGAGCCCGCGGCCGCGCCCGCGCTCTCGCCCTCGACCTCGGCGCCGCGCCGGCGCAGCGTCACCTGCTGCGTGGGCGTGAAGACGTGCAGCTTGGTGCCGTGCGGAATCACGCTGGCGGTGCTGCGCGCATGCGCGAACTGCACGTCAATGTCCGTGTCGTTGACGCGCGTCACGCGGATGTTCGACAGCGTGTACGTCTCGCCCTCCTGTCCCTCGGGCGGCGCGACCTGAACCTCGTAAGCCCCATCCGCCTGCGTGACCGTGACCTCGCCCTCGTCAAAGTGGTAGACGTGCGGCGACGCGTCCGTGAAGCGGCGCCCGGGCAGGGCCTTCCAGGCCCCCACGGCGGAGCCGGAGGCGCCGGCCGGCTCGTGGTGCGCAATGCTGAGCGCGGCCTGGGCGAGGATCTCGGCCGGGATCTGGCGCTCGGGGAAGAGCTCGGCGTGGTGCTGCTCGATGAAGTTTGTCTCGACGGGTCCGGCCGCGAAAGTCGGGTGCGAGGCGACAGTGCGCAGGAAGTCGACGTTGGTGCTCGGCCCCACGACCTGGTACTCGTCGAGCGCGGAGCGGAGGAGCGCCAGCGCCTCGGCGCGGTCGCGCCCGTGCACGATCAGCTTGGCGATCATCGGGTCGTAGTGCGACGACACCGTGTCGCCCTCGCGGAAGCCGGTGTCGAGGCGGTGAGGGGCGGAACGGGGGGCCAGCGTGTGAATCAGACGTCCAGTGTCGGGGAGGAAGTTGGCCTCGGGACGCTCGGCGTAGATACGCGCCTCGAACGCGTGGCCGAGGCAGGGGATCTCGGCCTGCGTCACGGGAAGAGGGTTGCCGGCCGCAATCGACAGCTGCCACTTGACGAGGTCGACGCCAGTCACCTCCTCAGTCACCGGGTGTTCGACCTGGAGACGCGTGTTCATCTCCATGAAGAAGAACTCGCCGCTCTCCGCGTCCATGATGAACTCGACGGTGCCGGCACCGACATAGTTGACAGCCTTGGCCGCAGCGACGGCCTTGTCGGCAAGGTCCTTCTTGATCTCCATCGAGAGGCCGGGGGCAGGAGCCTCCTCAATGATCTCTGTGGACTGTTAGCGGTGGACCCAATTGTGTCAACGACTTTACTCACTCTGGTGACGACGCTGGACGGAGCAGTCACGCTCCCACAGCGAGACACAGTTGCCCTGCGAGTCGGCAAAGACCTGCACCTCAATGTGGCGGGGACGGTCGAGCCAGCGCTCGAGGAGGACCTCGTCGTTACCAAACGATTTGGCAGCCTCACGCTTCGCCGAGCGGACCTCCTCGAGGAAGTCGTCCATCTTGCGCACAACGCGCATACCCTTACCACCGCCTCCGTGGGTCGGCTTGATCAGGAGCGGGAAGCCGACGTCGGCGGCAGCCTTGACGAGCGTGTCCTCGTCCTGCGCGGCACCGTGGTAGCCGGGCACGCACGGGACGCCGGCCGCAATCATGATCTCCTTCGACTCGCGCTTCGAACCCATCGCGCGGATAGCCTCCGCGGGGGGACCGATGAAGGCAATGCCGGCGGCAGCGACGGCGCGGGCAAACTCGGGCGACTCGGACAGGAATCCGTAGCCGGGGTGGATACCGTCAGCGCCAGAGGCGGCTGCAACGGCGAGAAGCTTGTCGGCGACGAGCTGGTGGTCAGTTGGGCACTGAGAAGCTGGAAACTCACGTAGGACTCGGCGGCAGGGGCAGGACCGATGTGGTACGCCTCGTCGGCCATCTCGACGTGCAGGCAGTCCTTGTCGGCATCGGAGTAGACGGCGACAGTGCGGACACCGAGCTCACGCGCAGTGCGGATGACACGGCAGGCAATCTCACCACGGTTCGCGATCAGGACCTTCTTGAGGCGCTTGGCGTCCTGCGACGGGATGTTGGTCGCGGCGTTGGCAGGGGCGGGAGAGGGGGCAGCGGGCGTGGCCAGTCCGCGGCGGTGGACGACGGGGGTCGCGGCGGGGACGATGATACGAGCGGCAGACGAGACGAGGGGGGTGGTGCGCATGCGCTGGACGCGCATACGGCGAGTCGCGCTTCGAATGATGCTCGACATGGTGGGTGAGCGCTTTGGGGGTGGGAGAGAGACGAAGAAAGGAAAGAAAGGAAAGGTACGGTCTTGCGAGAAATTCCTTCTTGAATGATTGTGGTTGCTCGCAAGGGGGATCTTTCGATGTGTGAGCCGCCCGGATGGGATGGACCTTGGCCAGTTGGTGACGACAGGGAAGAGAATGCTGAGTGCCAGACCGATCCGATAGTTAGCCGGCCGGATCATCGCGGCTTAGCCGAAGCAATGCCTTGTCTCTCGCATCGGGTACTAACCTCCAGTCACACTACCCAAATGCGGGGTAACGTTCCATTAGGTCTGATTACCCCCCGCCACCCCTCTTCCTAATCAGAACACAAATCCGATTAGGATTGCAGCACGGTGGGCAAGGGCCAGACGTGCCGACATGCCGAGCCAGATCGAGCACGCCGACCACGGCGTGAACGAAATCGCTCCAGTAAACCGTCCATGGCTCAGGGACAAACCTCGGCGCACGCGGAGTCCCACGGCCTAGTCCCTTTTCTGACACCCAGACGCGCCTACCGCAGCACTCTACGACGGACCAGGTGGGCACCTAGTCCCCCCACGCCTGCCAGACATGCCCTTCCTCCGTGGTCGGAACTTGCACCGTAGCCCCCCTCACCACCTCGGTATCTATCCAAACTTTCATGCGAGGCCAAGCCTACCGAACTTCGCTTCCGTCACACACACACATGTCGTTATCCCTCCGCCGATCGCGCTAGTCACTTACTTTATCTCCGCCGTTCTGTGTGGAACCACGCCTTAGTCCGCGATCGGGGATGCATATTCCGGCTACTAACAGCGCTATCACTACGGCTGCAATCCCGCTCAGGTCGCAGAGGCGCGTCATGAAAACAACAACGTCGCATCTCCTCCACAGCATCCCTCTGAGAGCCATACTCGCGCCAGTGTCCTGCTGACGTAAGCAATAAAGAAGCTATTGATAAACCAATGGGGCCGCCGGACCGGCGTCCGGAGCGATTTTATCACCGTAGCTTTGATCGCTGTAGCTCAGTCGGTTAGAGCGTCACCCTTATGTGGATAACTTTTATGGTGAAGTGCGTGGGTTCGATTCCCTCCAGCGATAGCATTGATTGATGCGGACACTTTTTGAAGATGATTCTTGACCGGATGCTTGCGTTGACGAATGCAGGTGTTCATTGTCGGTGCAGAGGTGGTGGTGGAGGGTTGATGGGCGATCTTTGAGGGCGTCGGGGCGCACTGGAGCGGTGTGAAGTCGGGGCGTGAGTGATGGTCGTGGTGAGGGCGACTTGAAGGAGAGGGGCGCGATGCTGATTCGCTTGCAGGAAGAAAGAAGGCATGCTGCTGCGTGGAGTTGATTATCAATTCGTCGCCGGTGGCTGTGGTAGAGGAGGGTTAGTTGAAGGGAAGGCTGAAGACGGGTGTAATGGGAGGGTTTGTGGCCATGAAGTTACACAAAGCGAAAGCGGTAGTCAGCTCAGACTTTGGGCAGCTGTTGGCGTTGATGTGGTTGTCGGCTCCCTTCTCGAGTAACGTGGCATAAGTAGCTCGCTGGGGTGAGCTTCAGAAGGGGAGTCAACTCACAGTCTCGGGAGACCGACCAGCCGATGCAAGTCAGTGATGTGTGGGGGGTGGAGCGGACAAACGAGAGGTACTTTGATGTCCCTCTCGGCATTGACCAGTGGGATTGGTGCGGCAGTGATGGGCTCAGAAACGGCGAGGGGCGGACTAAGTGATACAGCAGCTCACAGAAACAGCAGTCGGTGAGTGTCGAAGAATGGGGAGGACGGTAGGGCAAGGAGGAACGACTCTGAAGAGAGGCAGAACAGGGCGGCTGGCGTGAGGTTGCAGTGGGCCCATCAAGTCGGTCTACGTCAGAAGGAGTGATGTGACGGTGAGGGGGGTGTCAGGTCGAAGGTGAAAAGTCTGCGCCATTGTGAGAAGTATGATGGCAAGAGCGGGGGTGATGATGAGTGTGAACAAAGAACGGACGAGGAAGGTGGTTTTAATCCCAGAGTTGGGTGTGGAGGTGCGCCCCGAGACGCGGCGAGGAAACAGAAGAGTGCTAGACAGGATCCGGCGCGCTCAAAGGGTCACGGAATGAAGGAAATAGAGGTGTTGAAGTAACCTGTGTCCCACGGATGGGAGCAAGCCCTCCTGGAGACGGCGGTGATGCAACGGTAGGGGAGATAACGGGAGTGAGAGAGGGAGGGGGACTGTGTCAGTGGAACCAACCGACGCCGAAAGGAGGGGCGACGGCCAGATGAACCTAGCTCCTGGTCGGAAAGGTCGCATGGCTGTAAGAGTTCGCGGCCCTGGCAAATTGTCAGGTGTTCGAAAGGACGGCGTAGGGGCGAGGCGACAAGGCGGGGTTGGAAGTGCAGCTGAGGCGAAAGGGAGAAGGCGGCCTCAGCTGAATTGCGCGAAGATCGGGGCGAGGCGGTTAGGCTGTGAGATGCACCAAGCCTGGGCGACGCCCAAAGTCGGGTGCCCGTGCTGTGACGATCAGTCGGTCTGGACATCTAACGAAAGGGCGCGCCGCGGAAGCGTCGTTGTGAGGACGCTGTCGATCATTGCCCGAGCTGAGCAGGGGGCGTTGGAACTGGCGGGGTGGTGAACCGGCGAGATCGATCTGGACGCAGGCGAGTGTCGTACGGGCGACGTACCGAGTTGGCGATATGCTGTCGAGGGAGGGAGGGGCAGGCGGCAGGCGAAAGCTGGCGCGTAGAATGTCGAGGGTAGGCAGGAAGAAAAGAGAAGAGAGAGGCCGTCAGGCAGTAACAGAATAGGCAAGCAATAACAGTTTCAAAAGGTCATCTGCCACGTCAAGACTGGTATAGGTACACCCGCCCAAGGCACCAGTACAGACGGTGTCGAAAGCCAAACGCTCTGCTGCAGCAACCATGCACAGCTCGCACTGAACACAGAGGCTGGTGAAGCGAGGCGATACGGCCAGACAAGCAGAGAAATGCTCTTGTTACCTGGATCCCCGCCGCAGCAACTATGAACAGCTTGCACTGAACACAGAGGCTGGTGAAGTCAGGCAATACGGTCAAACAAGCATGGGAATGCTCTTGTTACCTGGATCCCCACCGCAGCAACTATGCACAGTTCGCACTGGACACAGAGGCTGGTGAAGCAGGCAATACGGTCAAACAAGCATGGGCATTCGCACCAGACTCCATCCCCGGTTGAACGGAGAGGATATGGTGATGTCGTTAGGCTGAGGCAAGTAGTCGAGTAGGCGATGATGATTGAGGAGGGGGCCAGCGCTGTTGATGAATCGAGGGGTTCGAAGGTCGTGGCAAGTGTTGAAAGGAGAAGTGTCGGGCAGGCGGCCAAGGCGAATGTCGGTGGGCGAGTTGCTGGCGAGAGTCGAGTGTGATGCGAGGGAAACGAGGGAACGGAGCAGCGAGGGCCGTGGCAATTGCAAGGTGGAAGGTGGCTCTATATATAGCTATACCTCTGTCGCCTCGGGGCTTTCCTCGCGTCGGCCGGATACGCCCTGGGGAGCACCTGACCGCTTCTGAGAACCTGAGACACCGTCACGAGGGGGCGAGAATGCAAGTCGGACTGGCGTACTGGAGGGTATGAGATCTGGTCTTCTCAAAGGGGACGGCCGGATGCGAACTCGAGGATCTTGCACTTGGGGCGCCTGCTTCCTCTGACACAGTCTCTAGGAGGCGAAGAACCGCCTCGCGCTCATCATCGCGCATCATGCAGCACATCGCCGTCACCAAGAGACCATGTCGCACTTCCGATGCAGACAGGGACGAGAAGCGGTGACGAGGTGTGCTCACTACGATCAATACGGTGATAGCACGAGCGTAGCGAAGGGAGGAGTCGAGGAGTGAGGGCGTCGCGGATTCATTTCCGGACTGATGGGATCGGGCGTTCCCACAGCAGACCCTTGAGGTCTGTTGTTTTCACCACTCTCATTACACCCCAGCTCACTCAATCAATAACAAACAACCTTCTTTTTCGTCTTACCCCACCTGGTCTGTGTCGACAGGCTGAAAAACAAGTCGATGATAAACGATAGCCGACGAAAAGGTTAAAAATGGGCCAAAATCGTAACATCCGCCAAGCTGGCTCGATCACTCTGGCTCAACAGGAATCTGCCTCCAGACTCATCCCACTTATCGCCTATCTACGGCGAGGGGTAGCTGATTCCTTACTGGGCACAGGTTGGTCTTTCTGGAGTACCCGAGTGGTGTGCAGCCACAAGACGTGTAGTACGTATGTCTCCGGCTGCCGCGGTGCGGTTCGACAGATGATCGAGGGAAGGCACACGCGGTGCGACAGATTGCGCGGACCCAGCCCGGCGAGCCCAGTCCACAGGACTTTGAATCGTCGACAACATAAACAAGCTGCTGCATCTCGAACTCGACTTTAGTATCACTCACGTCACTCACATCACCATGCCGCATGCACTCCCAACACCACCAGACACGCCGGGCTCGTTGAGGATCAAGCCGTCGCCGCGACTTCATGAACTCAGCACCGACACCCCAGTGCTGTCCGGCACGTGGCCCAGGAACCGCGGCCCGGCTTCAGGGCGGCATCCTCCGCGCGCCGACTCACTCTATGCGATGGAGTCCTCACTGCAACTGGTAGGTCTCCGGTGATAGTAGCAGAGACAGCTCCCCAACTCGGACTGATTAGCTGACAGCAGACGTCGACCTCGAGCCCGACCTGTGCCTATGGACCCTTCGCTGCGTTCGCAGAGTGCCGCGCCATCCTGGCCCGAGCAGACGCTTCATTCGTGTATCGCTCCGGGGAGCTCGCGCGGCTGGAAGCGGTAGCGTACGTCGTGGAAGTGTTCTCCGCTGCGGGTCCCAGGCCAAGCACAGTTGTCGGGGGCGAGGAGCGCCCAGTCTTGATCAGCCCAAGTGCGAGATCGTCCAGCCTGCGATCGAGCATCTCTTCCATCACATCTTTGACAAGTTCACCCTTCTTGGGCTCACCCTTCACACCCCCATCACCTACGCCCATCTATAAGATGCCGCTCCCTGTCCCACCTTCACCGGCACGACCAAAGACCTCAGACCAGGTCCTGCTCACGTTTCGCCGCATGCTGAGCTCGCCACCACCGACACTACGTCTGTTCCTCAGCAAGCATCCTGCGCTCTCCTTTGCCTTCGAGCCCAATGGCCTGGAATACGTGGCGCCGCCGCGCCTCGCGGTGATGCGCATTCCTCAGTCCTCGCCCGCGCTCGTCCTGCACGACCTGCTAGTGCTTGATCAGCACATCTACACTCGATCACGGCCCTCTCACTCTCCAGTTTACCCCACGAATCCATTCTCCTCCCTCAGCCGCGGCATACAGGACCCGGAGGGTTTCGGCGTCTGGCGCACCATAGCGGCATACCTCGCCGCCATCCTCGCGAAGGAGGGCGAATCAAGCGTTCGTGACTGTCTCGGTGAAGTCCGGGATCTTGCGCGGGAGAGGTCCCAAGCCAGGCGGGCAATGCGTGATGGCAGCCGGAGGCATGATCGACAAGAAGTCCTGCCTACGGCACGGCAGAACGCCCTCCTGAAGAGTGCAGGACTGCCCCATCTTACCCCTCCTTGAAACCTCAACCTCAAGGCTGTACACGTCGACGCCGACGCCGACAACTGTAGCAATAGCAAGAAGCCAGAGAACGCACTTTGTATCGATATTCTGTTCCATCAAGACCCACACATAACGAACACTGCATGAACGACGCGATGCGACTGTCTTGGCATCCTGGAACAGGGGGCCAGGCACCCGTTCGGCGTCGTGGCCCCGCACCTGAGACAGGTCAATGCAAGAGAATTCGAGCGGGTGGCCGCCGCAAGCGACGGGATCCGTGCGATTCAATCTCTGCGAGTCCTCTGCTCATACGCTCTCTCTTCGTTCAAGCCGGTCCACCCGCACAGGGCACAGGACAACCGCGATACGGACCAAATGCAGTCCGCGTCCCTGTACGTCCGCGCCGAGTCAACAGATATTTGCTTCCCTCCTCTCTTCCTCTGTGAATTGCTGGGTGCTGTGCCGCCGTGCTCGGCCTGCGCCACCGAGACCACCGCGAGACCACCGAGAGGTCTCAACGATGCACTTCTCAGTGACGCCCAACCTCTCAACTTAGACAGCGATGCTGCTTTCCGTCTTCGTCGCCAGTTTCGGGCTGCTACAAGCCTCTGCGCTCGAGTACACCTACCCACTCTCAGCGTCCGACCCCTTCCTGGTCGTGAGCCCTCAGCCCGAACTCCGCAACACCTCGCTCTCAACCAACGCGACGACGTTCTCGGCGCGTTCCGGGCTGCAAATATCAGTCAACACGCCTCTGATCGGCGCGCAGTTCGAGGGCCGCATCGTCTCCGCCTCGAGCGCCAATCTGCTCCTGCAGACGGGGAAACAGAGGAAGAATGAGATTGCAACGCAAGGGGAGTGGGATACGTTGATTGGGGACTCGTTCCCCACCTCAGAGGGGGAGGGGGGCACGAAGCTGAGTACGACGTTTGACGGCGACCTCGTCCTGCGCCAGGTGTCGCTCACCTTCAATCTCGTGTCGAGCAAGTGCGTCAGCTGCGTAGAAGTCGGCGTCTAGCTGACCCCCAGAACGGCCTTCAACCAGCAACAAAGTGACGAGCAACCCCTCGTCGCTTCTGACGGCAAGCTGGCTCCAGGACCTCAGTTCGACGGCGACTGGTCCGTCGCCGAAACGAGTATCGGTAGCTACGCCCGGGGCAAGGGCATTGTTTCCATCCCTCTTCTGGCGGGGACGAGCTTCGCGGTCCTCACCGGCGTGCTCGGGAAGGATATGGGGAACTACAGTGCTACACTGGTCCCTGCACGTGAGGGAGCCAAGGAGGGGAACGTGACGTACTCGGCCCGGAACGCGGAGGACGGCACGGGCGTGCTCTGGCTCGGCGCGCTGGATCCGGGAACGCAGCACGCGCTCCGGCTCGAATCGGCGCAGGCGATGGGTCTGTACAAGCTGCGGCAGTACGGCGATAGGTGAGTGCAGCTTGAAGGTGTTCCGCCTGTGCTGACAAGCAGCCTCGCTGTGGTCTCCGGTTCGTCGTCCAGTCCCTCCAGCCCATCGGGGAGCGCCTCGCCCTCGCCCTCGAGCTCGGCGCCCACCGCCTCGCCCAAGTCGTCCACGAACATCGGGGCTATCGTAGGCGGTGTCGTGGGCGGAGTGGGAGGTCTGCTCCTCATCGTAGGCGCGGTGCTGCTCTTCCGCCGCCGCCAGAGGCGCCATCGAGGAAGAGGACAAGCCCGAGGGCGAGTATCGCGCCATTGTCGAGGATTTCGTCACGCCGTACACCCTCAGCGGGGGGAGTACTCAGTCGCCCTCATCGGCTTCGGGGAAGGGCGGTCCGACTATGCCGGCTTCGACTCAGGCTAGGCCAAACCTGCACGTCGAGACGGGGGTGAGGGAGGCGGACGCGGGCCCGCTACCCGAGGAACCGGAACAGACGCTGCCGCCGCTGTATGACCCGACGTGGCGGTCGGCGAGCAGCCCGAGTGCGCCCAGTACACCAGTCGCGAGTATGCCGACGAAGCGATAGGTACTTAGTGATCGAGCGCGGGCTGCCGATAGCTGTTTGGGAAAAGGAATCAGATGCTACTTGTCAATTGGACTATGCATGCGCCTGCACACCTGCAGCTATCGACCACCCGCTCACATCGTCCAGCGAGAGAAGATTAGCTACCCCAGCGTGTCCGCAAACTCGAGCAGAGCCCTGCGCACACCGCGCCCCGCCTCGAGCTGTTTCTTAACCTGCGCGGAGCTGAGTCCGGACTGGTGGCCTGTCAGCTTAGTGCTAAGAATTATGAAGCTGGGCGAGGAAGGGGGGGATGCAAAGCCACGCACGAGAAGGGTACTCACCAGCTGCGCCGCCTCCTCGTTCGTCAGCGCCTTCACGCCCGCCGCAACCACGGCGCGCGCGAGGGCCGCCTTGCTCCCGTCTGGGAGCTGGGTGCGCGCCTTATTCTTCGAAGACGAGGCGGGTGGGGATTTGGGACGGTCGTACGGCTTGACGTCCTCTTGCTTGATGGACTTGGAGACCTTGCGGGTGGCGGGCATTCTTGTCGCTCCGTGTGTTTGGGATGTGTTAGGTGCGGGTGAGTGGTGAGTGGCGAGTAGCGCGGCGCTGCGACTCGGAGAGAGGTAGTGTAGATGTGAACTGGGGAGGTGTTGAGGTCGCTGGCGGAGGGAGGCGCGCCTCAAGGGTATTAATGTCCGAGATGTGAGGTGTGAGATGTGAGATGTGAGAGAGTGGATGAGAAGGGGGAGGTCCTTGGGAGATGTTTGGGATGAGGTTGGGGGGAAGGTTGGGGGATGTGAGAGAGTTGTCACACGATGCGCGCCGACGTGCGCCTTTTGTACAGTACTCCTCAGAGGGGCGCTCACCTCCCCTTGCTCCTCACACCTCATCGTCGCCCCCCGCCTTCGCCCTTCTCGTTCTCCCAGGCGCACACCATGTCCCCCCTCCGAGCTCAGCCTTGTCGCCCCGCAGTACCGCAGTGCGGCACCCAGCTCATCCATCCGTGTGCTCACTCTTGCCTCTCCCAAATGGTGATGCTCAGCATGCTCAACAGTCAAAGTTCGTTAGTTCCGCTCAAGAATCCGAGTCTACCATTATATAATGCAAAGATCGACCACCTGTACACTGCCCTCCTGTAGCGGCTCTACTTGTCCTCGTCCTCGTCCTTGTGTCCCATGACGCTCTCGTGCTTCTTCTGCTCGCGGCGGCGCTTCACGTCCCACTGTGTGCGTCAGCTTCAACACCAGCCAGAAGAAAGCTAGTCAGCTCATTGTCACACACTCACATTGTGCACACGGGCAAAGTTGACCTCCATGACGGTGACCTGCTCGCGGATCCACTCGAGGTCCTCGACGGCCTCCTTCAGCGACTTCTTGGCCGAGGCGAGCTTCTCCTCGAGCAGGGCGGCAGCTTCGGCGAGCGGGTAGAGCAGCATCGTGTTGGCCTGTGGTGTCAGCTCAACAGTGATCGCATAGCTGACCCATTCGTCGGGGACGGAGAGAGGGGTAAACTCACGCCAAGCCACAGTCCCACCTCGCCCGTCTCCTGCACCGTCGCCTCGGCGAAGAGCGTGTCGTTGAGCTCGAAAAGCGTCTTGAGCGGCTTTTGCTCCGCCCCTTCCTCGGCCTCCTCGTCGTCGCCGTCCAGGAGCGCATCAATGTCGTCCGAGTTCATGCTCCCCGTTTCGTCCTTCTCATCCGAAGCTGCGGGCTTGGGCTCCCGGCGCGCCTGCAGGAACTTGACGACCGAGAGCGTCTGCTCAATGTCGGGGATCTTGGCCAGCAGGGCCTTCCGCCGCTGTTGCAGGTTCAGCTCCATGTAGCGGTACTTGGCCGAGGTCTCTTGGAACGTCTTGATTATCGGCTCCACAGAGTTGGTGCCGACATAGTCCTCCACGTTTGCCTGGAACGTTAGCTACCGGCAGAGAGCTGCAGCTGGGAGGACGAAGGGAAGAGGTGGAGGAGCAGGAGGGGAGGTCATGGCGCAGCAGTCCGCAGCTCGCAGATTGGAGATAAGAGCTCGCTGGCTGCGATGCCGGGCATTGAGAGTAGCTCTCCGACACTTGAGTAACTCCTCTAAGCGTAACAAAGAGTATGCCTAGCTATGGCGACAATGCACGAAGCTCCGTCGCAGCTCGTCGTGTCACCATTGACACTCGACCTCCAGCGTTCCACACTTTCAAGCACCTTCCAACTCCGAACTCACCACAAACGGCGCTTTCGGGATGCCGCGCGGGTTCAGCTCCATCTGGGGCGACGGCGACTTTGTTGTGGCCATTTTTGCTGCTGTTGTCGTGGTTGGGGTCTGAGCGAAAGCACTGGATCCGTGGATCGATGGACTTCGACTTGCCTCCATCTCTGGTCGTCGCTCATCGTCATGCAGATGCTACTTACGTAAGATGCTGTAGCGTGTCTCGACCTCCACCTTTCACCTTGGACGGGATGAGAGCGGGCAAAGGTGTGGCCTGGTTGTCTCCAGTCTCAGGAGGACATGCTCTGAAAGCTTTGCTCAATGCTTAGAAATATGCATACTATACATAGACACCTAGTCGTCCTGCTCCATGTCCTCGTCCTTGTCTCCTTCTCCGTCCTCGTCCTCGTCGCTGTCGCTGTCCGAGTCAGACATGTCGTACGACAGGCCGCCCTTCTCCTTGTTCGCGGCCCACTGCTGCGCGGCCTGGAAGAACTTGAAGGTGGTCGGGTTGCTCTCGCGCTCGTCGTCGGGGAACACGAGGTCCCAGTACTCCCCGAGCTCGCCATTCTCCTCTGTGCGCCAGCGCTTGCGCGTCTGCGGCTTGAGCTCGGCGACGCGCGCGCGGTCCTCGTCGCTGCCGTGCTCGTCCTCGAAACTGGCCCAGGCTTCGAGGAGGAGTGCGCGGTCCTCCTTCTCTCCCCGAGCGCGGAGGTCCTTGTACCCGCGCTCGAAGATGGCGCGGGCACGCTCCGCGTCCCCCTCCTCGCCCTCGATCTCGTTCCCGTCCTCGTCCTCGCCTCCGCCGATCGGGGACGCCTCCATGAGCGCATACGACGTGAACACCTTGTAGTGCCCCGTCCGCTCCAGGAGGCGCTCGTACAGGTGCCGCGCGCGCTCGCGCTCGCCCTCCTCCACCTCAAAGTCGATGTAGGCCTTCCACACCAGCTCGGGCATGTCCAGCTCCTGCTGCACGGCGAGCTCAAAGATGGCGCGCACACGCGCAAAGTCCTCGACGGCGCCCTCCACCTGAGTCCACTGAATCCACGCTGACGACAATGACGGGTCGTACGTCAGGAACTTTTCGTACAGTGTTCGCACGCGGTCGAACTCGCGTAGCCGCATCTCCAGCTCAATGTAGCCCGTGAACAGCTTGGGTTTCGGGCACATGCCGATCGAGGCGCCGAGCACCTTGCGCGCCGCGTTCACGTCCAGCCGCCGGATCTCAAAGTAGGCATACTGCAGCCACAGCTTGGCAAACGTGAACTGCTTGTGCGGAACGAGCTTGATCGCAGCCTTGTACACGTCGCGTGCCCGGTCGTAGTCTTGCGTGTCCAACTCCTCGAAGACGGCGTACTGCAGCCACAGGTAGATGTATCGTCGCCAGTAACGCTTCTCCGTCGCGGGCGGGACGTTGGCGACGGCGCGCTCGTACACCTCGCGCACGCGCGATGGGTCCGCCTCCTCGCCGTCCTCCAGCGCAGCCCGGTACGCATCCTCCTCCAGACGAGCAAGCGAGAACCACGCGTCATAGTTTGTTCCGTCGTAGGCGAGCTCCTCCTCATACTGGATTCTCCGCTTTCCGAGCACCGTCAGCTCCACACCGGATCGGTCGCCGTGCTGCTTCTCGAACCGCGTGTAAGCCGCGTACACTGATGTCAGCTTACCCGCGAGACGCTCAAGCTAGTACTCACAGTTGGCAGACTTGGATCTCGGCAGACGAGACAGAGCAAACTTGTAAATGACACGCGCACGCTCGTACTCCTTCAATCTCGTCTCCATCCTGGCGAAAGCGCCAAACACGACCTGGGCTTTCTCGATCTGGTCCTCGTCGTCGCCAAAGAACTCGAGCGCGGTCTGGAACACCTCGCGCGCCTTGTCGGGTTTGCCGCGCTCCTCCTCAAATTTGGCCCACAGCACCCAGTTCTTGGGGATCGGCCGTGTGCCGATCCAGCGCTCGTAGACGGCGCTCGCGCGGTCGAGCTCGTTGTACCGCTCCTCGAGCTTGATGTACGACTGCCACGCCTTGTCGTCCGGCTCCCACTGCATCCAGCGCTCGAAGATCTGGCGCGCACCCGCAATATTGAGCAGAAGCTCCTCCAGGTACACATACTTGTACCAGAGGGCGTCGACGCGAGGGAGCAGCGTCACGGCGCGGTCGTACAGGTTGCGCGCGTGGTTAATGTTGCGCGCCTTCAGCTCCATGTCCGTGTACTTGATCCACAGCGGGACTGACCGCGGGTCGACGTCAAGGGCTCGCTCGAACACTGATCGCGCGCGCTCAAACTCATTCTGCGACGCCTCCCAGGTAGCGTACCGAATCCATGCTGGGGTCAGTTCGAAGAAGACATTGATTGAACTCACCGATGATCGCATCGCGGTTATACCGGATGCGGCCTTCAAACTCGGTACGTTTCCGTCCCTGGTACTCCTGCAGCTCCTCCAAGTCCTGGATACGCTGCTTCGGCGCCTCGACGGCGATCTCCTGACGGTCATGGGCCTCACGAAGAATCTGCTCAGCAGTGATCTGAATGTCAGCTAGATGAGCTCTGAAGAACTGAACGCAGCATGGTTTACTCACCTGCACTGCTGCCGGAGCACGATTCTTGACGCGCGGGGCGCGGTCGCGAGCGTCCCTCGTAGCCATGGCGAGACGTCTGGTGCGGTGTGCGCGGTGAGCTTGTCAACAAGTCCGATCGTCATTGAAGCCAACTTCAGTGGCAAGGCACTCAGTCGGCGTTTCACGGCCATGTGGCGTGTGTGGCACAGGCCGCCGCAGGTGAGTATCTCGATCTTCCATTTCGTCATCCATGCATGTTGATGAGCGTGAACAGCGCAGATTGTATGCTCAGCCGGTGCTATAATGAACAAGGTATAAAGCTGGATGCATAAACCTCGATGTTGGAACAGAAATGCCTATAGAAATAGCACGAGTAATGATACAACAGTAAACCCCTCTACGATCTTCTAAGCCGGACCTATGCGATGAACACGAAGCCCTTAGTCGAGGTTCATGCCCATACCGCCGCCCTCGGCGGGGACGAGACGGCTCTCGCGCTTCTTCTTCTTGGCGCCCGCAATCTCCTGCTCGGCCATGATCTTGCGCTTGGCCGCGCGGATCTTGATCTTCTCGCGCTCGGCAGACTTGTCCTCGACATCGACAGTCTTGGTACGGGGCTCGACGAGCTCGATGTGCTTCTCGACATCGGCAGCGGCCTCGCGGAGATTCTTCGACTTGTTGCCGGACATGCTGGCGGGTTAGCGGGATCGCGACGTTCTGTACCCACCGGTTCTTCCAGAAGGCACGCTCGCGCTTGGTGCGGATCTCCTGGACACGCTTCATGGCCTCCAGAGTAGTGGCAACAAGCTCACGGTCGTAGCGGACAGGAACGTTGCGACGCTTCTCGAACTCGTAGGTGGAGTCCTGGGGTGTTAGCTTGGAGGACAAGAAAGCCACAGCTGTAAGGAAGGTCATGATGGAACAATAACGAGCGGTAGAGGATAGGCAATCGCGATTGCAGCAGCGTGGTTCGCGGTATCCTGCTACCGCCATAATAGCTTCGTTTGGAAGCCAGAGCACTGCAGATCGGTGCGACCTCAGTGCCATGGCTGCTGGCACAGTCGATGCCGCGGTTGCCATCGATGCGATCCTCCACTGTGTGGATCCTTCATCACTCTTCCTCTTCCAGCATCGGCTGCCGTCAAATTTGATACGTACGACAACCATCTCCTTGCCGTTGGCGCGACGGAAAGCCTTGGTCCAGCGGACCTTACGGGGGTTACGCTTCATCTTGAAGTTCTTGTGACATTTCGAGGAGCAGAAGCGGAAGGTCTTGGCGTCGTTGCGGACGAACATGGTGCCGTGACCGGGGTACACGTTGACGGAGCAGAAGTAACACTTCTCGATTCTCATTGTTGCTGGCGATTAAAGTGGTGGTAAGTGGATGTTGTTGTCGGACGAGCAGATCGCGAGCACAGGCTTGTGTCATAGAAACTTCAGCTGTTGCGGCATGCATCCAGAAATCTGACGGGGTGGGATAAAATCGGGAAAAGTGATTGCTGAAAATTCAAAGAGTGATCGCCATCTTCCCACGGTGGGTACCTCCTGGCACGTTGCCATGCCAAGGACAGGCCAGCCAGGCTAGCCAGGGGCGGGGGAGGCGGGGGTTCGGTCTGAGAGCTCTGTAACAGGGCGCGGTAGTACGTAACAGGAGAAGTCTGAAGCGTTCCCCAAATCCGGAGACTGCGAGGACGCCATCGTCCAAGCCACACTCATTTAGCCTAGAGCCACAGAACGGCTGCCCAAGGAGCGTCGATGAATTGTGCACTGCCTGCAGCCGTGGAGAGGCGGCGGCGTTGGCGAGTCGGAGCCGGGGATCGCGAGCGAGCGGAGTGACACGCCGCACGACGACTGACCGACCGGGGCGATCCTCGGGGACGCGTTGATAGTTTGCAGTGGGTGTGATCTGCGACGTGATGAGCCAAAATTTTATCGGCGACGGAGAGACATGGGACGTGGGATCTGAATTGCATCGTCGCGTCAAGGTAGCTAGAACCTGATGACATCCGGGATCCCGGTGCCGTCTTGGAACGTTGGAACGTGGAACACCATGTGTACGGTAACAGGGGGGGGGTGCGCGTGTGCGCGGTGGCTCACGTCCGGTTGAACGTTTGATGCTGCGCGAGGCTGCGTTCCGACGTCCGAGCGGCACAGCGGCAAGGGAAAAGGCACTAGCTACAAGAGACCTGACCTGGAACAGTGAGACGCGCTTTGCAAGATGGGAGCGGGTCAAAGGCGACGGGTTGTACGGGTTGTACGGGAGCAGGATGATGATCCAGGAGGAGCAATTATGGGCCCTTATGGGCTGGGTCGGGGACAATCTCACACGTTTCGAACCGTAGCTGAATTCAGGTTCTCTGACAGGATGAGAGGTGAGAGAGAGCACGCTGCTAAGGTGGGACTGCTGCAGCTACCAGGTGCTGGCTGCTCAGGATTTCAGTTTAAGGGATCTCGCTCATGAATGGCGCCTAGAACGGAGAACGACGCCAGAGTGAGCAAAGCAAAGAACGGCAAGGGGGTGAGGGGAAGGGGAGAGGGAAGGCAGAGGGAATGAGGGCAGTCCGCAGCCAGCCAGCCAGCCAGGCCCGCCAACCCGCACGCCCGCACCGCGCTGTACGCCGCCCCCCCGTTCAAACCACGAGCGAGCGCGCGTAACCAAAATCAGTCAATCAGCCAGCGCGACACCCTGCCCTTCGCGATCATCATCATCGCACTCCTCCCATCCACCATAGACCTTAATCTCATCTTCTTTTTTCCCCCTCCTCCGTCGTCGGTGTAGCTCTTTACAACGTCTCCTCTTTGCATCTCAACGCATCACATCGCGAGCAACCCGATCACACGTTGCTCTCAACCTCCACTTTCCTTGAAACCGGTCAACTTTCCAACATCTATCAACCATGAAGATGAGTCCTCCCACACAAACCGCACAGTGCTAAAGCTGACTTCTGTGTACGCTTTAATTCTCGTCGGAGGCTTCGGCACCCGTCTTCGTCCCCTCACTGTACGTGTAGATTTACGGTTGCGACGCCTTTCTGTGTGCGGAACACGCCGCCACGTCACAACCACACCGACCGACGATTTCGGACCGTCCACTGACTATGCAGCTTTCGTGGCCCAAGCCTCTCGTCGAGTTCTGTAACAAGGTGCGTTGGACCGAAGGATGGAGCTCCGTCGCGATTGCTGACTCGTGCAGGCCATGATGTGAGTGTCGCCCCGGCAGCGTTTGCCGCAAAATCGGATGTCGCGCCGGTTCACGGAGCGCCTGCAAATGCGCCTCAAGTCCGAGCGTTGAGGTGTCGGGTTCGGACAGCTGGGAACGTTCTCAAGGACTTGGTCGCTGACACTTAGCCTTCACCAGATCGAGGCTCTTGTTAAGGTGCGTTCTGTGCAAACTGACAACCGTGGCTAGCGGAGGCTAACGTTCAGGCCGGTGTTAAGGACATCGTTCTTGCCGTCAACTACCGCCCCGAAGTCATGGTTTCCGTCCTCAAGAAGACTGAGGAGGAGTACGGCATCACTATCAACTTCTCGGTTGAGACCGAGCCCCTGGGAACAGGTGCGTTGCCCTCTGAAGCGCGCGCGGCAGCCCTTCGGGGAGCTAAGCTGGCGTCCTCGATTGCTCCCTGTTGCAAGTCGTGAGCTGACAGTGCAGCTGGTCCTCTCGCTCTTGCCCGTGACATTCTCGGCAAGGACGATTCGCCGTTCTTCGTCCTGAACTCGGACGTCACCTGCACCTACCCCTTCGAGGAGTTCCGGTGAGTTATGGTTGCGCAGAACTTGAGGAAACAGCCAAATTAACATCTACAGTGACTTCCACCTTCAGCACGGTTGCGAGGGTTCCATCATGGTGAGTGACGGTTGTCTCAGGCTCCCGGGTCAGTTGGCGATCGTATCACTGACTCGCGCAGGTTACCAAGGTCGCTGAGCCGTCCGCCTACGGTGTTGTCGTCACCAAGCCTGGCTCGACGGTTATTGACCGCTTCGTTGAGAAGCCCGTCGAGTTCGTCGGAAACCGCATCAACGCCGGTATCTACATGTTCAACCCGTCGGTTCTTGACCGCATTGAGCTCCGCCCGACCTCGATCGAGAAGGAGATCTTCCCCGCGATCGCTGCCGACCAGCAGCTGCACTCCTACGACCTTTCCGGCTTCTGGATGGACGTCGGTCAGCCCAAGGACTACATCTCTGGAACGTGCCTCTACCTCTCGCACCTCACCTCGCAAAAGTCGCCCCTTCTCGCCGACCCGGCGCAGAACAAGTGGGTCTACGGGGGAAACGTTCTCGTCGACCCTGTGAGTACCGCAGCTGAGAGAGCTCCCATAGCAGCTGCTAACCTGATCAGACCGCCGAGATCGACCCTACCGCCGTTATCGGTCCCAACGTTGTCATTGGCCCTGGCGCTAAGATCGGCAAGGGCGTCCGTCTTCAGCGCTGTGTCATCCTCGCGAACGCCAATGTCCGCGACCACGCATGGATCGCGAGCTCCATTGTCGGATGGAACAGCACCGTCGGCCGCTGGGTAAGGTGTTCACAAGGCTACAAGCTAACGTCAGTGCCGTGTCGAGAACATCACCGTGCTCGGCGACGACGTCAGCATCAAGGACGAGCTGTACGTCAACGGCGCCTCTGTCCTGCCCCACAAGAGCGTAAGTTGGCTTCACATTGGCAGTAACTGACCCCAGATCTCCGCCAGCATCACCGAGCCCCGCATTGTCATGTAAGCGGACTCACCGTACCCACCGTACCCCGCAGCTCTATATCTCCCATCTCCGCTACCCCCCGCAGCCGCGGCCGCATCGTCGGCGGCGTCTGCGTCTCAGACAGGCAGCCAAAACGGCCGGCTCTATACCAAGTACCACCACCATCACGACTCGGGCCCGTAGGAGGGTCTGCAGTTAATGCATTCGGATATTATTATAGCATCTGGGGCCGGGCCGGCTCAAGTCCGTTGGGGACCGGGTGCCTGTGTAGACGGCGAGGCGGTATGCCGGCAGAGTTGTTTGGGAAGAGCGCTATACGGAGGATGAGAGTGATCCTGAGAAGACGCGATCGAACTGGCGCGGGAGGAGTAGCATTGGAATGCCGAGAGAATCAATATGAGGAGGGGGGAGGAGGAGGGGCGGAGCGAGCGAGCCGAGCAGCATCCTCCGCTCGCCATTGACTGCGGGGCTGGGTTGGCTGGTTTGCGGGCGGCCTTTGACCGCGGTACAGTGTGGCACGTCAACAGAGCGCTGTTAAATGTCGGGAAGTATGGTCACGAGGTCACGGGGCCGTTTCGGGAGGTCCGGGTTGTTCATGGGCCATGGGCCCGGACGTCGGGATTCCGAATACATATCCGTCTCTCTCACGTCTGAAGTCCCTGTTGCTCGGCTTTCCGGAGTCAGCTGAGATGTGAGAGACGCCAGTAGAGAGGACTTGCTGACTTGCTGGCCCGGGATATGTCCATGAAGAGAGGAAGGAGGGCAGACTAGTTCGACCGAGATGACCGAGATGACCGAGATGCGAGATGTGAGATGCTGCAAGCGGTGAGGCCGTGAGGAGGGTCACTAGGTTGATCAGTAGGGTTGACTGAAATGCTCATCAGTGCCTCGGCCCCGAAGCAAGAGTGTGCGGCAACGTCGTCGTCAGCGATGTCAGCGCGGACGCATGGTCAGTAGAAAGCTGCAGCCAGGAAGCTCGTCTTGGCGACGAGCGACGAGTTGCGCGGCTCAGCGAGTCAGCGTGAATACGAGGGGAGAGCTCGAAAAGCTTGCTGTTATGACTGAATGGGAGTCAAAAGCCAACATTTGGAGGCTGAGAGCTTGGCTCCTTCCTCACGGTCAGCGGCTCTACTCTTCACTGTTCAGCAGTACTGTAGGCAGTGTCAGCCCAAGTCTTGACGAGTATAACCACAAGTTGACAATAATAGACCAGCAGACAGACGATCAGACGAAGCGGACTTCACGTCCCTGCCCCCACTGTCGATGTTATGTAACAACAGCAGACCTTGGACCTTTGCGGCCACCCCAAACCAAAACAGTGGACGTTTTCGTGCCTCGTGTATTTCAGGACACGGGAAGTCGACCCTACCATATCCAGGGCTGCAAGAATCACTCGATCCCGTCCCTGGGCAAAGTTCCCGGTGCGTCTTCGTCTACCTGGGCTTTACGACTCCCATTCTCTCGTTTCTTCTTGCACGGGAAGTAAGATGTATATTCTTGGCTCATAGGGCGGGCGTGGAAACTCCATAGAGCAAATTGAGGCTTAACGCTTCCTCTTCACTGTTGCAGACGTGCAGATGAGCACACTGGAGAGGGGGTTTTACTGGATTGTGTTGAGGATCCGGACACCTGAAGTGGAAAGATGAACGTCAGGGCGCTCACCCAGGACACCCGGGCCATCCTACCTCTTCACCCGCGCGCCCCCAATCCCGTACCGTAGCACGCGAGCTGTGCTAGCTGTGGGCCGTGCGGATCTCCCAAACTCGCGTCCTCAGCAATCAGCAATCAGCAGAGCTTGAGCCTGCGATCGCCGCGAGCTTGCGGACAAGCGTCTAACTCTCGATCTCCAGAGACTCTCGGACCTCATCGTCTTGCTCTCCCCCGACGCCCCGCGCCCTCACAGGCCTCACAGGCCTCACACATAGCCCAGACGCAGTACACATGCTTGGATCTCTTGGCCCGGCACTCGACTCTTGACTTTGAGTGAGGCGCGCAAAGGATTGCCGACGTCACTCAGTCACTTGATCGTGAGGAGGATCAGTACACTGTCCTCCCCTCCTTTGCATCCTCGTCACTGCTTTCCCACACCTGTTGACCGTGTGCTCCGATGTAACCATAACAGAGCTGTTCATTCTCTCTACTTGCCTTCCCATCACTTTCACTTACCTTCGGAATACCTTCGGAGCGTAGTGTCCCCGCAACTCCTGCACCATTCGTTCCCCGTTCCACGACCCCGTTCCACATCTGATCATTTAGCGCGACCAGCTCTGACACACCGCTGCGTATTTCCCGCCTACCTCGGCCTTCCCTCGTTCTTCTCCTCGCACCGTGTCGTCGCTCCAAATTCACCACGCGAGGTTTACCTGTCAACACGGCCGTAGCAAAGCACCAGAGAAGGTGTCACACTTGAGCGTGTGCTCGTTTTGTGTCAAACCATCGTTCTTCGCTTTCCGAAGCCGACAAGACTTTCGGACAGTGTCAACTGGGCAACATCCTAGCTTCCAAGACTTCGGCTCGTCGGGCTGTCGCGTCGAGCGTGTTCGATACCGTCACCACCGGCCGTGCACTCGCGCCGCTTTGCCCTATAACACCCTTCGTTGCCCTTCGGAAAGGACGCTCAGGACGCAACAAGCGTTCCGGTGGTTACAGTTGGAACCACCTTCTGCTGCGTCAACCGCAAGCTTCACGAGCGACGCCAGCAAGAATAGTGCAGACAGCAGGGGGCCAATCCTCGCCGTCCAAGCAAACAGAGCACGTACGCAAGTAGGGTTGTGCAACCTCCGACTTCCCCGCCGCCGCTCCCCTCGCCGCCCCTCGCCGTTCCCCCTTCGGCACCCCCGGGCCCCTGCCGTCTGAGAGCGTAATACCGACGCCTCCACCGCACCGCACCGCTCACCGCCAGTGCGAACTGCAAACAAGGTGTGCGACAAGGACCAGTAGGCCGATCCTGTGCTCTTTTACGTTCGTCATTGCTGCATCGCCTGCTTCGCCCGCCCGCAGGCACAGAGGAACGCCTAGGACGCACTAGTTGGCTTCTCCGAGACACGCAGCAGACGTTCGGCAAGCTTGTTTCGACTATTTGGCCGTTTCGAGTGTTTCGACTGCAGCTGTGAATTCCTTCTGTCCCTCTGGGTCAAAGGTCAGGCGCGTCAGCCTGCAGCCAGCAGTCTGTATCCAACTTGTTGGTCCCAGACACCAGACGCACATCTGACACTTGACACTTGACACTTGGCAGTGTCGCGCAGTGCAGCTCAGCCCGCTGACCGCTCCCAAGCCTTTCCAAGAACTGCCCAAGGCCCGGCAAGCCCGCCCACTCTTCACCAGCGCACCAGCAAGCAGTGCAGTCTGCATTCCCCTCTCGGAAAGGACTTCCCGACATTATTACATTATCGCACACCCGACCCTGCACCCTGCCCCCGTCAGCCCTTCGACACCCCTCGACACCCTTGGTCGCTCTGCGGCCCTGCACCCGTTCCCTCGTCCGTCCCTTCACTGCCGTTCCTAGAACAGCCTAAGCCATTCAAGGTCACTACCCAGGTCCACCCTGGTGTCCTCACCGCTGCTGGTGTCCACCTTCTCCCAGCTCCCAGCGCGCTAGCGGGATAGCATCAAAAGTCTTTGCTCATCGCGACAGCACAACGGCAGCAGAACAACAGCGCGGCACAGCTGCTGCAGCCTAGCCTTAGACGGACGTACACGGAAGCCCCCGCGCGCCTGCTGCCTCTGTGTCCTCCCCTTCGCGCCCGCCTGTCTTTCGTTCCACGATCCACGAACCCGTACCCAGCCCGTCTGCCAGCCCGCGCTGCCCGTACCAGTCCACCACGAGCATCAGCCTTGCAGTCTAGCCTAGGTACCTCGTCCGGTCGCCGCACTATTGCTCTCGTCACAGTTGCATTCACTTCTTTCACCTCATTTCCTCCTGTCCGCTCCCTCCACTCCTCGATCTCTACTCTACGCTCCCTTGCCTTCCCACACCAACACTCTCTACATTCTTTCACTCTTGACTTTCAACCTACGTTCCTTACCTTGACTTCTGACCGCTGTGCGCCATCCCCAACCCTCCCCGTCCCTGGCTTCGCGCGCTCGCTCGACTGTCTATTGTTCTCCGCGACGCCAAACTTCCCACTTCATTCTTCTCTGTCCTCCGTCCCTCTCGGCACACCCCGGAACTTGTGTGCATCGGCCCCGCCTCGCCCTTCGCGCACGCGCAGCACGCTTTCGACCGACGATTGCGCGGGAGTCCCGTCTCCAACACACACTTTCGCTCTAAACTTCCTCCCAGTCACCCATCCTGACCAGCCTCCGATAACATCACTGCAGTCGTGTAAGTAAGTCACCTTTTCTCTTCTTTCTTTGCACCGCGCTCGGCGTGCATCGACGCGCCGGATCCGCTTGACACTCAATACGCCGCGTCCGTGGGCATCTGATCCCTGCGTGCCCCTTGAATAAGCATAAGGAAGGGGGCGCGACGCCCAGACAAAGTGGCGTTCTTGGAAACACAAGGTTCACACATGCCGAGAAGCTGTTACGAGTACGCACGCAGAAACAAGACACCCGCGAGCTGTCCCCGTCACTCTGCGAGGTAACTGCGCGCGGTCATTTCCCATCTGCTCTCTCTTTCTTTGCTCCGCGATCTCGAGCTAATCCGTGTCCAGAGTGGTCAAGATGGCGACCGTTGCCCCGACACCGACACTCGCGCGCGTCGAGCGCGACTCGATCGTCACCGTCCTGCAGACCATCCCCGCCGAGACTCCGACAGGCGCGGCTGCGAATAAGAAGGAGGGCCTCCCGGTGGCTCCCATCGTCGGCGGCCTCGTTGGCGGCATCGTTGGAGGGCTCCTGGTCGCTGGACTCGTCGTGTGGTTCATCTCGAAGCGCAAAAAGAGAAAGGAGGCTGCCCGGAAAGCATACATGAAGAGGCAGGCGCGGTTACGGCAGTCAAAGCTCGGATCCAAGACCCCATCGTCGGGCCACTCTGCAACCAGCTCGCTCTCCTCGCACCAGCGTCTTACGATCACGCCGACACCGAGTGAGAAGCTGATCGACTTTAGCCAGCCGGCACCTGCGCCGAATCGCCCACGAGCACCCTCGGCAACCTACTCGAGCCCGAAGATCTACGACCGGTTCATGTCTGAGAAGGGCTACGGCTACGAGCCCAAGCCGCTGGATTACGTCGATGCCGGGGGCGAGTACCTCGTCCAGGAGGCTTATGAGTCAGAAACCCCAGCGGCGGATGCTTCTCCCCGCCAATTCGCGTCCAACAACCCCTTCAACACGAGCCCAACACGCGCCACCCCGAGTGCCATGTCTCAGGTGTCCAACCAGTCCTTCTACACCGCCGGCAGTCGCCGCAGTTCGTCTGGATCGTCTGGATCTTCCGCCGGAAGGATCTCCTTCACCGGCTCGCTGCAGTCTCCGTCTGTCCACTCTGCGGGAGTCAAGGCTGCAGTGCAACGCTCCCCTCCTACCGCCTTCTCTGCTACCGTCCCTCCCGGTTCCTCAGCACCCTCAGGTCACCAGCGCCGTCCATCAAAGATCAAGCGCAAGGAGCCTCCTCAGCTCCTCCCTCCGCTCGATCTGTCCGCGCAGCTGCCGCAGGCAGAGGCCGTGGCGAACCCTCCCGCCGACCCCGCGAAGGCTGCTGCCCAGGCGAAGCGCAAATCCCGTGTCGCCGAGCGCTCAGCTGCAGCTGACAAGGCGGCCGCCAAGGCTGCGACGCCGCTGCACGTGCGCTCAAAGCCCGCGCGCCCGTCGCCGCTCGCCAAGGCACAGCAGGATCTGGACGAGAATCCGTTCAACCGCCCCGGTCCGTCACCCCAGTCGTCAATCTCGTCGCAGTCCATGCTGTCGATTGCGCCCAGCTTCGAGTCGGGCACGACGTCTGGCTACTCTCCCAGCGTCGCCGCCGCCGCGAACGACGCCGCGTCCGTCGGTGGCACGTACGGAATAGCGCTTGGCTCGCCGACACACGACAAGCTCGACTTTAGCGCGCAGCAGGAGGCTGCGATCCGCCAGGCGCAGGCGGCCATGGAGGGCTACGACTCGGACTCTGCGCGCAACGACCGCACAAACTCGGGCCAGTACCACTACGACCCGTTTGCCGAGTATCACAAGCCGACGGCCAACGGCGGCGCCGCCCCGCACAACGAGACGGTCGAGAGTCTCGTCGAGGAGCGCCAGGGTGCCGGCCGCAAGCTTAGCAAGTGGATCTAGATCTCCATCTGTGGTCATCTGCCAATCTATCCCGTCATATCTGAACTTTTCCCTCCATCTCTTTCCGGTAGAACGCTGCTTTCGTACATTTATTCATTCAGTAGCGTTTTTCAGCGGCTTTTCAAGTTTGTATCATTTTCGTGTAACAATGCAACATCGTTCGAGATTGCGCGAGAGTGGGAGTGGGAGTGAGAGGACACGCCAGCGTTATGTTTGTGACTTGTTTGAAAAGTGACAGGAGAGTGATGTGCGGGCAATAATGGGCCGCGCCAGCAGGAGTGCAGGCAGGGGCTTGTTCACGGGTGACGGACAAGTGAACGCCAAGCGAGCTCTTGCCGGAAGAGAGTTGCGCGATCACGGTCGAATTTGCCACTCGCATTGGATTTTTGGACCCGCGCCGCCGGTCGATCCGCTTCTGCAGTGACGCAAAGTAAGCGCACCCGGCACACACCCGCACAACGCACAGTCTGGTCAGAGTCTTGTGCTCCCAGATTGTTGTTCCGCACTCATCATCACTGCCTCAGGCGAAAGCGACAATGAGCACAATCGTCGACGCGTGCTTGCGAGGCGCGACCGTCGCCACGGACTGTCCCGAGTGAGTGAAGACCTGTTGACCGGGAAGTCGGCAGCCGGTGATGCCGAACGGTGCTGGTGTTTTCGTCCAGCGTCACAAGATCACAGACACCGGCCCCCTCCATGCAACTCCTGTGACCTTGCAAGCTAAACCCCAGATGCAAGGCCGAGATCGAGTACGGCGTTCCCTCAACGTACATCGGCAACCTGCGTGTACGCTGTCCAACCTGTAGGGCCATGTTCGCACACCCCGCCCCGCCGCCGCGCAACCCGCACTCGCGGCCCTCCTCCGCCCCGTCGGGCTCCAAGCCCAACCGTAGCGGCGGCTCGACGAAGCGCAGGGGCATCGGCAGCGATGCAAACCCCATCGACATGGCTTATTACGACGTCCTCGGCCTCCCGGCCTCGTGCACCACCGAGGAGATTAAGAAGAGCTACAGACGCCTCGCGATCAAGCTGCACCCGGACAAGAACCGGGACGACCCGGACGCCGAGGAGAAGGTATGTCTCCTCACACTCTTGAGCGGGTAGCTGCACCACCACGCTGCACCGGCTGGCTCGCTGGCTCGCTTCGCTCGCGCTCGCCCATGCGCTAACGTCCAGTTCAAGCAGATTGCCGTCGCGTACCAGATCCTGTCTGACCCCGAGACGCGCAAGAAGTACAACGAGTTCGGGCAGAAGAACGGCGGCGGCGGCGCCGAGGAGATGGTGGATCCGGAAGAAGTGTTCGGCAAGATGTTTGGCGGGGACGCCTTTGCGGACCTGATCGGGGACATCTCGATACGGAAAAGAGATGAAGGACGTCTTTCAGCAGCAGGCCGAGGACGCGCCCGAGGACTACATGATGGGGCCCAAGGGGCAGCCGGTGCTGACGCCCGAGGCGCAGGCGCGGCGCAGTGCGCGCGAGAAGGCTGCCGCAGACGCGAAAGCCGCCGAGCGCACAGCGCGCGTGAACAAGCTCGCAGAGCACCTGACGCGCAAGCTGAGCGTGTTCGCCGAGGCGGCCAAGAGCGCCGAGGACCCCGATGTCGCCCCGAGCTTCCGCGAGATATGTCGGCTCGAGGCCGCCGACCTCGCGCACGAGAGCTACGGCACCGAGCTCCTCCAGGCGATCGGAGGCGTGTACAAGCAGCGCGCGACGCAGTACACTGCCTCGGCAGCCTTCGCGCCGCTGGGCTGGTTCCACGGCGCGAAGAACACCTTTGCGACCGTCTCCGATACGGTGAGCACGCTGCGTTCAGCACTCGAGCTCAAGAGCGTGTTCGAGCGCCTGCAGGCGGCAGAGCAGGCGGGCATGCCGCCCGACGAGCTGCGCAAGCTCGAGGAGCAGGCGACGGAGCAAGGGCTCCGCACGCTGTGGAAGGGCGCAAAGCTCGAGGTCGAGAGCGTCGTGCGCGAGGTGTGCGACAAGGTGCTCGCTGATCCCGCAACGACGAGCGAGAAGAGGCAGCTCCGCGCCGCCGCGCTCGGACTCATGGGCGACGCGTTCCTCAGCGCGAGCAAGCAGGAGCCCGGCCCCTCTGCCGACGACTTTGTCCGTATCGAGACGCCGCAGAGCAAGGCGCGCGAGAAGGAGAAGGCTAGCCGCCCAGGCGTCCCGCCCCGTCCCGGCGCGCCGCCGCCCCCGGTTCCCGAGAAGCCCGAGGGGTTCATGTAAATGTTGGATTCAGCTATTCTTAGATAGACGCGCACAGGTGACTTTCAGAGTGTACATATAATTATGCATGATAGACAGACGGTATAGATGTGACATGACAAGATGCTCCTCCTCACTCTCCATCCTCGATGATGGGGTCGATGAGGTTGAGCGGGAGGTAGAAGCCCTCCCAGGTATCGTCGTCTGGATCCTCGTCAGCCCAAGCACGCACCTGGGCACTATGCCTGAGAGCGGTGAGGACGTCCTCCTCCTCTGCTCCGCCCGTGCCCTCCCGCGTCGTCGGCGTGTTCGCCCCGGTCCCCGTCCCCGTCCCCCTTCCCATCGCGTCCTTGGGCGCTCTCGGCTCCGGACGGCGCGGATACTCGTCACGCGCGAGCACGGACACGAATGTGTCCTCCTCCCGGTCCTGCTTGGCTGCGAGGTCCGACTCGTCCTCAATGTCAAACTCGTCCTCGCGCTCGTCATAGTCGACATTCTCCTCCAGTTCCTCGAAACCGGCAGCGAAGGACGCCCACTTGTCCGGCGCGACTGTGGACCAGACGTGGATGTCGCCCGAGTTGGCGACGGAGGCGATGATTGGGCGTGTCGGGTGCCACTGGACGTCAGCTCGATGGATGACACGGCAGCTTAGCTTTCTCGCACCACAGCATACTCACGTCGGAATCCAATAGCGGCTCCTTCGGCCCCTCGAGCACCTTGACGAGCACGCCCGAGTCCTTGTCCCAGATGAACACGTTGTGGCCCATCTTGTTGCTGCTCCCGCCCATGACATACTCCGAGTCGTCGTCTTTCGAGAACCCGATCGAGTTCCAGTTCGTCCGGTTGATCTGGTCCTGGAACCGGTGGATCGGGGCGAGCGCCCCCGTCTCGGGGGACACGATGAGAACGCGCAGACTTCGGTCCGTCGACGACAGAATCAGTGATCTGTGTGTCAGCGATAGCCGTGAAGAGCCAGCTAGTTGCCGGAGTTTTGACTCACTGTCCTTTCGGGTCAAAGGCGATCTGGCGAATGCCGCTCTGGCCGACCTTGATCCGGCTGAGCACACCGCGCGTCACCGGGTCGATGATGAGGACAACACCTTCACTTGTGCCGGCGTATATCCGACTGCCGCATGGCGAGAACGTCGCGCAGGTGAGGACAGGACTCTTCTTCTCCTCAGGCGTGCCGTTGGCAGCTTTCTTCTTCTTCTTGCTGCGTTTCGAGCTGCCGTTCGCTTGTGACGTCTCCTCGCCTCCCTCAGCCATCTCCACGTCTTCTTGCCCTTCTGGTCGCTGCTCTCCGTCGCCTTCCTCGGTCCCCTCGGGCTGAGACTCTGGTTGCGGAGGCTCTGGTTCTTCCTCTACGTCGGTCAGGACGTACTGCTCCCCGCGCCGCAGGTCGACGAGCACGACCTCGTTGGTCGTCAGTGTCGCAAGCACAATCTTCGAGTTGCGCGGGTGGAAGTAAGCCGTGGCGACAGGCGCATCGAAGCGGAGCGTCCGATGTCGCAGTCCGGCACTCGAGGTGTTCGCGAGAGGAGACGCCGGGCTTAGTAACGGCGGCATTGACGAGAGGTCCCATACGATGCACGTCGCGTCCAGAGACGCGCTGACGAGATATCGGTTGTTACGCGACCAGCTGTATGTTAGCTTATAGAATGCAAGACCCCAGCTGTCTCCGGGTCTGTTCTTGGACATTGCACAGCGAGGTGGAAGCGATCTCTTGAGAAAGCCGACCGGAACGAGCGACGGGGATGATGGGCGTACTCACTCTAGTCCACCGACAGCCTTGACATGTCCCTCGAGCACGCGCACTATTCCCTGCGTATCCGTATCCCAGATCTCGACTAAGCCGTCCGCACCGCCCGCCGCGAGGTAGTGTCCCGCGTACGGGCCGGACGGGTTGAAGCGCACGCTGACGGCATTGCTCGAGAGTGTTGAATCTGTGCTGTCGGGATACTTTTGGGCAAAGGGATCTGGGTGGGTCAGCTTGACGAGAAAGCTCACAAAGCTCACTGAGGAGTTGCTGCATTGCAGCGATACTCTTTGCGCAGAAACGATGATGACGAGGAAGACTGTCGGCTAAGGGGGAAACACTGTAATCTCGTCAACAATCGGCACGCGACGCGGAGATCACTGCGTCTCCGTCCCTGTTCTGTGACAATCAAGATGACGAGAGGTTACTGCCGTCGCAGCAATCGCACACTCTATCTGCTCTGCACTGCACGCCTCGACACTTTTGCGAAGGACGAAAACGAGATAAGCAGAGTACGGGGACACGATGCAGCGCCCGCAGAACCAGTACACACCGCCGACGGCACCGCACGTGCCCGTCCGCGCCGTTCAGTCGCTGTCTTCTTCGCTGCGTCTCCTGATCGAGGAGGTCGACACGCTGCGCAACGAGATCGCGGCGGGAAACCAGGCAGGAGTCATGCCAAACTGGTAAGCTGAGAAGATGGTTTGTCGAGCTGACCGCAGGGACGCCCTGATGAAACGATACGGCGTACTGCTTGGCCTGATCAAGTCGCTCACCTCGTACATTCAGTCGACGGCCGGCGCTGCCGCCGCTGCATCTTCTGGCACTGTGGGCGTGACGGGCCCGAACCCGAGGATTCCGCCGCGTCAGGCGCCGACAGACCCGGATGCGAAGAAGAGTACGGTCCCGACGCTGTCGCAGTACCTCGTTCACCCCCTTGAACCGATGACGGACCCGTCACCCCTGGCGCAGGATGCTTTCTTCCAGGCGATCAACACGCAGCTCCTGCCGGCTGTCAAGGAGGCGGATGAGGCGCTGGTGCAGAAGCACCCAGGAGAGGACGAGAGCCGTACCCGGGCGCGCCTGACGGAGCTGCGGGGACAGCTGGAGAAGGACAGTGCCAAGACGACGCACCTCGCCGAGTACATCGACAAGGTTGCGAGCGGGTTCAACTGGGAGATGCGGCCCGACATGGAAGACGAGGATGATGAGGACGACGATCTCTTCGGCGGCGGCAGTGACGATGACGGTGATGTTGATATGGAGAAGCAGAAGGAGGAGAAGAAGGACGAGGCTCCGCCCGACCCGGCGGCTACGAACCCTCGACACGGGTGGAGCGTCACAGACTATCTTCGTCTGCTGGACACGGGGAAGCCGCCGAGACGGAGGCCGCACCCGCGCGTGCTGATGGTCTCACGCACACATCACCCGCCGTCGTCGCCGGTGCCGTCTCCATCTCGTAGCCTTCGCCCTTCACTTAGATCCCAGCCATGGGGCAACTGTATGTAACACTAGAGGATGAAAGGATGATGCACGATGCATTGATGGTGGTACACTAAATGGTTTCACTTGGCCTCGGCCGCCCACCCCCTCCGGCCAGCGACGATGGCAGCTTGCTCGATGGTCCAGACGACAGCCTTGATCCAGTTGAACAGCTCGCGGACCGCCTCGTCCATGCGCTCTGGGTCATCGACGAGACGTTTTCGTCCCCCTCCCCCTCCCCCACCCACTT